CTTTCAATGTAAGTCAATGTAAAGAGATTTTGTTCCATGTGATTTTAGAGCATTAAATTGGTCCAGGCATTATGAAATGTTTACACAACATAAAGGACAGCTGGTTTGTTAAAATGATGTAGAAAACTGAAAATCAACAAAAATGGAGATACATGGTTTTCTTTGGACAGCGACGATATGCAGATGTTTATTTAATAACATACTTTTGAGTGTTTGGGGAGAAACAATGACAGAATGGACAGAAGAGGATATCACATTAATTTTCAGCGAAAAATGATGAGAACGATGTAGAAAAAGTGTAGTTTAAAACAGCCCCCCCACCTCCCCCCCGTCTCTCTCTCCATCTCTGGTGGATAATTGAATCCTGGACCTTGGCTCCGGAGCTCTCTAAAGCTTTGGAGTGTGTGTGTATGTGTGCGTGTCTCATGCCCACAGTGCCGCAGACTCGTGCCAAGGCCCCATTCACAGGGCGCCCGTCATTATTTCATTACACACATGTGAAAACAACAGAGTGGTCCACTCCACTCGCGCGATTAAAATAACATTTTCAAGAGAGGAAAAATATGATGGAGGTATAATTATCTCTTTATGCAGTGTTTTACAGCGGCGGATAAATAAGACCTGCTTTTTGGGGAAATGCGGCCGAGTTTTGTGTGTGTGCGCGTGTGTGTGTGCGGGGTTAAAGTACTAGGTAAATGTGTGAACACTGTGCCTGCCAAGGATCTGCCGAGCTATAGAACGTCAGAATGGGGCTTAATTGGATAACTACTCCAACTACCAATTACACTGGGCCCTAATTGCTGACTAAGTTTCACTTTAATTTATCCTGTATGGAAGCTTCCCATATTGTCACTTTCTCTGGGCCCTGATAATGGCCCAGCATACTTTCCGGTTTTGAAGACCAGCTGTGATCTTCCGACCTTACGACCACCTTGCGCACGTAATAATGCACTGTCAAAGTGTCGGACTGCGCTGAAAGAAGATCTGCTAATATTTTCATGCTAACAGAAATGCTTTTGAGCAAGCGTGGCACTTCATTCAAGTTGCGTCACTCAATAGGAAATGACAAACATCAGTGCTTTTATTCAATAGTTCAATCGTTAAATACTTTGAGACGTTCCATTATCGTTTACTATGCAGGTAAAGGAAATGTACACAGTAGCTTAGCACAGGTGCATCGTATCATAACTTGTCATACAATGTGATTATGCTGCTATGCAACAACGATAAGGCAGACACACAATGCACTGAAATCACGTGGTATTTTTCTATTGAAAGGGAGGAAACTTCCCCAAAATGATTTTTTTTTCAAGTGGAACGTACATTAAGTACAACATGACAAAATATTAAGAACAGCATTGAGGGTACAGAATGTTACAGAAGAGAGAAGTGGGGCTCATCACAGCGTTGGTTAGACCAACACTAGAGCCAAAAGCCACATGCAAACCACCTCAGAATAACTGTATTTACAAGCTTCAAAGACCGTACATCAGCTGTCAATCTAAAAGTGAAGCATGGAAAGAAAATGAACCTACCAAACAGTGATAGTGCCTTGTGAAAATTTGTATCTGATTTTGTTTATTAGTAGTTAACACTGTAAAGAGTACTAGGCTGTGCATTAATAATACAGAACTGAGACCATGGCTACGCCCCACCCCAATAGTGAGCTGTCTACATAGATAGTATTTGAAGTCATCAGTTGCGCAATCCTTGACAACAACATAAATTCTTACTTTATAGCTGAAACATGCTGCCTACTAAAGTTAATTATTTTGGCCAAATTTTAGAGAAGCATATTTTTACAACATTAAAGCCACGTTGTTTCTATACTCCTTCCATTTTTTCACTTACCTAACAGGTGCACTTTGTAGTTCTACAGTTACAGACTGTCTCTGCATACTTTGTTATCCCCTTTTTACTCTGTTCTTCAATGGTCAGGACCAAAACAGGGCCCCCACAGAGCAGGTATTATTTGGGTGATGGATCATTCTTAGCTCTGCAGTGACACTGATGTGGTGGTGGCGTGTTAGTGTGTGTTGCGCTGGTACGAGTGGATCAGAGCAGTCTGCTGGAGTTTTTAAACACTCACTGTCCACTTGACTAGACACAATCCCTTTGGCCGACAGTATGTGACTGAAGTGCCCTTGAACAAGGCACCTCCAACTGCTCCCCGGACGCTGTGGATAGGGCTGTCCACCGCTCCGGGCAAGTGTGCTCACTGCCCCCTAGTGTGTGTGTTCACTAGTGTGCATGTATGTGGGTGTTTCACTGCACGGATGGGTTAAATGCGGAGGTCTAATTCCTCTGTGTGCAAAACTCAGTTGGCTAATGGTTCTGAATTCACTGAATTCTACCTTGTTGGTCCACCTTGTAGATGTAAAATCAGAGACAATAACTCATCTGTTGGTGCACAGTTTGTGTTGGTCACCCTCTAGTCCTTCGTCAGTGGTCACAGGTGGACTACAATCTGTAATTGTAGAGCTACATAGTGAATCTATATGGTAAGGGGAGCTGATAACATGGACAATGAGAGTAGAAACAAACCATAGTAACCACCATAGTAACATCCAAAACACAACACATGCTGTTTTTGCTGGTGACCAGGCCATGCTGGCCTAGGCTGGTTTTTCAGCAGGGTTATTTAAGACTTCAGTTATGCTGATCCGTTTTTGGTATATCTGTTGTGCCACATTAACATTTCAAATGGCCAGCAAAGTTGTGTTAACACATGCTATGTTTTCATGTTGCCAGTAGTCGGTCGACAGCAACACTTGGATATTCTATTGTTTTCAGTGAAGCAGCCATGAAAAAATTCTGTCACCGGCAGCAGTGAATGCAGCGGTCAGCGGAACTTTCCATCTAAATTTCAGTTTTCCCAACTTTTGTCATCAACTGCGATGGTGGAAACTGGATGTTGATTTCTTTGGGAACTATGGGGGCCAAATGTTTCATTGTTGAAGTCCGAGTGAACCCAGCATTATACAGCACAATTAACAAGATCGCAGAGTATCCAACTGCCTTTTTCCTCCTTAAACAACATCTGCACGATGGTGATGCTGACACAATGCTAACGTGCATGGGTTTCATGCCACTGTTGGTTGCATACAGAACAACGTAACAACAACCTGTAAACACAGTATTAGTGTCACTGGCCCAGATGTGATTTCATAACAGAAAATGTCTGAGGACAAGCATGAGAAATTCTAGGCTAAATGTGTGTGAGAACAACTGAGTATGAAATTTCTAAATCAATCCAACACCTCATGAAGGTGGAGCTCAGTGGTTTGCTCATCGTAGAAATAGTGTGTCATTCTGTAGTTGTTGTCAGGTACATATTTGGTCTAAGCTGGTTTTCTCTAAGACTAAAATTAATGCTGTTTTCGAAAATTCCCTCTGTAAACTAAGATGTTAGCTTGAGTGTAGAAATATGACAATTACTACATGCAGGCTTGGTCAAATTCAGTGATATTCAATGGAAAAATGTACACGGGACATTTAGGGTTTGGAATCTTTTTGTTTACCGCAGGGTGCTGTAGCAGCAGTTTTTGAAAATCCCACTGATTTTTGTCATAGAGAAATCCAGCTAATACCCTAATATGGGCGTTACTACAGAATGATGAAAGACTTCAGAGGTCTGTTATCTGAGGGACAACAAGTTTGTTGTTAGCCCAGGAAGGTAATGTAAGTTAGCATATTGAAGCAGTTTCATTGAATCACAGTCCTTATTGGAAAGTCTGTTCAGTCTGCGGCTGTCTTGGCAACACCGCTGGGCAGTTATTTCCGGCCATACAAGACCAGCAGACTCCTATCTATTTTAATAGGGAAAGACCTAAAAAAAAGACCTAAAAACTTAAACTGAACGCCAAATTACAATTTCAAAAACGTTCGAAAGCAATGATGAAATCTGACAAAAAACTCACAAATAGTTTGTAGCATTTGGCTATTGCACTTGCTCAGATCTCCACGGGGGGCTTTTCCTGCTTGCCATAACAGCAAGCTGATTGGCTCAATTTATTTAACTCCTCAAAATCTCAGGCTTATTATATCATAAGGCTTATTATTCAGTTACGATAGGGACATCAGTGCAAACTGACTGAGCTATTCTCAGGTTATAGAAGTGTGTAATAAAGTTTGGGCCTACAGGCTTTGGCCATTTAAGGGGTTACAGGTGGGTAAACAGACACCATCTTTAATCCTACAAGCTTTCCTATTTATATTTCAACCAGTGTCCTGTCTCCTTCTTTATAATGTCTCTGTTTGAATCGATTTTGTGCATCGAGCACACCCTGTTAAAACTAAACTGAGTAGTGTTCCTGAAATTATTAATTTTGAAGCATGAACATTAGCTAACGGTAGTGTTTTGCTTGCTTTGCTTGTGTTATCGATTATATTCCTGCCATTAAAAGAGCAGGGACTAAAGGAATTTGGGGGTGGGTTTTAGAGGTGCCGTACTCAGGTTAGTGGTGGATTTTGCTGCAATCCAACATCGAAAGTTAATAAAATTGTCCCCAGACATGTATTCTTGCTATGAGATCAGAAGATGTAATGATCTTTTTGTCAAATATCATTAGGTAGGTAATGTTAGCATGTTAATGGTGAGAACAAATGGGCATGTACTCACTCTATAGTCTCTTTTTATTGAGACTGTCTCAATCAGTCGTTTGATCAGGTTCAATTTTAGTTTAAATGTTGACCACCTAGTCAGCTGCCTATGTAGGCAGTAGGGTGCAAAGCATGAGGCACACCCATATCTGATGTAGGGGAATTAATAATGCAGTACTCCCAACTTAGAGAGAAAATCAATTTTGGTAATTGGAAAATCTAAATGTAAAGCCTATATGAAACACTTGTGGCATAATCGTACTCCAGTGTGGTGAAAGGCCGTGTGATCAGCCATGTGACTTTCAGTGCGCTGGAAATATATGTTTTACAAATGAAAATATATTGTACCTTTAATGTGAGGCAGGACTTTTAGAGTCCTATTTCTTTGTTAAGCATGTTCAAAATGAATGGGCGGAGACTGCAGACCAGCTAACCCCACCCACCCTATTATGACTGGCTTGCTCCACCACGCCATCTGCGCTTGGCGGCCCATGGCTTTGCAGGATTGAGCACGGTGATGCGGAGGCAGAGCCTGCATCTGGATTCTCCTCCTGACAGTGGGTGGAGCTTACAGGGACCCCCGGAGGACTGGAGGACACACTGCAGCTGCTCACTGTCCACAGGCAAGGATACTGACTAAGGAAGCATAACAGAAGACAAGATTGAGAAATTATTCATTGACACTGACACGTTGATACTAGGGGTGCAAAAATGGATTGTGATGCTGAATGTGGTGATTCAGCTGCAATAATTCTGGGATTTTATAACTGATTACAATAATGTTCAATAAAGGATGCACTTATTTTTTGTCCAAAATAAAATTCTTGGCCTATTTTCAGATATAAAAACTCTTGTGTATTGTCTGTAAACCACTACAACCGTTAGTTTCTCCAGTCACGTTCATGCGATACAAGCAAAGCAGAGATTTATATCCACCAGTGCAAGAGGTCTTACAATGAGCAGCAGTGTCATGATGTGCCCTGGTGCTGAACATGCAGCTATTATTGTATCTCAGTGTGGTGGGAAACAGAGGTCATTGTGTAATTCATGTGCTGGTTCTGACCTGCTGACTCCAGGTGAGTTTGGACCAGATGGCACTGAGAGCATTGCAGCAGGACCAGGAGGAGAAACACCTGTCCAGCTTTCATGACCAGAGAACACCTGCAGAGCACCTGGACTCAACCCCTCAGACAGAGAGACTGCAGAGAGACAGACGAAATGACATGATAACTGAAGATGGGGACAAAGTGAGTCAACATTTACATGCACTTTTACATTGCAAATAAAGGGGCATTCTAGCCAAAATTTAAAAAAAATGTAACCATCTGTTGTACCATGCTTAGTCGCATCCTATAGAGGTGCTACAGTAGTCTCTAGAGCAGATATCTTCAGTTTCAGTCCTGGTTAGGAATTCCATTCCTAGTTAGGAATAAGATTTTGGCCTGAAATTTATATAATTTTCCATTCATGGAAAAGTGGTACAGGCAGAGTGTTGTAAGGAAAAATAGTTCCCAAAGAAAACATTCTTTTCTCAGAATTGTATCTTTTTGTATAGTAAATAGGATGGTTATATTTGTATTGTAGACATTGTGTACCTGGTTCTGTCACTACCACTGTAAACAAATCTGAGTCTGTAAGTTCCTCTACAGTGCACCGTTTGACATCAAACCCCTCTGAATGACTTTGGATACATCTCAATAATTGAATTAGGCATAATTTTTGAAAAAATTGATGGAATTTCACCTGAACAGATGAGCTGATTAAGGTGTGTTTGAGCAGGAAAATCACCAAATTATGTTGGACATCAACTTTAGGGTGGATTTTTTAGGGGCAGGTTGTTTGGACTGTTTTTAGTTGGTGAATGCAGAAGGAAGGCAGATAGCTGACTGTCTTTAAATCATCATTACAATTTAGAGAATTACATACTTGAGTGACAGAAATGACTCGTGTAATGAGGAGGACTGTGAGCTCAAAGCTAAACTAGCCTCTAGCATCCAACTAATGCTGAATAAATATAATTTATGAAAAAGCTATCTTGTTTAACAACTTTAGGAGTTATTCTAATGCTAGCTTGTTTCATTTATTAGGCTGTAGATAACTGACTAGCAGTCAATATTGTGTGACATCACACAGATTCCCAATGCTTGTATGATGTATTTGTTTAACGCATGCTGGGTATTGTAGTGAGAGAATATTGATGAGTGAAAATATGAAAACAGTACAATGTTGTGAATTCTGTTGAACCGATGAGGCTGAGAGATGCAGTGTTGCACAACAGACTACAGCACAACACAGCAAATAACATACTAAATAATAGCTTTTAGTGGATTTCCCCTTTAAGCTGCAACACTGGCCTAGCTTTCATTATGATTTTACCGATTTAGTGCTTGATTTATTTACAGTGTCAAAACTGCTTTAGTAGAATATGCTCATCTTTTATCGTTGTCATATCAAAACCCTGTACTCTCATTTCTTTTGATGTTTATTTTTATACCATTTGAAAACACATTTCATCATGAATGGACAAATAGAAACGCTGCTCTAACTTTAAAGTTAAGAATGTTTTTTTTTCTTAGTTTTGATTTCAGGCATACAAGGCTTTCTTATGACAGCATTACTTATTATCATTGAGTGCTCCTCAAAAGTTGGCTAACTAAATGTTGCACCTGAATTGTGGCTGCGGTGGTGGTGGTGCAGGTAAGGAGGTGGGTAGGGAGTGGCTCGGTGTCCATGCAGGCTGGAGTAGTGTTTATACCCATGGTGGGGAGCCAGGGGCAAACCCCCCGGGTATGGGAAGTTACTACCACCAGAAGAACAAAGGGAGTCTGGGTTGGAAATAAACCATCCGCCTGTAAATGAAAACATACAAAAAGCCCCACAAAAGTCAGAAAAGCTTCTAGATAGATTCACGATATGATAACAATGGCATGCTGTTAATGTGGTGCCAAAAACACTCACAGTGTGGTATCCCAACATGTTGGTTCTCTGGAGGATGTTCTAGAAGATTCTTGGGATGGCTTCTACAGATTAAGCAAATTACCGTCATGATACTTTGAACCAAAAGGTTTGTCCAAGACAGAAAACAGCCATTCCCAGTGTCATTCAGCTTGGAGTACCTGGCACCTGGCCATGCAGCAGCGTCCTTACCAGAAGTGTCCACCTCTCTCAACTAATCCTATCCCCGCCTTCGCCCTTACTTATGGTGCTTTTATGTGCCAATAAAAAGATGGCAGTGTTTCTCAGCCCCAGTTCTTTTGTACCTGTGCACCAAACAGCTTAGTGTTTTCGCTGCTCTGAAACAGTGATTCTCAGCTTTATTCCTTTAAACTCACTGCTCTGAACTATTTCAAATAATCTCTTGTTACGACCTCAAAAGTCTAGGGGCAAACAGAGAGGTTGTATGTAAAAAAGACCAATGGCCAATCCAAACAACCACACAAAGACATAGTCTCTGTGTAGCCTGCTTTGTTAAAGCTGCGCTATGTAAGATTTTTTGTTTAAATTGATAGTAATAGCATTACAGGAGAAAAATGCACCAAAATATGGTATTCTTGCACTACTGTGAGTCACTCTGTAAAGTCTGAAATAATAATTTAAAAGTCACAGGTGTCGAGTCTGATTTCACTGGAATTTTTCTAACCATGTCCCACGTCTTGATATATTAATGTCACATGCACAGCCTCTAAAAGTAGGTCCAGCTCAATGTTTAGGTCTCAAAAGCAAAATCACTATTATACTTAGCCTTTTCCTTTAGCTTTACCCAATCAAGTTGAAATAATATGGAGTGTTTTAGCCTAGATTGCTTTTTGAATAAGGCACAATACAACAATACAGCAATACAGGACCGCCAAATATATATATATATATATATATATATATATATATATATATATATATATATATATATATATATATATATATATATAATTGCCGGTCCTGTATTGCTGTATTGTTGTATTGTGCCTTATTATATAGCGATAGATAGATAGATAGATAGATAGATAGATAGATAGATAGATATGCACACCAATGCAAGATATAGGCCTTATTTTTTAGTTCTGCCAAGGTTGAAGTAGGTAAATGAACTGAATAAGCTAAGTGTAGATATCCAGTGTATTAGGCCAAGTGTAGATCTCCCTCTTCATGGAGAGTGAAAAGCAGCTTCCGGTGAATGAACTGTAAAAGCAGGCATGGTGGTATGAAGAGCCATCAGTGCAGACAGGGCATCACTGTATTTGTGCTCTTTACTCACTGATAAATGAGGGTCAGAGAGTTAGCGCATGGCTAATCAGAGACTAGCCTTCTGATGATGATTAGCCATGTGTTACACCTCACACATTCTTCACCGTACATGCTCCAAATCTCTCACCCTCACTTCACACTGCCTCTCCAACAAGCTCCTTACTCATACACTCACTCAATTCCCAGCATAAACGTTTAATAATTGCTCGCTAATCACGGCTGATTTCGCACAGTCATGCTAGCTTGACTAGTGCTAATGCCTGCTATGATATGATAGACTGCACAACAACATCGGTACACTGATGTGAATCCAAACAAGGACAAGCTTCAAACAACGGGGGATATGAAACGAGTTTCAAACATGAATCATATTTTGTAAGACTGGTGAGTACAAGTACCTCTCCTTAGCATCCAGGAAGGCCTTTGCAAAGGGATTATATTTAATCTTCAGAGCAGTTATCTGTGAATGAGATAATATTCGAGTCAAATTCATAATCAAATATTCATAAAGAAAATACTGAATTTATTCAGCATGTACATTGAGGATGAGTCATTCTAATACTGGCTTGGTACTGTGTGAAAGTTTTAGAAAAATAGATTTGACAATCTATTCACCTGGTCAGTGAGCATTTATTTGCTCAGAAAAAGGTATGTCGATTGTGTTCACTGAACCTTTTCCAAACCTCTCTTCATAGCAGCCCAGCATTATTTGTATTTATCATCCAATAATGGTTTGGCTAATGAATACTTCATTAAGTTAAATCAGGTATGCTGGTGATGGAATTTAACAGATCTGTGTGACGGCTGGCGATGCCAAGGAGAAATCTGGAACCAAACTTTGTTCTTCAAACTAGTTCACAAGATATTAACTACTTTTTTTTTTTTTTTAAATAAATAATATTGTGTTCCTTTTTTGTCAATATTTACTGTATTTATGCTTGTTTGTATGGATTCTACAAGCAAATACACACTGCCATGATAAATAGCTTTCAATAATGTGCTTGTACAGTGCTGTGCAAAAGTCAGAGACCACCCTTTAGTAATTTAATTTAGGCCAAATCAGCCATCAAGTACAAATTGGCTAAGTACAAGTACTGGGCAAGAGTGGAGCATGATTTTCATGATTTTTCAATATTGCTTATCTGGTGGAGATGCAGGTGGTTGTTGTGAGTCTCATTTTCTTTATAGTGTTTAATTATTTTTTGAACTCCACTTTTTTTGCCTATTTCTCTTTGACTTTCCTCTTCCTTATGCATGTGGACTATCATATCTAGTCTCTCAGAAACATCTCTGGTAAAGTTGACTGGAAATTAAATAAATGAAGGGTGATCTTTGATGGATGGATGGATGGATGGATGGATGGATAGATAGATAGATAGATAGATAGATAGATAGATAGATAGATAGAGTGATTGATTGATTGATTGATCGAACTGACCTCCTCGTTCTGGTAGGCCGTGACAGCGATGAATTGGGTATCAGTGAAGGAGATGTTAGTGACCATCCTGTGGCTGCCCCCCACACGAACAATGTGGATCTGTGGCTTGTACTTATGGAGTGAGTTCAGCATGATCTGCACCAGACAGACACACACACACAGAGAGAGAGAGAGAGAGAGAGAGAGAGAGAGAGAGAGAGAGAAAGAATAAGAATAATTGGATAATTGGACAATTCAATGATGGTATTCGGACATGTCATACAGTGAATATTCATTTTGTCCAGCATTTCATTACCATATGCAAATTCACTAACTGCTGACTCTGTTCCTGCAGATTAACTCAAACATTACAACAGGGGAGCTTGTGCTTATATTTCATATATCCAGATATGTAGACAGAGAGAGAGTGAGAGAGAGTGTGAGAGAGAGTGTGAGAGAGAGAGAGAGAGAGAGAAACAAACTGTTTTTCATTCTAATTGACAGCTTTACTTCACCTTTCACCATCACTATGACTGATGAGGGCCAGGTACTCATCAGCATGGCTGCGGGGCAGGGGAAAGGGCTTTGTGTGCTTTTTTCTCCTCTACCGATGCTGTTTTAATATTTCGCTTTTTTTTTGGCCTCTGAAACATCTAAGGACTGATGGCTAAATTAATTTTTGCATAGAAAAAAACACAGGTAATTACCATAATGTACAACTAACCACGGCAATTATTTCATTTGGAGGCCCGGTTTCTCTCTCTATCTCTCTCTCTATCTCTCTCTCTCCCTCTCTCTCTCTCTCTCTCTCTCTCTCTCGCCGTCCTCTGCCGCTTGCCAACACTGCATTTAAAAATGCCAGAGAAAAGGGAGTGGAGAGGAGTGGGGGTGATATTGGAGGGGGGGGGTTCATGTAAATACCGGCGATAATTTTGCGGCGGAGTCATACTCCAATGGAGCCGTGCTGGAGCACCTCTCGGGCGGCCTCCAATGAAAGCCCCCCCGATGACTGGGCCCCTGGAGTATAGAGCGCTCCCGTCTGAACGGCAGGAAGTGCATTAAACGGGGAAAGTGGCAATTAAGAGCTGTTTATTCCTGTTTACATGCGGGCCCCGCCGAACAAAGGGGCTCCATAGGTGAAGTGGACGCCGAGGAGAGCACTAATTGTATAAATGCACACTTGATATTTCCCAGGCAGCAGCAGACGGCATGATTAGAGGCAGTCCAAGGCTCCTAAAAGCTCCGCATGGAGCACACGAGTGGCCTGGCTAAGATTACCCACCCAGCAAGGCAGACAAAGTGCTACACCTGTACTGAAACGCACACACAGGTACTTGCATTGGGCACAATGGCAGTGACTCTTTCATGCTGGATTGAGGTTTGTGTGGTGGGCTTGTTTCAAGGCTAAGCTAAGAGAAGGAGCAAGATCAGACAGGACGAATGAGAAGCAGGTGGACGAGCAAGTGTAAACATCTGTGCATGCTAAATATAAAAGTTTCCCAAAAAAGTAACATCTTACATTACAGACCAACAGAAAGCTGCTGTATGACAAAGTATTCCGCATTTCTAACTTTAAAGGAGAAACCCAATGGTTTTACAAACCTTTTACACAGTTTATTTATCAAGATGTAAACAAGTCATTAAGAGTGCTTTGATGTGAAATCCACCATTCTTGACTAACATGCTGAGTCAGAATTGTTCTCAATGGTGGCGATAGGAACCAGACGTCTGAAGAGTTGAATGCCTCTAAAAGCTACCTCACATGAAATGGTTACAAATACGGCTGAGATGCTGTTTTACTATAGTTTCATGATATGTTGCTGGCCTGAAGCATATGTTTTCAAATACATTCACACTTTTTTCAGATTTATCACTATTTTACCATTATCAACACTACATATATACATATAGAAACTCTGAGGACACGTGGAGATTCACTGGATATTTTGATTATTTTGCTTATAAAAAATGGCCATTTTTGTGCTGTAGACATGGCGACCCCTGGTTCCTATCACCACCACTGTTAAGAAAACTGAGGGTAAGTTTCTCTATAATGAACCATTTCATGTCAAACCACTCTGAATGGCTTTGTTTACATCTCAATGACTGTATTGTGCAATTTATTTAAAAAAAGCATCATTTTCCGAAGGAGCACTGTGAAAGCTCTAAACAGGGCCCCTTTATCATCTTCATGAAAAAACATAACTGAGAAATGCGTGAGGCGGAAATATGTGAGAGATGAGTTAGCATGCTACATATAAAAGTACAACCAAAAACAAAACAGCCTGTTTAATTTGCAGGTATTTGAAACCAATTGCAGTGTTTTTGGTACATAAGACCACACAAATGTTCTAATTGGATCCGGACAAAAATAAAATGTAAAATAATTTGTAGGATATGGACCTCTTAAAAAATATTTTGGCTAATTTAAAATTAGCACAATTTTCTGTCCCGAGCGTAGTCGATTAGCAAACACATTTTTGGCGTCCAAAGTTTAGTTTTGTTAACTGTTAACTATAAAAATATCTGTTAACTACGAAAACAGATAAATGTGTTGACAGAGTTTAAGATGGTTGCTGCTACTGTTTTTAATGTACTTTTTTATCCATGTCCATTTTTATACATAACAGGATGTCATACAGTGTCAGATACCATATAAACAAGTCTATTTGAGAATACTTAATTTACTCTGTTACAGTATAACTGTAAAATAATGCTTATTTGCAAAACTGCACAATGTGCACTCACCAAGACAAATTCCTTATATGTGTAACATACTTAACAAAATAAAGAGATTCTCATTAAGGAAATTCTACCAATTTTCAAAAATTTGTGCAAATATTGTATTAAAATATATACAAAAACTCTAGAACTAAGTCAGTCATAGTGGTTTGATGTGAAATGTAAAGTTCTAGAGAAACAGAGTCAGAATTTTTCATAGTGGTGGAGTTTGATGTGTTTGATGCCTCAAAAAGCTCTCTCACAGAAAGATATTCCATGAAATAGTTAAGAATATATTACTTGATGTCTTAGATATTGATTTACATTAGCTTTGAGACAATTTTGACCTCAAATGTAGGTTCACTAGTCATTTTGGATAGTAAATAAAATGGCTATATTTGCTTTGTAGACATTGCCAGGTCCCTATCAGCACCACTGTAAAGAAATTGGAGTCTGTTTGTTTTTCTACAGTGAAGCATTTCACATCCATTGAATGACATTGTTTACATCTTAACAACTAACAACAGGAATTTTGAAAAATTGATGGAATCCCCCTTTAACACAGTTAGCAGCTATAAGCTTTCATTACTTGTCAACTGCACTCGGGGCTCCAGTACAAAACTATAGAGGCAAACTTTAGACACTAAATATGACTTGGCTGATTGACTACATTTAGGGTAAAGAGGAAAACTGTATAAATGTGATTTATTTGCTGAACTGTCACTTTTATACAGAATGACTAATAATGGACCCCTGGCAGACCCAGTTACATACAGAGTTATGGAAAAAAAACACAAACACTCTTTAAGGCACCTGTCCTCCTCCGTTGAGCTTGTTGGTCAGTTTGACTTTGCTGAAGGACACGGGGGCCTTCATCCAGTGGGCTCCAAAGTTGGGCGAGTCAGGGTGGATGTAGACACAGCTGTGTGTGTGCGGCTCAGGTTTACCGGCGGGCACCCACTCTCCGTTCACGTACTTCCAGCGGTGACCATCGGCCGGGCTGAAGTCCAGCAGGAAAGAGTACATGGCATTCGGGTCCAGGCCGGACACGCTGACCTTCAGAACTGGAAACATTCGTCTAGAGGAAGAGGGGAAGCTGTGTCACATCGTTCTGTATTCTGAGTAAGAGCAGTTAAGCTAAGCATCTAAATGCATCTAAGCATCTAAATGTTCTTGTATACTTTTACATCATTCTTCTATGGCAATTCCACAGATTTTCCAAAAAGAATTGTTCTGCATAATGAAATGGTTGAGATGTAAACAAAGTTATTCAGAGTGGTTTGGTGTGAAACGCTCTATTCTAGAGAGACTCAGAATTCTTCACAGTGGGGATAATAACCAGACAGCCAAAGAGTTAAGGGGTCTCTAAAAGATCCCTCCCTGTAAGCCTGATGAGACATTGTTTTATGATAGTTTTGAGAACTTTTTGGTCTGTTTTTTTGTATGGTGGGGAGGCACATGCAGATCGTTTTGAGGCAAAATAGTCCCCAAAGAAAACTTGTTTATTCAGATTTACCACTATTTTACTATGATCAACATTGCATATAAAAACTCAGAAGACGTGTAGGTTCACTGGTGGTTTTGGATAGTAAATAAAATGGCTATATTTGTGCTGTGACCTCTGGTTCCCATCTCCACCACTGTAAAGAAATCTGAGACTGTATGTTTCTCTACAATGAAACATCTCACATCAAACCACTCTTTGTTTACAATAGAACAGTAGAATAGAATTATATATACATTTGGAAAAAATGGTGGAATTCAATAACATGCAAACATATACACATGAACGTCATACAAGCAGTGGCATAACCAGTATCTTATGGGTCCCAGTGCAGAGAAAGTGAATGCCTCCTCCTAATTCAAAAATTATTATCAGTGAATAAAAAATGACAATGTAATTGGCTCGTTTACTCACTTTTGTTCTTCTCAAACATGTTGATGCTCTTAAGGAATGCCATGTTAACCTAATTGTTTATATAGTTTTTGCACTAGGCAAAGGTAGACAGCTGCCTAGGGCCCCCATGAGCCAAGGGCCCCATGAAAACACAAATTAGATATGCTTAATGGGTTGGTGTCGAATAACCCATTCCAAAATATGTACACTTTTAAAAAACAGCTGTTATTATTAACTGTTATTTGTGACTGTAGTGATTGTTTTCATCAATAGGCCATTATAACCATGATCCCCCACCCTCAGTCACAGTTACAATGGACTATTCCATGTTCTTATGTCATGACTCAACAGCGTAAAGACAGGCTGTCAAGAACCAGGCGTTTAAGGAATAAGCCATTGGAGGTTCTTTGGTGTGATTTTCTAGGTGTTGAGAGAGAAAATGAAATGAAGTTATCCAAGCAGAGAAACGCAAAAGTGTGAAGGAATGTGAAAAGTTTGTTGCTTCTCTCTTACAGCTAATTATATTATAAAAGTAAGAACAGACTCAGCTGACTGTACTTAATGCTGGTGTTGATGTTAGTATAGATCAGCTCCAATGTTGGGGTAGTTACTCAAAAAAGAAATCAATTACAAGCTACTAATTACTTCTCTCAAACTGTGATGGGATTACATGACTTATTACTTCCTGGAGAATGTAATCTCAGTACTCATTACTTTAGCTGTGCATTACTTACTTTTACATCATTCTACATTATTTTGTATCAAATAATCTCAAGCTATTGGCAGATAATTGTACTTGTTTCATGCATATTTTTTAAAATAAGCCAAATTATGTCATCATAGTGACATCATTTCACTCAATATAATTGCTTAAGTAAAAATGTCTAGAAATAAGTTATATAATTGAATAATATTCTTCTAGCAATCCTGAAATGAGAAATATTAGATATATTGACTAGATTTTAAGATGATTTCATTTTTTTACAATGTAGATATCTGTGCAACTCAGGAACTGAGAGTCTTAACTAGTTTAAAAATACACATCCAGGGGGCCTCAGTTCCGTCTTTTGCTTAGAGCCCCAGAATCCCTCAGTCCGCCCCTGTACTGGACACCCTGTTGTTGCAGGTTGTGAAGGATCTATTTGGATGAGCTGCATGATGAATAAGGGGGAGACAAACAGACGTCAGTTCTATTTGGTGAATTACGTTGTTAGGAAACTGGAAGTTTCTGTGAGTCATGGCTGTACAATTGTGTCCCTGTCAATATGAATTCCCCCACTAAAGCACATAGGGGGCAAGTTCACCATGGGCCCCCTGCAGCATTAGCTCCAGTACAACTAAATAAATAAATGTATTTGGATTCATTGATTATGTTACTTAATCGAGTATCTTAGAAGCTGATTAACACAGTTTTGTGGAAAAACTTTGCATAACATTTCATTTTTTGAGTACAGGATTTACACCACTGCATACAGTTATATGTGGGAACACCTGCCCGAATGACATGTTTTGTTGGCTCTTGCAGAGCAGGAATTGTAATTAGGAACTGTCTGCTGATGAGAAATTAAACATGTTAAAACTTCCTTTACACTTCTACTAACACTTAACAACCATGGGCTGCTCTACTCAGCTGACTGAGGATCTGAAAGTTAAACTAATTGGTGCCTACAAAACAGAGAAAGACTATAAAAAGAAACCAAAGCGTTTAGTCGAAATGGGAGTTAAGCAGGACTGTGGAAATCAAGGCAAGATCTAAAGACCCAATACACACAAATAAAACTGCTTGTATGCTGTCCAGAAATGCAAAGCAAAATCCCCATATGACAGCAAAGGACCTGCAGAAAGATTTAGCTGACACAAGCGTGGTGGTGCACTGTTCTACTGTTCTGCAAGGAATAGAACAAGAATAGAAGGTTTGCAAGCTGTGATACCAAAGAAGGTCTTACTAAAAACTTAGTAGGGTGTCCAAACTTTTGCACAAGCCATAGTTAATTTTCTTCTTTTTACGTTAGTCAAATATTTAGTATCAGTGCACTAACATCTGCAGAAAAATTATAATTTTAAATAGATGGCCATGTATGCCATTTGGCTAGACTTGTGCATTTGTAAACTGTTGCTTACTGTATTTGCACACATACACACACACCTCAAACATATATAATACAAGCATACACACACATACACACACACACACACACACACACACACTCTCTCTCTCTCTCTCTCTACAATTGCGTAAATCTTCCAGCTCAGGTTTAAAGTCGTGCGCTCAGCAGCTCTGTTAAACACAATTCACACTCACACACACAAACTTCACGAGAGGCTGGAAGCCGCTCATGTTGCTGTACTTTTTTTTTGGATGATTGTTTTTTGGACAAAAATGAGTTGGAGTGGGGCTGTTGGGGAACATGTAAATGGACAGACACCCACCTGCAGCGCTGACCTGTAACTACACAGCGAGCTGGTCAACACACCCTTCAGCTCAGCAGTACAACAACAAACCCATTCAAATAAATTAAACTGCCCAATCCAATAAAGCAGGCCAATAACAGCAATAACAAATAGCCTGATTGATTTCGATAGAGACAGACAGACACGGAGGGAGACAGAAAGACAGAGAGATGTGGACCTACAGAATGTCCAGGACATACAGAAAGCTGCTGTACAGAAAACAGTTTAGAATTTCTAACAGTGAAGGTTTTCAAAGAAAACTTGACATTTTTGACAGCAGCTCAAACATCAGGAATTATGTTAATATGAAATATGAAAAAAACACAAGTTAAAACCTGTAATGCAACTACAATTGCAAGTTCAGACAAATGTGTAAAAGGCCACTCTTACTCATCACTCATCAGAGTGACCGCTGACTATAGAACATATTTACATGTTTACTTTGTGTTATAATGGACAAAAGGCCATTAATGACACTGTGCTTCTGAAAATGACCCATCCTGCTGTTGGGAAACGCAGCAATACTAACAGTTTTAGCTTTTAATTAAGTTCATCTCACATTTTAGTAAATACAGTCAAAAAATAATAACATCTATTTTACTTTTGTGTTTTCAGATTATAATAACATAATGTTGACACTGACGTGCGTCATTCTGAATAAATAACGCTTAATAAAATAAGCTTTTATTTGTGCTGTTCATTGTTATAAACTGCATTATGCTTAAAGTTGAAAAAGAATGTATTTGCATTGTATTGGAAATGACGCGTTAAATTTAGTTAAATTAAAAGTCTTTTTTTTTCAAATTATATTACACTAAAAATCACATTCATCATTATTTATAAAACAATAAATGAGACACTTATTTGCTACTTATATTAGGTGAAATATTAAAATATAAAACGTGTTTTTATCTTATTCCATTTATACATTATATTTATCTAAATGTAAAAAACGTCTTTAAAGTCAAACAATAAATGGTTTAATTTTTTTCATTTAAAAATGTCTGTTTTATTCAGAAGCTGCGTCAAATTGATATTATATAGATATTACATTATATGAATATTGTTTTCATATTGAGTATAATTAGTGAAGCTGGATCAGACGCGTTTGACGGGTTTGACAGGTTTGAAGTTTCTGAGTTTCACTGAACTCTTATTTTGCTTTATTTCACTCAGAGCTGATCAGACTGAACCGCTTGTTACAGTTTTTTAAAAGTCTTTTTTTTCAGCGCGTGTACCTTCCGTTTTTCGTGACGATCATTTCGTTGGTCACTTCTTTGAACTTCCTCCACAGCTCGGCGTCCTCGAGACTCACGCGCAGCTGCTTCTCGGTGGGATCGCCCTTCTCGCGCCCCGCGCGCAGCTCGCTCTCCACGGCGCTCAGCAGGCGCGTGATGCAGCAGTCCCCGGGCGCGCGCGCGCCTTTCCCCGCGTCCCCTTCCACCTTCATGGGCTCCACACTAACTAACTAACTCACTAAGTCTCTCTCTCTCACTAACTCTCTCTCTGTGTCTCTCACTCAGAGGAGAAACTCACTGAAGTTCCAAACAGACTCAGCCTCACTGTCTCTCTCCGTAGGGGGGGGATGCTGAGTGGACAGATGCTGGGGGGCGTCCAGCCGCGTGGAAAATGTGTCTGAGCTCGTGTCCCACCTGTCTGCTCATCACAGCACGAAGGATAAGATCGTCAGACCACGTGGGCAGCCCCTTAATGTGGAGTTTCAGACTGAAATCTGAAGGGAAAAAAAGATGGCTCTTCAAAGGTTCTTTAGTAAAGGCAGTGGTTCTATTCAGAAGCTTGATTTCTAGAACCGTTTGCATGCTTAAGTGATTCTTCGTGAAATGTTCTTTAGATTGATGGAGAACAGAACTGAAAGAACAGAAGAATAGAAGAACTTTTTTTGGTGCCATACAGAACCATTTTCAAAAAGGTTCTATATAGACACCACATTCTCCATCCATCTGAAGAACCATTTCACCACGCAAGCATGCAAATGATTCGATATAGAGCTCATGGTTCTAAACAGAAGCCTTAACTAAAGAACCCTTGAAGCACCGTCGTTTTTGAAGTGTAGATCAGGGCTGTTTAAACTCTGGAGTTTTTGCGGAAGCTTTTCTGTCTAAGTGCGCACGTGCTTTAGATCCGCTGGAAAAGATTTGTTCTTGAGCTCATTGATCAAAGAAACTGACGCCGAATTCGATGTGAATATAAACACGCTGGAAGCTGCGAACCGGATTAACTTTATTACATGTTTACGTCACGATTTTGCCTCGTTTAGAGATTTTTCTCTTTGGCCCTGGAAAACAGTGTAAACACCAGAATTACAAGGGTGCGCAGTGGATGCGCAGTCTAGTGAACAGTGGTGTAAGTGTGAAAATAATTCCCACGTCCGTTTGTTTCGATAGAAGCGATTAGAAATGCGTAATCCAAAGAGTTTGGGCGAGAACCTATTATTGTTATTCATTTTAAAGAACTATCTTTGCTGCTTGGGTCACCGGGTTCAGCTGTCGAGATCTTTTTCTTTTTCTTTTTCTTTTTTGAAAAATGAGAAACACTCAAAGACAGACAGACAGAGAGAGAGAGAGAGAGAGAGAGAGAGAGTACGGTGGCTCTCCGTGAGGCTGGTCTCTGCATCATTATAAATGATGAGGAACAGCAATTTTAATGCCTGGATTTAAAGAAACCCAGTAAAGTCCTTTTTAAAGTGGCCGCGCTGCTCTTCAGCACTCTGGACAGCGACACAGCCAAACACTGCATTACAATACAGCAGTGACCCCTCAGACTCACTCAGAGTTTAATAATAATAATAATAATAAACACAACTTTTTTCACACGTTTATAATTATTCCAGCTTGGATTCGGTTATTATGAGCCACTTTAGTAATAATAATAATAATAATAATAATAATAATAATACAGCACTTTCAGACTCTACTTAAACAGAAATGAGCACAAATGAATCCACTTTTTAGATTTCAACCAGCATTAAATTGAGTACAGATTTTCCCTCGTCGCAGTCCGTCCGTGTCAGCAGCCGCTCAAAACACCAGAATAAAATGAAATACAATAGAAAACAATGTCCTAAAGCGAAGAGCTCAGGAGAACAAACGCATGAAAACGAGCTAATTAGTCCCTTATATTAACCCATTGTGCAGTGAACCCATCTGCAAATGTGCAGTGAAAAACAAATGGTTCATGATTGTGTCAGATGGTTGTACACACACACACACACACACACACACACACGACACGACACATTCATGTCGATTTAAAACAGCGAACACTCCCAGAAAAAGGTGCTACACTGTCACTGATGTGTGATCCTGATGGCTCCATCTTCAGTACCTGTAGATAACTGTACTACAATCTATTGAAATAATATTTTGTAAGTTGTACTGACTCCACACACCCCGTCTCAACTTCAGCCTTTTTGTTTTATTGTTCTGTTTTATGAAACCGTACAAAAAAATCCAGAAAAAACTTATTTAAGGTACACAGTTGGACCTTAAAACCACTGCACTCTCAGAAAACAAGGTATAAAAGTGTCACTCTTGTCACTGCAGTGGTTCCCTCAAGGGAACATCTCAGTACCTTTAGTCAGGGAACCTAACTGTTCCATAATCTGTTGAAATTATATTTTCTAAGTTGTGTTGACTCCACATCCCCCGTCTCGTCTCCAGGCTTTTATTTTATTGTTCTGTTTTAAAACATTCGGTTATGAAAAGATACAAATATGTACTAAAAACGTATTTAAGGCACACAATTGGACCCTAAAACCACTGCTGTACCTTTGAGGGAACATTTACACTGTTTGTACCTTGATAAACAAAAAATGTACCTGCACAGAACCTTTATTTCTAACAGTTTGCTGTACCTGAGGCACATTTATACTATTTGCACCTCGATGAATAAAACATGTATCAGCACAGTGCCTGTCTTTCTGACAAGATGGCTCTTCAAGGGATTTATGGTAAAGAATGAACACTAGTGGAACCCTTTGCATGATTGAAGCGTTCTTTGCATCATGAAGGGGTTCTTAAGAATGTGCTGTAGAGTTTTATATAGAACCTTTTTGCAATACAAACTGTTACAGTGTCAAGCTTGTTATAATAGAGGAACCCTTTTGGGTGCTATATAGAACCCTTTTCAAAAAGGTCATAAAACCATCTACAGCACATTCTCCATCAATCTGAAGAACCCATTCATGATGCAAAGAACCCTTTAATCATGCAAAGGGTACTCTGAGTGTTCATGGTTCTACAGACCCATTTTCTTTACTAAAGAACCTCTGAAGAACCATCTTTTTTAAGAGCGTAGAGGGCCTCATAAACTGTTCTGATTGACCCAAAGCAAGAACATCTAACAGTAACGTATTTGATTATTTTCATTATGCATAATTTTCATACTTTTTTCCACAAACAAATTATTTTTTTTACTGTTGTTCCATCAAAATCAAAATCAGGTCCCTAAGACTGAACTTACGATCATCAAAGTGAGACTCATGCAGTTGTTTGTCTGATTTGACTGATCTGACCAGACCAGAGGAAACAGGTGTAGTCATTAAGGGGTGAAGTGAGATGTGTGTGTGTGTGTTTGTGGTCATTAAGGGGTTAAGCGAGATGTGTATGTGTGTGTGTGTGCGCGTGTGTTTGTGGTCATTAAGGGGTTAAATGAGATATGAGTGTGTGTGTGTGTATGTGTGTTGTCATTAAGCGGTTAAGCGAGGTGTGTGTGTTGTTTGTGTGAGGCGGATTAGTTCACTGTGTGCTGAGCTGTGTGTTCGTTAGAGAGCTGAGCTGAGTGTCCGTTAGAAAGCAGAGTCCAGTGTGTCTGTGCTGTTCAGCGCCTCCTCCAGCTGCTCTCTGGGGTCACGCGCTAATTGAGGAGCCGCAGTGAGGGATGAGAGGAGCTGGACATCGTGTGTCTGTACCGAGAGGAGAGGAGCATGCGGGAAACCCGATGCTGCCACTCGCTCTGTCTGTGAGATTAGAGGGTTTAGGCACGGAAAAGGTCTCATTAACGGTGCCTCACCGGACAGCACAGGGAAGGACAGGAGTGCCCAACCACTATCACTGACTCAGCCATGATTACAGTGGGCTGCTGTAAATTTCACTGTAAACTTAGATCACTCTGTAAAAAAATGGTAAAAGTTACAGTAATTTTACAGGAAACTACTGTATATTTACGGTAAATAATCAGAGCATATACACACTCTTAAAAAAGGATGGTTCTTTAAGTGTTCTTTAGTAAAGACAATGGTTTTATATAGAACTGTGAACACTCAAGGAACCACCTGAATGCTTAGAGGGTTCTTAGCATGGTTCTTCTGTTTGATGGAGAGTGTGTTGTATATGGTTCTATACAGAACCTTTTTGAAAAGGGTTCCATGTAGCACCAAAAAGAGTACTTCTATTCTATACGAGCTTGACATCATAACAATAGAAGAACACTTTTTGGTGTTATGTAGAACCATTTTCAAAAAGGTTCTATATGGAACCATATACAACACACTCTCCATCCAACCATGCTAAGAACCCTTTAAGTGTGCAAATGGTGCTTTGAGTGTTCATGGTCCTATATAGAACCATTGTCTTTACTAAATAATCCTTGAAGAACCATATATTTTTAGGTGTATTGTAAAATATTTACAGTAATAACCTGTGAACTTACTGTAAATGTACAGTACTTTCCTGGCAACTCTGCTGCCTGAATTACTGTAAAATGCATTGTCTGATATATTACTGTGAACCAATGCACCACTCTATACGCCCAGTCTTTTACAGTATGATACTATAAAATAGCAAACCAGTATTTTAATGTAAAATACTATATTTTTACAGTGTAAAATTACTTAACAGGTTCAAGCTTATATAACTTTATGAGTTATAGTTACTTTGTAATTTTGAGTGATCCACACTTCTGCAGCAAATAAGGTTAACTCAGACAGCCCAGTCATTTTAAATGGTTTCCAGAGAGCTGGTGGTTCTCTACTTTTTCAAGTTCTGCTTACTCTTGAATTAGTCTGGCTTTCTTGAATCAGTTGCTCCTCCTTGTATAACGTATTGGCATCGATTATAGTTATTCCATTATATTAAATGGACTGTTTTGTACAGTATTGATTACATGGCTAGAGTAGCTTAATGTATATTTGCCATTTAGTTAGTATTCATGGCTCCAGGCTGAGCTGGTAAACCTCAACATAAAACTCCATTGTGATGAGAATAACAGAAACAATATAATGTATTCAAACTTCACATTTAACATGAGAGCATGCTCTGACAAAAATTAACACTATTTTTTGTCATATTTTATACATTATTTTTATAAATTACAAAAATAAAAGTTAATTTATAAAAAACAAAACTACTAAAAATGCTGGGAAGCATTTTGGGCAAAACACTTCTCAGAATTGTGGACTTAATCAAGTTAACTGATCTGAACTAGATTTACCTCCGTAACTGAGGACTACACACAAAATAGCTAATTTGTATTATCAATTTGAACAAATATGTAAAGTGAGCCAAAAAATGTTAGTACAATTATGTTTTACAGTGTTCAGAAAGCAGACTGAGAAACTCTGATTTGAATAAGCTTTTAATCACTACAGTACAGTGTTCTTAACATGTGCAACTGCTACTCTTAATCCTTACATAACAGAGACAATACTACACTACACTGCAGCACACTGAAATATACACTAAGAGGTTTGCATTATTAAAATATCCATTATTCAAAATTAAGCAACTGAAATACTTTCAACTAAAAAGTATATTAGGTGATACCCTGTCCTTCCAGTTATTACAGTACTGTGCAAAAGCTTTGAGAAAATTATCATTAAGAAGCTCTTTACTTGGGCGGTATGCATTTATTTGCTCTGTAAATTAGTAATATCAGAATAAATATAAATAACATTAATCTAAAAAGTACTGACTGTATGTATTTCCCAAGCTCTCCTCACAACAGACCAGTATTATTTGTAGCCACCATCCAATAAACCTTTATTAAATTAAATCAGATGTGCTGCTGATGGAATTTAACACATCTGTGTAATGGAGTGCGTCCAGGACAATCCTGGAACCAAATCATCTAACCAGCTCACAAAACTACTACTTTTTTACAAACAAAAAAATCCAATTTATTTGAAATGACCAGCAAAAACACATTATTATAATAATGTTAACTATTTAAGACTCCTCCACATTACTGTAAATCACAAAGAGTAAAAATACACAAACTGAAAATACTTTGAAATGACAATCAAAATAACATTAAAATGGTAGTTCAGAAACCCTTTCATACACTACAGCACAGTATCAGAACCATTTCCTCCTTGTAGAGGAATATCAAGTTTTTTTAATGGTTTAGTTTGAAAGTTCTGACACACTGATGAGGAAATGTCAGACTCTGTAATTACAATCATCTAAAACAGTAAATAAAACTGGACCCATCTGAGTTTAAGCAGCCATTTAACAAGCACAGCTCAGAGAAACAAATAATCACAGCAAACACTGAAAATCGCTGACAATATTGGCACCCTACAAAGAGCTAAGCAGCTAGAAAACAATACCAAAAATCATAATGACCCCTTGACTTGTGGAAAGTGCAGTGCAAGACCTCAGTGAGCTGCAGAACTCAAAAGGGAATTCAGCATTTTCAAATTTTCTGCATAATTTAATGGTTAAGATGTAAACAAAGTCATTCAGAGTGGTTTGATGTGATCTGTTTCTAGAGCAACCTGCTGAGTCAGAATTGTTCACCTTGGTGGTGATAGGAACCAGACGTCTCAAGAGTTTAATGTTTAAAAGCTCCCTCAGTGAGGTTATTATAAGAAATAATAACCAAAGTTATTATAAGAAATAACTGCCTGATGCTTGAGACACTGTTTTTGATAGGTTTAAGAGGCTTTTTACCTAAAACATTTTTATCCATTCATGGCGATGGCAGACAGGCACACGCAGGGCAAAACAGTTGCCAAAGAAAACATATTTTTTCAGATTTGCCACTATTTTACCATCGTCAATATTACATATAAAATACATAAACTCAGAATACACGTGTAGATTCTCTGATTGCTGTGGATAGTAAATAAAATGACTACATTTGTGTTGTAGTCGTTGTGACTCCTGGTTCCTATCACTATCATAAAGAAATCCACATCAGTTAATTTCTCTCCAACTGTCTTTGTTTACATCTCATCAGTATAACTATGCAGCAATGTTAAAGAATCAGTGGAATTTCCCTTTTAAACAAACTAAGAGAACAAAAAGACCTTCAGTAAAAAAGCAACAAAAAAAAATTAAAAAAAAACAAAAAAACAACGAAAGCCACAAATACTGAACTCTATTTGACGGTTCTAGGATTTTCAATGAAGACTCCATATTTACACAGCAATACAATCCCACACTAGGCTTCATTTGGATAGAACGTTTGCTTCAATGTAATAATGAAACAGCTGACCAGAAGAAGAAGGCACCAAAGAGGAGATTAGAATGGTTTACACTACAGGCCAAAATCATGGATGCAGAGAAGTATAAACATTATTTTACAGGTAAGGCAACCAGCCAACAACATATTTACTGACTTCAGTTAAAATAAAAAGAAAAAATGTTCCAGTGATTTGCAGCGCTGTGCTCTTACTCTATTGTATAATTTGGGAAAAGTCTTCAGGCTATTGGTAATAAAGGTATCGTACATTGAGGTGTTTGTGCTTCTATATAAACTCCTAATGTATCACACCTGATTGAGTTTATCAAGCCTTCAGAAGCATCTGAATGGATCAATCAGGTACATCTATTTAAAGCTCTGCAGGAGAATAAGCAGGAGCTAAACAAATCTGATTAGCAAACATAGTACTGTCCATTATTTCTCAAAAAAAAATTCATGTTTATTTTTACAAAGTTAGTTTTGTTTCCAAACGTTTAGCCTGTTGTCTATTGTAGTGCAAGAAATGTGACCGAACAAAAACCTGTTCATCTCTATGTAAATATACAGCACTGTGCATAAGTCTTAGGCATCTAATGATACGCAAAGCTATTTATCTGGGCAATAAGTGTCTATTTGTTAAAAAACATTAACATTAGAATAAGTACAAATAAATAATGCATTGTGACTTTATATTAACCAGCCAGTATCTCGTTTATCTAATCAATCCTTCATTTAAAGGCCCAAATCATGGAAAAACAACTTATTCTTGCTTTTACAGTAGAGTGTGATGTAGTATGTAAACGTTGTAAAAGTACCAACATCGTTCACTACCCAGTCTACAAAGTCTTTATATGGAAACTAAACTGCAAAAATAGCCTGTTTTGAATATTTTGTGATGTCAAGAAAATCAACACATTTACATAACTGTCTATTCAGCCTTTGGTAGTTTAGCCCTGCCCATACATGCTGAATTTACAGGGACTGTTTAAGCCCAGGCACAATACAGTGAACAAGGCATAATACAGGACAGCCAATCAGAACAGAGATCATTTACATATATCAGTATTAAAGGCACAGTAACAAATTCTAAGGGGCAAAGAGAAGTTGAAGAATATAAAAATGAATTGTGACTGTTTTTTGTTCACTGAACCACACAAACACTATAACTGGACCTCAGGGGAAACATAAAAAGCCAGTAGAATATGTAGAATATAGGTATTTTAAATTAAATCAAGTGATATTTATCCAATTTCATGCAATGGCTGGAGTGCAGCAACAAGTCATGAACCAAATCTGTGTTCTACAAACTAAAATATTAATAATAACTTATTAAAACAATAAGTTTATGTCATATTTACTGTATTTACATTTATTTGTACTTATTCGGATGTTATATAGTGTTTTACAAGCAAAAGGCAAGCCAAGAGCCAAGTTACACAGTTTTAGACCATTTTCTTGGATGCCGAAGACTTGCACACAGTATTGTATGTTTACATACGCAAATTATAAAATGGTAAGGCCACTTTGTTCAAGTGCACAGTGGCAATGGTCATCTGTGACATCTTAACTGTAATCTTCATACAGCCATCACTACTTCACATTTCATTCCTTCACTGACCTCTAGAGAGAGTATGTGCGAGTATGTGCTGTGTGAGTGCAAGCGGTTACATCTGTACACATTCCTGGAGAGTGTCCAGCCATCGGGGAGAGGAAAAGCACACCTGTGGTGTGTGTGTGTGCCAGGCGCTAGAGTGGGAGCTCGAGTGGGCGCTACCAGTGGGCACTCAGGGGGTAGCGGAGCTGAAGCCAGAGCAGGCACGGAGAGAGGGAGGGGGGCGAGAGAGGTCCGCAGCACTACACCTCACTTCAAACATACGGAGAACACCTTAATCACCGCATCCCTGGATTAAAACAAACACAAATCAGTAAACAAGCAGCCTCGGCCAAAAGCAGAAGTGTGAAAAGTCTGTTTTGGCCACTCGAACAGAGCCATGAGCGAATGGAGCCTCTGACCTGGGGCCCATCTGAATCTGAAGCAGCAGAAGCATTTTAAACATGCTGTTTATCACAACACGCTACAGTACAGTTTTAAAACTGTACTGCAATGCTGCGAACTTCAGTGAGCAAACTGACATGCTGCAAAAATACGGAATTACACAGAAACAGAAATACAGAATCTCATACACAGTACTGTGCAAAAGTGTGTAAAACAGTAAATTTGATGTTGCCAGCAAAATACTACATAATCAATAGAAAACAAACAAAAATTCTGTAAAATGTATCTAATCTAATATCTTTTAAAAAATATAACACCTGATTTAATTTAATGAAGGATTTGCACACATCAAATCACAATATACTTTATTTATTTACTTGTATTTCTTCTAATGCTAGGGTTCTCTGAACAAATAAACTAACTAAACTGTCTAACTAACTGGCGTTACTTATGATTCTCTCAGATGCTTAAAACCTTTGCACAGTACTATATTATTATTACTGATTATTTACTCCCTAATGTTTTTTTTTTAATACATTTAAAATTAATATTTTTGGAGGAATAATTTATAACAATGACACACTTGTATAGAGCATTTTCATTTATTTTTTAAAATAATTTCCATTTATTTTTGTGAGTTTAAAAATGGCACAGTATCTTTAAAAGAACTCACCTTGCAAATGGGATATACGATAAGCCATACCTATAAAGGAAAAAACTAAAAAGTTACATTCAGCCAAACACAATGTTAAACATAATATTAATTCTATATTAATATTATGAATATATTACATAGAGTTGTATGTAAATTATGGACACACCTGGTCAAATTAAATGTTTTTGTTGATTTTCTAAGTGAAATACCATAGAAATACCATCCTCTACAGGGGGCAAACTGAAATACGGCATTTTCTGTAAATTTTCGTGCAAGATTTCTATTTATTGAATTTAACATATAGAAATAAAAATTATATGTATATATAAAAGGTGCCATAATGTTTGCACAGGCCATATTTTAGTTTCTATTCTTTTTTGAATTTGTAAAGCTTAGCATATAACGTCATTTGATCAGGGGCACTTTTGCATACAACTGTATACTGTAAATTAATGATAATGACGGGTCTTTTACATGTGTGTATATATAAATATGTCTGGATAAATCTTACATTTAGAGGAGAAGGGAAAAAAACATTAAAGCATCTTAACTTTGAATGGGAAACATTTTGTTAAGTAATTTTGAGGCATTTCTATTGTTCTGTTCATCATGACATGCTAATACAATATAAAAAACAGTATTTTCAAATAATGTTAAAAAAATTTTTTTTATGATATATCATAGATTATAGTATTATTATATAGATTATATTATCAGTTATGATATATATTTGCAAAAAATAAGAGCACAGACTGCCTAAATATAAGGCATTAGAATATTTTACTACTGTATAGCAGATCACACCCTCAGATCTGGACTTTTTGCAGTGCTGTTCAAAAAACTCTGGCAGCAGGTTGTTCGGTTCTACAGCTCCCAAACTCTGAACCTCTCTGCCTCGGTGTCTTCATGACTACTCTACCCTCTCATCCCTTAAAGCTCAACTTAAAACCTTCTTTACTTTAAAAGGACCTACTTTACTACTTTACCAAGATCCTTTATCTTGTAAAGCATCCTTGGGTTTGTGAAAGAAACTACATAAATAAGAGATAATAATTAATATGACGCTTAATTACTTTTTAAGTATCATTTGTTATGTATGACTAAAAATCTAAAATGGCTCGGCCAGAAAGAAAATGTAAATTCTTTTTGTGAAGTACGTAAGCAAGTACTTAATCAATTAATTAAGTTCTTAAAAATAAACACATAATGTAGCCCTGCTTTCATACAGAGAGCTGCAGAAGAGATCAAAGGCTACAGCATTAGCCAACATTAGACGAAGAGCTGCAGCTTTGACCCCCACATAAATGAACCTGGCAGCAAGCTAGAGAAATAATTGGCTTTTTTAAAATCAGCATTTCATCTCCCTGACTGCTGACAGCAGAGAGGACGCTGGTGTCTGAGCTGCATGTGCAGGTCAACAGTCAGGAAAATACAACACATTTGCGCTAAACATTTTTATTGACTCAACAGGTGTGAGTCGGTGGTCACTTACCAAGTAAAAGCCAGAAACTGGAGAACGCAAAAGACCAGGGCAAGACCTTTGTTTTTCCACTGAGGGAGAATCAAAATGCAGCACAATATTAATATACTTCACAATACAAATGTGTAATTAAACACACGATAAGTAGGGCCGTCATTACTGATTATAGTAGTTATTGATTAATCTACTGATTATTTTGTTGATTAATCAAGTTTTTTTTAAAAAGATCATACAGTAAAAAATGGACTTTGCTGAATAATAGTCTTTCAGAGACTCCAAAATACTTTACTGGGAAAAGATAAACAAGGAAGCATTTAAAAAGACTTTAAATAATAAAAGCAGAATATGGCCAAAAATTCATATACAAATGCTAAGTGCACTAAGCTCTGTAAGAGAAACCAGGAGGAGAATGTAAACTAAGCATTATCATCACCTTCAACCAAACTGTAATTTATTGATTTCCCATCTACTACCATGGTAAATTTTCTAGGAATGCTTTGTTAAAGTGGAATTCCACCGATATTGCAAAATTACTTAATCATTCAATGGTTTAGATGTAAACAAAATCATTCGGAGTGGTTCGGTGTGAAATGTGCCTTTTTAGAGAAATGTACAGAGTCAGAACCGCATTCTCAACAGAGATCAATGTGCGCAACCTAATGTGCTTTTGTTGTTACTAGCATGATGTGTGCATGGTGGCTAACGACGACTCATTTATTTCACTCACATTCGTTTCTTACTTTGATTCCAGTTTCTGTGGTGGAAAATACAACAGAGGGAACAGCAGTTTTATTAAGCAGTCGGCCTTTTAAGAAATCCACTGTGCATTTTTCCACTGGTCCTGAGTTGGTAAAGTGGTTGCTACAAACCTCAAATTTGTAGAGTTGTTTGACTTCGGTATTTGTGTGTAGCTTCAAAACAACGTCATTTTTTTCATCCTGGTACAGCAGTTCACCACCACTGTGAACAATTAACCAGTAAGGTGCAACTGTGATCTATCGCAGCTCCACTGATAAATCCTCACGCTCAAAAGGCATGCAGGGCAGAGATGCACATGCATAACGACGACTGGTTCTGATGACTGGAACAATTTTTTTTTTTACATTTCTCCAAAAAAGCGCATTTCACACCGAACCACTCTGAATGATTTTGTTTACATCTCAACCATTGAATGATTCAGTAATTTCGCAAAATCGGTGGAGTTCCCCTTTAAGGGAATTTTGGCCCAATGCAGTATTTTTCATGTAAAGTTATGCAAAATTTAAACACCCTGGTCAAAACACATGTTCTGTTGATTTTGTAAGTGAAACTAAGTTAACACATCCTCTACACAGAACACACTTAAATATAGCTTTTTTTGCAAATTTTTGTGCACGTTTTCTATTCATCTGCTGAGTTTAACGTACTGAAAAAATTAAACACAGTGTAAAACTATACTATACTATAACTTTTGCATATTTTATGTTTTTTTCCCAATATGTTAAATTCAGCAAGTAAACGGTAATTGTGCATTAAAATGTGCAGAAGTGTGTTCTCTCTGGAGGGTGTTTTAACTGATTTTCAACAAAAAATTAACAAAATGTAATTTAAACATGGGCATACAAACTTTTGCATACAAATATAAATATCTACCAATGCTAATACATAAACATTTATAAAATTCTATACACAGAAATTGGGACTACATCTATGTAAATTATCACTGTGAAGAAATGTAAGATTTATTTATAAAAGGTTACAAATGCAATAAATGAATAAATGCAGATATTTTAGCGCAGCAGTTCAGCTGTATAATAAATACAACACCAAATATGTGTTTGACATATCAGTCAAATCTAAACATGTGTCCAATGTTGATACTTGTTTTTTCAAGTAAATATCTGCAGATACTGATATGGTCCCAATTTCATTGTGCATCCCTAAAATTCCAAAGTACAATTTTTGTATTAACTACGCAATAAAGTTCCGTTAGTAACTGTAAACACCCAAATAACGCTGCACAATAATTGAGATACATGGGAAAACATATGACTGATAACAGCAGGGTGCTTACCCAAAATGCAGCGCATAGTGTCAACACAAGGCATGTCTGCAAACAGACCACCCAATAATCATATTTCAGATTATCAAAGGGGAAAAACAGTGATCAAACATTTTGTAGTATTTTGTATTTTGTTGTATCTCCAAGTTGCTAAAAAAACCTTTTCAACGTTGAATGGAAGTTTTCCAAGTCATTCTGGAGCATTTTTATTGCTCCATTCATCATGAAATGTTAATGGTAATGGACAGCTGGCATTTTCATATTAAATCAATTAATAAACACAACAAAAATGGAGATACAAGGTTTTGTTACAACAGCGATGATGTTCATATCGACAATGCATGTGTATTTGTGTGTGTATGTGTGTGTGTGTGCTCTCACTATCATGATGGCTGTGGCCAGCGCTCTGGTCTTGTCACACATCCTCTTCACTTGCTTTAAGGGCCCCATCAAGAACATTGTGCTAGAACAGGATACAAATCTGATGATTTCTACACACGACGGTAAGTCTAATGTCAAAACACGTGGCCCATTGTTGCACCCAACCCTGACGACACACCCTATTCTGGGCCAATACTTAACACCAGAGCATTGATAAAGTCAAACTCACCTTAAAAGAGAGGCAACATTGCCAAAAGTGTAGAAAACCGCAAACAGTATGAGGCCATTTCTAGGAACCCATAGTAAACACGTTCCCTAAAGGAAATGAACAAGGAGAAAGTCCATAAAGAATAAAGTACATACGGTTCTATACAGAAGTTTGAACACCCCTGGTAAAATGATGTTTTGTTGATTTTCGAAGTGAAAATACATTACATATCCTCTACACAGAACAAACCTAAATGGTGTTTTTTGGCAAATTGTAGTGCACAATATCTATTTATTTGCTGTGTTTAACATATTGGAAACATAAAATATAACGTATATCTCTTGCTCTCTCTGTTTCACCACCTTACATTACTGGCGTAAATGCTGACCAGGCAATATTGACAAAGCAATAACCAGACAATGGACAATACCTACAATATTACTAGTAGTAATAAATAAACAACAGGTTTAACTGTGCACTTACACAGACACATATACAAATGTACACACCAAAAACAAATAAATGAATTCACTATTCTCACTGTAGTATGGATGGGTGATATGGTAAAAATATAACAGCTTGACACATCAAGTCATTTTCTTTACATACGTCACAATATTTCGTTTTGCTGAGATTTGATAAGTTGAATCAGATGCCAAAAAGATGCAGTAGTGCTATATTTAAAAACTACAATCAAAAACTGTAAATACAACTTTTATTCAACATTTCATAACTGCGCTGCACTAAATAATGGTAATTACGCTCCTTTTTAAATTAAACATGCAGTTGTTAAGTACTGACAAAATACACAGTATTTAAAAAAGTATATACCAACATAATGTGATGTAATTTATCACATTAATGATAAATACTGTCATACTGCCCACCCCTACCGTGCAGCAAGTACAGTGCCTACGGTGACATGCTGATGATTGAATATCTATTTTAAATGGAGATGAACATTGTTTATTATAATTCAGCCTGTGTTGAATCTGTGGTGCCCAGTGGGGTAGCAGATCGACCATCCTGGTGCAACAAAGACATGTTAAAGTGGAATTTTTCAAAATCGCTATACAATTAAATATTAAGATGAAAAACAAGTCATTCAGACTGTCCTGTTCTAGAGAAACTTACCGAGTCAGATTTGTTTACATTGCATATAGGAACCAGATCTCCGAAGCATTTAATGAAAACATGAAATGGTTACGAATACACTGCCTAATGCCTGAGACATTGTTTTACAATAGCTTTGAGAAAGGATTTTGTCTTAAAATGTATCTTTACAGTGAAAAGGCACACGCAGGATGTTGTGGGTCAAAATAATCCTCCCAAAAAAAGGTACTTCTTAAAATATCCCATTATTTTCATTAGTTGTTTTGGATGGCAAATAAAATGGTGGAAGACATAACGACCCCTGGTTCCTATTAACCCCACTGTAAAGAAATATAAATCTGTAAGTTTCTCTACAAATTAACATTTCACATCAAAACACTTTGAGTGGCTTTGTTTTGATCTTGACCATTAAATTATATAGATATATTTGAAAAACGGATGGATTTCCTCTTTAAATCTCTCTCTCTCTCTTTCTTACCAGTACTGAACAGATGACTCCCAGCGCAAAGCAGGCGATGAAGGCTTTGAGGCGAGTTCCCCAGCCCAGCGTGGTGGCTTCACTCGCCGCCTGGAAAGCAGCAACAGCGGCTGGGCGTTATAACGACGGTCTAACATGCTTACAAATGCTTCACAGACAACAAGAGACCTCGCCTTCGTCGCTCACCACTTCCGGAACAGTGTAAAAACGTTCCGCTCGGGTTTTAATCACTGTGCCAGCTTTCTGTCGGTTTTAGCGCTGTTAGCATGTTTGCTAAAAGTCTGAGATAAACTTAATTCGCCCTTTTCGTTCGCGCGCTCACTTAACGTTACCTGCAACACGTTGAGGTCGTCGTTGCCGTCCTGGCCGCTGAGAACCTTCTTTAATTTGTCCATGAGCGCTGGGCGAGCAGGGAAAAGAGGAATTTAAAGTTAAAGACAACAAAAACAGCTTTTTAGATTCGCCCAAACTCCGTCAGTATTGATCCGCTCTTTTTCCTGTTTCAATGTACAACAGGTGAATGTGATAACTTCCGCCCGTAGCTACAGCAACGACTTGGCAACGTCACGACGTAGAGGAGAGAAGGGCAGAACCTGACACGCTCTGTTTTTTACCGAATATTTAAAAAGTATTTAGGCAAGATTAATAAGATCTTTACAGAAGCAACCTACACATCATTACGGAGCCCATAGTGTGGCATGGTGATTATTTTTTAATAAAACGTGGCTTATATGGAGGCTATGTGTTAAGTTTCTCATAACTCGTGGCCTCAGTATATTACTCTGTGGCCAAGCTCCGTATAGGGGCTCCGTAAATGTCTGCTACAAAGGGAGCTAGTTGTAACAGTCGCTTTAACAGTCTAGTAAATCAAAGAAAAACTAATAATTCAACACAATTCTGTGTTGTTTGAATAATATAAGCTTTCACACATAAAAATGCATGCATCAAAATAAATAGTGAAAGCAAATATTTGACTACAAAGTAGCTAAATATCAGCACAGTAAAATTAAAATAGATTTTATACACATGGCATTTTCAGAGGACACCCTCATGGCCTTCTAGGCCTTCAGAGAAGGCATAACTGTTTCTATGAACTAAAAAAAAACGTTTGTAATTTTTAGATCACTTTATTCAATAGAATCATGCTTGTATTTAACCTCTGTACGTAATACAGTACTGCTCTTGTTTTATTGGTAACTTTTGGGTGGAAACAAAATGGTTAAATTCTTGAAAAGCCCAGCAGAAAATTGGCCAATCATTTTTTTTGTCCATGGTATCTAGGAGGATATAGCTTAGTGAGCTCTCCTATTGATTAGGGCTCCAAGAGCTGAACTAAAGGCCTAACAAATCAACCATCAGCATAATTACAAAGCATCATTTCATTTTCAATAGACGGAACCAATGACATGCAAAAAAGGTCACTCTAGGCTTTCTGGAAGTCCTAAAAATGTGATTGACCGTGAACATGAGCAGCAGCCTAATCAATGGCTTGTTAGAAAACAGTGGCACTAGCCCAAGACCAAGCCTCTCTAGAGTCATAGTGAAACTGATACAAGATAAAATATATGCTAGTCTGTCTGTAACAAGCTTCAAGTAAAACATAGAATGTCTTTTAGAAGCTTCAAATGTCTGTGTTTAATCTAGAACTGCCAAAATGTTCATGTGAATTGCTGTTGGCTTGTGCTAGCTAGTAATAACGAACTACTAGAATCCCATAGGGAGGCTAGCAGAAATTAGCATTATTGCATTGATGGATTTTTCCTCAAATTTTGGCAGAGTTTTTACATTTATGGCCTGAACTGAAGTCCTAGCTCTCATAGTTGGTTGGTATAGTGTAGTGGGTAACGCCTCTGCCTTCTACATTGCAGAGTGGGGTTCAATCCCCGCCTGGATAAGCACCCTACACTATACCAATAAGAGTCCTTGGGCAAGACTCCTAACACTACCTTCGTCTACCTGTGTAAAAATGATCAAATTGTAAGTCGCTCTGGATAAGAGCGTCTGCCAAATGCTGTAAATGTAAATAGTCATGGTTCTCCAGTGCATTTTTTGCATTAAAAGTTTCCAAACATATAACTGCTTCGAATTTAAATGGATGACATGGACTTCTCTCATTGTTTATTGAAGTAAATGAGTTGTAACACTGCCTAAAACAAACCCTACAGTGTAGAGGCTGTACTTTAGCCTGGCTAGTGAAATAAGCTAATGCGGCTTTAATTTTATGACATTTTCTAAAAAAAAAATTCTTCAGAAACGCCTGGCCTAGGCCATGACTTGGCAGAACAAAAATTACACCCTTGTGTTTTTAAAAATATGTTTTAAAATGATGTTTTGAGATGGGTTGGTCACAGTTACATTACTTAGTTAGCTTCTTCCAGAAACTCTTTGTCCATGAACTATTGGATAAGTAGATTTTATGCATACAGCTTTACAACATACAAAATAGAAAATCTGGTTTCTAAACCAGAAAAGATTATTTAACATGATCTACAGTATTTACATTTTAAAAGAGAGAAGCTGGCTAAAAGAAAAAAAAGGACAAAAACATTATAGCATTCTGTCCACGAATTAGCCAGCATTTTGTATGAGGTTTAGTAACTCTGATCAGCAGTTCACATTCACAACTCTAGGCTGCTGCAATCCAGTATAATCCCATTACTCGCAGCTGCAGGAAGCAGAAAGTTCCAGACATGTACTTGAGGATCTAGAGCTGCTGATCCATGCTTGCCAAGACTAATTAAACTAGAAGGTCTGACAGCAGTACGACAGCTAGTGTGTGAAAGAAGCCACAGGGGGACGAATTCTTTGTTCCTTTGAAAACACAGTTCTCTGTTTCTTCATTCCAGCAATCTCAGATGGGTGAAACATAACTTCATATGTGGCTGTGAAGGGTCAGGGCACTTTGACACGAGTCGATGTCCAGTAAAGAGGTTCTGGCATGGCCACATGCTTGCGACATGTAGGGCAAGTCTGCTTTGTCCACAGCCACTCCTCTATACACTGAAACAGAAACAGAGAAAGCACAATGCATTCAGTACTTTATATAGAGCAGGTAAGAGAAACACACACAGTCTGCAAATAATGTCATTGTAGTTTAACTCAAAACTCAAACAAAAACCATTTTTCCACAATGAACTTTACTTTATTAGTTGATGATTAACTGCTATATAAATAATGGTGATAAGCAATTATGCAATAATTAAGCAATTATGTTTTTTGTTTATTGTACACAACTATTAAAGTATGAGCCTGAAGTGGCTAAATTGGGTGATAAGCAATCTGATAAATAAGGTTCACCCAAGGTGTACACAATTAAAAATAATGGTTCTTGAAGTGTTTCTTAATAAAAAAAATAGTTCTATATAGAACCATGAACACTCAAAGAACCCTTTGCATGATTTAATGGTTCTTTGCATCATGAAAGTGTTCTTCAGATTGATGGAGAGTGTGCGAAAGATGGTTATACAAAACCTTTTAAAAAGAGTCCTATATAGTACCAAAAGGGTTCTTCTACTGTAACAAGATTGACATCGTAACAATAGAAGAACCCATTTTGGTGCTATATAGAACCATCTACAGCACATTCTCCATCAATCTGAAGAACCCTTTTACGATGCAAATAACCCTTTAATCATGCAAAGCGTTCTTTGAGTGTTCATGGTTCGAAATAGAACCATTTTCTTTACTAAAGAACCTATGGAGAACTATCATTTTTAAGTGTGTAGTCAATCATGTTTGAAGTCCACATGTTTAATTTAGAACTGAAATGGTGAGGCTAACATTGCTAACAAACACTGGAACTCAGTAGTCACCAAAATGCCCAAATCTTTTCTCGTAAATACACCCTCAAAACGTCTCTCAACCCGGTCAAACAGCATCCAGCTCTTCATTAAAGTCGCACAGACTTGTCGATGTGCTTTAGGACACAATATTTAGGACTTACTGTGATCCATAAAAATGAATGAAACTGCGCACAGCCACCTTAATGATGAGTTAGATGCAAGTTGAGAGCAGTTTTGGGGATGTGCTTATGGAAAAGATTTGGGTGACTACTGAGATCTAGGGTTTGTTAGCAGTGACAGCATTATAGCTCGAGTTCTGAACTAAAGAAGGAAAACTTCTACTTCAAATGTGTTCAGCTACACCTGGGGTAAGTTACAGCTACAGCTTCAGTCATCGCTGCCCTCTAACGGTGCTACAGCACCGGACAGAATTTCTTCTGTTGTTTATAAATATTGGACCCCTGCCACACTTCTGAAATCAAACCTGTGCTCTTGCTACCAACTCTTATCATTTAGTTACATTTGTTTTGTTATGGCATGATAAGTGAATGGTTCCTAATCCACCTATGGCTGTAGTTGTGTGATGAGAATATGAGAATACAGTTGAAATGTCCAGTGTCCAGCAGTCTCCTACCTCACTGTGGAAGCTGTGTGAACAGTGGAGCTCTCTGATAGATCCTCCTCCTTTGCGCAGGTCATCATGACAGATCAGACACAAACTATCTGCATCGCTCTGCAACACAAAGCACCCCCATCAGAACCTGGGAAGAACCGTCTCTCTGTGTCTCACACAGATATTCACAGTTACACATAGGCATACACTGCCCACATCGCTGACCACAATAAAACACAAACAAAAACTAGTCTAGTCATGACATAAGAACAAAAAGCAACACCAGAGCCACAGTCTGCTTTCATGATTCAGTCTGACCACAGTGACCACAGCACAGATGAATTTAGGAATTCTAACCCCTTAAACTTTAAGAACCCATTAGCAGGTCCAGATTTCTACTCCTCATTATGAAGCTGCATAGACTACTGTGTAAATGTCAGCGATCACCCTTTATTAATTTAATTTCCAATCAAGTTATAAATTTTTCAGTATCAGAAAAAAGCAGAAAACATATTTAATGAAAATCTACACAGAAGCCTCAACAGCTTTTGCCTTTATTACAGTTTGCATTCTTTTCAGTGAACTTGTTTTCAGTTTTTCAAAGGAATCTGCTGGAAGTTGCATTTTTTGCTTCTCATGATCCAACTCCAATTACAAGACTCAACAGTCCTTAAAACGTCACTCCACATCTCAGATGCCCAGTTCTGGTGTTCTTATTAAAGTTCTTCTTTTTTGTCTGCTTCCTTTTCTCAATAAGGGCTTCCTGACAATACACATCCTTTCAGACCCATAGCGCTGAGTCGTCTTCTCACAGTGGAAGGATGGACAGGAACACTGATCAATAAAGCTCTATCTGTCTATCTATCTATCTATCTATCTGTCTGTCTGTCTGTCTGTCTGTCTTGCACGGTTGTTAGGAGTCTATCTATCTATCTATCGATCCATCCATCTATCCATCCATCCATCCATCTCTCTCTTTCTCTCTCTATCTATCTATCTATCTATCTATCTATCTATCTGTCTATCCATCTATCTGTCTTGCACGGTTGTTAGGAGTCCCATTTTCTCTGTACCTTTCAATCATTTTTGAAACTCCTGTTTATTCACTTATTTTCCTTTGACTTCCTTATGCAAGTGGCTTATTTTATATCTCATCTCTTTAAAAAATGTAATAATTTGTACTTAATGGCTGTTTTGACTGGAAAATTAAATAAATAAAGGGTGGTTTTGCGCAGTACTGTTTACAGGGGCCTAATCTGGTCTTTGGGAAGTATGTTGAGCCTACCAATATTGAGCATGAATTATGACCAAATAGCACAAATGTTTGAAAGTAATTTAGGATAATCATGCAAATCAGGACAGAAAAGGCAGAAATATAAGTCCATTTAACTGCAGATGAGACATTGTGGTTTAGCACTAATGAAAGCTGGTGTAATGAATGCATGTTTCTCAGTCCATTGTTTATCAAAAATGCAGTTTTCTGGGGCTCCCGAGTGGCACAACCATCTGAGCTAGGGGTCACCGGTCTTGTCCACAAAGGGTCGCTGCGGCTGCAGGTTTTGACGCAATTTTCCATTAGATTTAAGCCACTTTGCTTAGCCGAGCGTAACTAGAACTTGATTTGTTAGCAAAAATAGCTACAGTTATGCGTGTAGTCATTTTCCACCAATCACAGTACAGGCCTTGAGCAGGCATGGCTGATATGAACTTAAAAGATGTGCATGAGTTGAGTGCAGCTGGAAACAGAGAAATAACCAAAAAAACAGGCTTTTATTATTTGCAGATAAAAACTATTATGCTTGTTTGTAAATAAATACAGACCATAACTGATGGCCTTACATAGCGGTGCTATAGTGCTTACGGAGTAATTAAGTGTATTTACTGGATAATAAGCCTATTAATAACTGAATGTAATTTAGGGAGTTGACCTCCATAATGAGATTAAAAACTGACTCACTAGTGACATGACGTTGCGGCTCCTGAACCGTGCTTTCCTCTCCAGCGGCTCCAGCCCCTCAGGTATGGTCGGGATGGTGGGTGGTCTCCTCTCATGTACCGGTCTCTCTTCGTCCTCCTCTTCATTGCGGCCGTGCTGTCTCACGTGGGCCGGGGCAGGAGCCATGGTGGCCGCATGCAGACGGGTCAGATAGGCCAAATGGGTCAGCTGCATAGAACTCAGCTGATCCTGAGAGAAATACAAGAGTGACAGTATTCAGTAGATTGTTGGGGGAAACTGCAAGAAGAAGACAGTGATTGGTTTGAGAGCCCATTTGCATATTACAGCCTTCTGCAATGTTAGTACTGCATAGGCCTGTACTGTGAAAACAGTTAGTAAAATAGTGTCTATGGTATCACGTCTAGCGAGAATTACTTTGAAAATCTCAAAAAGAATCCTCAAATTGCAATTATTTTACTTTGGAATCAATGTAATGTTATAAATGATTAAATATCAAATGTCATTTGTAGGTATTAATGTGTCATTTCAATTTTAGTTAATTAATAAATTACTCCCAAAAGACCAAATTTGGTAATTACATCATGATGTTGCCTGTATGAACTCTAATATCTGTGATCAATGAAATACATATAGCTGTATACAAAAGTTTGGGCACCCCTGGTCGAATTACATGTTTTGCTCATTTTTAAGTGAAAACAAATATTACACATATTATTTACACATGTTAATGTACAATCACTATTTATTAGCTCAATTTAAATATAAAAAAAAAACATAAAATGTGGCTTGTGCAAAAGTTCTATTTTTTGTATTTTTCTAATATGTCAGATTGTTCTTCTTCTTCTTCTTATTATTATTATTATTAAATACACAGTATAAAAAGACCTTAGACACAATATATAATACACAGTATATAATACACATAAAAAAGCCATGGTAACCCCCTAGACCTTTACTTTAATTCCTCACTCTCATAACTACATGATTTAAATATTAATTTAATAGTAGTTACTGAAAAATAAGCCTTAATATCAATGACTGAGTAGTAAGCTTAGAGTGTAAGGAGCTCATTTCTAAAAGAGTGTATTTTAAAGCTGCTGCTGACCGGACATGGAAGAGAGGCTCTGCGTTTGGTCAGCGAGTGACTCAGCCTGGGTATATCCAAGCTTCTCTTCCTGTCCGTCTCCTCCTCCTCCTCGTCCTCCTGCTCCTCTGGCTCCTCTGCACTGTCCTGCTCGTCATCTTCAGCAGGCCAGGCTGTGAAAATCTCCTCCTCCTCTTCCTCCTTCTCCATGATGTGTCGGTGTATCCCCAGGTCTGTGGGATGGGGCTTTGAGGTGCTAGAGCTGCTGAGAGAAGAGCAGGCTGGCATAAAACAAGCACGTAACTGAGACTACCTGCTCCTGGCCGTGCCTGGCTGTGCTGACTAAGCCTCTGTAATGAGATCCCTCTGCTTCTCCTCAGCCATCTGTCTGTTTCTGCAGCGTCAAATCAACTGACCGCCTGTGAATCCCTAACTAATCTATTTATTATTGGAGAAGGGAGAGAGAGGTGGGGAAAGGAGAGTGAGTGAGGGGGGAGGGAGAGAAGGCCTTGGAAGTATCTAGCTCAGGTAACATCCAGATGTACCCACCTAAACTTAAATAATATATATATAGAACATTAAACTGTAAAACTGAATAAAAATAAACATAACTAAATATACATACATGAGGCTTCTGTATAGTTTTATGTTAAATGTTTTCTGCTTTTTTCCTGATGCTGAATAACTTGTACTTAAAGGGGAATTCCACCAAGTTTTCAAAATGTGTGTATTGTTAACCCCTTAAAATCCCAGGACATTAGATACTAAAGTTTACTATTCAGTAACTACATGGACTTCAATGCGAACTTGCTGACATATTCTTAGGTTATAGAAGTGTGTAATGACCTTCTCATTTAAGGGGTTGAATCATTAAGATGTAAAAAAAAGCCATTCAGAGAGTTTTTGATCTGAAATGTCAAGTCAGAATTGTTTACAGTGCTGGTGATACAAACCAGATGTCTGAAGAGTTTAATGTCTCTAAAAGCTCCTCACAGAAAGTTATTCCACAAAATGGTTATGAACATATTACATGATACCTGAGACAATGTTTTAGAAAAAATTTAAGATAAGGTTTTAGCCTCAAGTATATATATATATATATATATATATATATATATATATATATATACACACACACACACACACACACACACACACACACACACATATATATATATATATATATATACACATATATAATTTATTTATTTCATGGTGAGGAAACCCAGGCTGTCATTAGGCAAAATAATATTCCCTTATTTTTTAAGATTTACCACTATTTTACCACCATCAACATCACATATAAAACTCAAATGACATGGGTAGGTTTACTGGTGGTTTTGGATAGTAAATAAAATGGCTATATTTGTGTTGTAGACATTGTGACCCCTGGTTTCTATCAGCACCACTGTAAAGAAATCAGAGTCTGCAAGTTTCTCTACGATGAACCATTTCACATCAGACCACTCTGTTTACATCTCATGCAGCTCACCGAATTACGCAGAAATTTTGAAAAAATGGCGGAATTCCCCTTTCATAGCTGTTTTGACTGGAAATCAAATAAATGAAGGGTGATCGCTTTTACACAGTGATGTATAAATAAAACACACCACATACACTGTATACATACTTCACATACTGTATTCCTAACACATACTGAATAAGCCACCAGCTAAATAAAGTTATATGCTCAGAAAACTTTTCTGATCTTGTGTTGGGATGAAGGTAGAACACTATAATGAAATAAATAGTCAAGCTGTAAAAATAACAATATAATTTTATTTGTAAGTGCTTTTCAAGTCACCCAAGAATTGCATACAATAAGTCAATAGTAAATGAAACATAAAGTGTATATAAAGGATCTTAAAACAACATGGAAATCCTTAAAAATATCAAATCAAATCAAAAGGTAAACACAGAAACTAAGCATACAGACAGTAACATAAAAGGCCTCATGTTTATTTACCAAATACGAAGCCACAAGCATGGAAGGCGCAGGTGAACTGGATTATCACTTAAGTAGATACAGTAAGCACCTTATAGAGTGTAAAGAGAGGGGCCATCTAAAATTAGACCCCACCGTGCCGTTTCATACACACTGACACTAACTGACTCAGAACCAGAAAGAATACTGAAGCATTTCAGGCTTGTTGTTTTATTAAAATATTATTATTATTAATTTTACTCACTTTAGCTGGCTGAGTATATTCTCCATAAACACACTCACTTTGTCAGAAAAGCCCACCTTGTAGCTCCACCTTGCTGGTGTACAGTTACAAACTGCAGCCCATCAGTTGATTTTATTAGCCATCCTCTAAGAAATATCTGACCACAGAGCCGTTCTTGACTGGATGTTTTTGGATGGTGGATCACTCTCACATCACCCAGCAGTACTGCTGTGTGATACGGTCTTTGTCACCATGCCAATACCTTGTCAGTGTCACTGCTGTGCTGAGGTTGGTCCACCATTCAAATAATATCCGCTCAACAGCAATCATGCAGACTGTGACTGATCAATGATAAATGGAGTATAAGGCAGCTGACAAACTGGATGGGCTACAGTGTGGAAATGTGCACATATATGCATGACCTCATCCTCACCTCTAGATGTCGCCAACACACTGTGCTTTCGAAACCGAACTGCACTGTATAGGTTTTATTTTTAAATTTAAGGATTATTACAAATGAGCTTCTAAACATACAAAATAAAATCAATTTGGTGAACTAGCAGTGCAAACAAAACAATTCTGACAAGATTATTTAAAGAACAAAGTTCTAAATTTCTGCATCCAATCACTGAGATGTACACAAAGTCATTCAATTGATGTGAAATGTATCACTGCAAAGAAACATACCGACTCAGGTTTCTTTACAGTGCTGGTGACAGGAACTAGAGGTCATGATGTCACAACACAAATATAGCCAATTTATTTGCTATCTAGAATTTCCAGTGAACCTAAATGTGTCTTCTGAATTTTTATATGTAATGTTGGTAGCGATAAAATAGTGATACATGCTTTTTGGATAATGAAGTGCTTTACAACAGCCTGCACGTATCTCTCCACAATGACTTTTAAAAATACAGCCCTATGCAAAAGTTTGGGCACCCTTTGTCAAATTTTGTTGGTTTGCTAAGTGAAAATAACAGAGAATACTGTTCTCTTCTGCACCTTTTAATGCACAATTATTGTTATTTGCTGAATTTAAATTATTAAGGGGAAAAAAGCATAAAATGTGGCCTGTGCAAAAAGTTCATGCACATTTTATACTGAAGCGTTTATTTAATATGTTAAACTTAGAAATTGTGCACTAAAATTTGCAAGAAAATGTCATATTTAGCTATGGTTCCTGTAGAGAATGTGTTAACTTATTTCCACAGAATTAACAAAGTCTGTTATTTGTCTGGAAGTGTCAACATTTTGTATGCTTCATCCCAAAAGCATATCTCAAAATGATTGTAAAACAATGTTTTAAAAACTTTGTGTGATCTTGCTTTTAGAGGCATTAAACTCTTTAAACGTCTGGTTCTTATCATCACCACTATGAACCATTTTGACTTGGTAAGTTTCTCTAGAACAGAGCATCTCACAAAAAAACCTCTCTGAATGACTTTGTTTTCATCTTAACCATATAATTATGCACAAATTTTGAAAAATCAGTGGGGTTTCACTTTAGCAAGCTGTATGCTGTACAACCTGTGCAAGCTCATAAACTGGCTGGTGCGTTCTGAAAGTACTTGCATGCCTTGCATGCCGTTTTGGGCACACCTGCACCTTAACAGGGGAAGGTATGTAATTTTGCTTTGCTTAGCCATCTAATCACAGTACACAGCAAAATCCCCAGTTGAATGAACTCCTACATCTCTACCTGGACTTAATCCAGCAGTCTGGATGTCAAGCCAGTTGTCAAGATTTTTTCTGTAGGCTCCCCTGAGGACTCCTCTTTTAAGAGTTTTCTATTAAGTGCAATAACTAGCTGAGTGAATTCATTTCTTGAAACCCCAACAAAGTCTGCGCAGATGACATTGAGACATGTTTTCTGGCGGCCAGGCCGCTGCTGTTTTACCCAGTCCAGCAGCAGACCGTAGGCCCTGAGGGTCATGCTCTTCATAGACTGGCCGAGATGGCAAAGGACGTACTTGATGTCCTCAGTGAGGTTCAGACCAGCCACGAAGAAAATAGCTTTTGGACAGAATGGCAGACAAGATGATTACAATAACAGTGTAGATGAAGTCAAGGGTAAAGAGACAGACAAGACTAGTTCATACAAGAAAGAATGATCAACTTGCAACCTACAACCTTAAAAGCAAAGGTTCCTAAAGGGTTCCTAGTTTGGATTTGCAGTTCTAAGAAAAGAACTTTTATTTGGTACGAACTTTTACGTGATGTAAATGAGTTTTTTAAAAGGTCATTTACACTCACATATCACATTTACAAAAAGAGATCCACCCATTATATAGTTCTTTAGGGAACCAGAAGTGGTTCTTCTATGGCAATGCTTCAAAGAACCCTTTTTGGCACCTTTATATTTGAAAGTGTACCAACAGTTACAGTGCTGTGCGTATGTCAGACATTACCCTTCATTTGTTTAATTGCCATTAAGTATGTGTTACTTAAAATACAAATCAAACTAAAAATAGTATCATTTCTTTCAGTATTTACTGTGTCCACCTCTTTGTCTTTATGAAAGCTGCCATTCTTTTCAGGATACTTGCTTTCAGTTTTTCAAAGAAATCTGCAGGGATATTTTCCCACACCTCAAAAATTCAGTCTTAGAAGTTGGTTACATTTTCTGCTTCTCACAATCCAGGTGACCTCAAACACATCTCATTGTTCTGAGAACACCAGCAGCTTTCTTGTTTGCAAACGTTCTTCTTCGTTTATTAGTAATGGCTTCTTAAACAGCTACAGTGGAAGGATGGACAGAAACACCTGTAGATGTTTTCAGATCTGAAGCAGCTTGATTTTCTCCTCTTTCTCAAAGATAAAGGCTGTTTATTTTGATGGTGATCGTTTTGGTGGCCTTATAGGTCTTGCGCGACTGCTTGGAGTCCCATTTTCACTATCTATTTTAATCAGTTTTGGAAACTCCTGTTTTTTTCCCACATATAACTAATCTCAGAATTATCTCCTGAAAAATTAATAACCAGTACTTAATGTAAATTAAATAAATAAAGGGTGGTCCTTGACTTTTGCACAGTACTGTACACTGAACATAGTTCAAAAAGCTGTGGGTCCATATCTGTCAAACCTCTTGAAGTAAGACCACTGACTTCAGCTAAGCTATGGCAATATTACTGAATTCATGAACCCCTTTAATGGCCAGCCATTACATTTCTTGTAACAAAGAAAACAGGTATGACAGCTTTTCTAAATATAGCTCACCTGGTCTTCCCACTGTCTCTTTTTTTTGCTCCAGGTATGATATAACCACATTTGGGTCAGACTCATTGGCCCACCAGTAATCCCACCCTGGCCACAGCTCCTTGTGACCACTCCCAGCTGAGTCATCGTACGATAGAATAACCTGATAGCCTTGAGTCCAGCATGCTTTCAGTGTGGGTACTTCCTGAGACGGGATATGAAAGCGGATGAGGAATGGATGGTTTTGTGTTCCTAAGTATGTCGGGTAGTGTAAAGAGGAACTTACTGTTTTGGGACAGAGCTTCTTGTCAAAGAGGTTTTTCAGGAAGTCAATGAGTTTATTGTGCTGGGCAGAATTCACACCATCAAAAGCAGAAAGAGCAATGATGACCACTTCCTTAGCATGCTGCTCTAACCAGTGGGCAACATCACTGAGCGCCTCCTTCAAAAAGATAATTATATTACATCAATATACAAGTAATTGGCTATGCAATTAAAATAGAATACATACATTTAAAAATACTAACCACTGTAGGTGTGTCCTGTTTTGTTTCACGTTGTGGTGCTGGACTATATCTATGTCATATTGGGATTATATTGCTACATATTGTGAGTGCAATATGCTGTGCAATATGTCTGCATTATTTTGATCATAATGATTAATGTTTGATGGATCATGTGAATGTCTTGGTGCATCCAAGCACCAAAAGAACATGTGTGTGTTCAGCAATGTGAAGGCTGATTTCACTATAACCATTATCAAACAATATACTGTGCAGCCTTACTACATGAAAACTAGGCACTAACAGCACCCACCTTTACAGTAACCAAAGAGTATATCCCATGGGCGAAGTAAAAGGTCTGATCGGAATCATTCGTCTTGTGGGCAATCCTGAGGTCAAGGAATCGAATTCCTGAATCCAGTTGGGTGGAAATGACCAGGCCCTGAACAGAAATAAAAGGTTTGTATTTGACGAGAGAGAGCAATAAAAAGACAAACACAAAGTTATACAAGTGCAGACATGGCACGGCTGCACGATGTAGACAAAATGTATCATAATTTTATTGATACAGATCATGATTTTGATATACCCTGTTCTGCACACGCACAGACTGAGAAAACCGAAAGAAATCAGAGTAAGAGTTTACATGCACAGAGAAATCTGATTACTGAGCTAAAATCCACCTCTCTTTATCAGATTTCTTAATCGGATTTCTAGATCGGAGTATGGTGTTTACATGACCATTTGAATAAACGGATAACTGAAGAAATCTGATTATGATCGGACTATTGAGCGCATGTAAACTCACTCAATGTTTAGCTCACTCTGGGTTACCGCATTAAAATGTGTGAATGTTATTAATTTTGCTGAATTGTAGCATTTCCCTGTAATGCTTACTTCAGATAGCAGTCTCAGTTTCTATGTTTTAGAAATGTTTATATACCAGCACCAGTATCAGCACGTAAAAGTATCAGATATAATCGGCCCACAATTCCCATATCGGTGCATCCCTAATTTTTATTCTACATAAATTCTTAACAAACTTTTTTTTCAAACTTTATTTGAAACCTTCACACCTTCCATATTCGCACATCATTCTGTCTTTTTGGCCCATGGCCCACAATAAGCATTGCACTTTGGACCCCCAAGACAAAAAGTCTGGGCACCCTTACATTACAGGGTTCATTTACATACCGGGGCCCTCATACTAATTAGAGCTGGGCAATATGACAATATTTATTGTTATCATAATAAATTTCATCACAATAATCATAATAAGCTAAAAAAAATTAAGAAACAGTCCTAAAACAAAGGCAGAGCCGCTCACAAGCCCAGCACAGTCTGCCTACCTGAGTGGTGCCCCACTTGTTCACACAAGGCCGAATGATACAGGGCACGATGTGGTCCAGCACTCTCAGGATCCTGGGCTGTGAACGCAGTACTGAGGAATGCTGGTCCAGGCAGTAAGTCATGGTGTCATGACTTCCTAAAGGACACAAAACCAGACCAAATGACACAAAACGTTTACAGTGACAACACATTAGTACACTGACACCACTAACAGCTGTATCTGCTACAAGTTGCTGTGCTGTGGTCCTACCAGGAATGGCGAGATCCCACAGAGGAACATCCAGGAGCTGTGGAGGCAGCTGTGACATCCAGTCCGTACAGCTGGAAACATCCCATCTCCTCTCCATGTCTGTCATTCCTCGGTATTTTCATTCAGAACTAACGTCAGTCTGACAGCAAATGCAAAACAAAGGAAAACGAAGGCGAAGTGAAGCAGCTAGTTCACCGTGAAAGCTGGTTTAAAGCACACAGTTCCGTCTTCTTCTGCGCTTCTTCGACATGAACTAAGACCGTCGAGGTGAAACGAAGGATTAACACCGTTTCGTGTTGCAAATTCGCTTCATGGCGGCTTTTGGAGAAACTGAGGCTGTGAAATACAGGACACTGGCGGAAGGAAGCTAACGCTAAAAAACAAAAACAAAACAGCGAAAACAGCGAAGCCACAGTGCAGCTGTACAGTGTGAAGTTGGGGGCGGGGTTTAGTGTCCAGCCCCGCCCACATCCATCACGTGGAGACCGGCACAGCACAGTTCATTCTTTTGTTATATTCGCAGAACATTTTATTCACAAAAACACATTTTCAAATTGAAATGTTTGATTACATCCTTTAAAATGAGCAACAATAAGAAGAACAATACCTTCCTTAAATATCAAATAACTGGAGCATGCTGACATATTTTGAATGCTTGAATATAAGGTTATCATTATTATTATTATTATTATTATTATTATTATTATTATTGTTACTATAGCATTTTTTCTCTTTGTCAGTTACTCATTTATATTTATTGTTTTAGTTTATTTTATGCTATTTTTAACAAAAATAAAACAAAAAAAAAACAACATCAATGCATTTACTTTACAATACAAGTCAAGAAAACTGAATTTGTGAATTCTGCTGGTTTGAAGGTATTTGCTCCCCACAGCTTGAGTTCAGTGTGTTATATATTATGTCGCCTGAAGATGAGGAAATGACACATAAAATGTGAGGATGACACATAAAAGAGGTTCTTGTGTGCACACATACACACACCGCTGTTATGTGGTCAATCTTTAAGATACTGACAGTCATTCAGAGTGGTTTCTTGGAAAATGCTTCACTTCACATATATATACACAATACTGACTCAGTATTTTTGAAATAAACCTTTTTCTTTTTAAAAAAAAATCGAAAAAAGTATACACACACACACACTTTACATATATATACATACATATATATATATATATATATATATATATATATATATATACCGACCAGGCATAACATTATGACTGCTCATTGTCCATTTTATCAGCTCCACTTACTATATAGGTGCACTTTGTAGTTCTACAATTACAGACTGTAGTCCATCTGTTTCTCTGCATACTTTGTTAGCCCCCTTTTACCCTGTTCCTCAGTGGTCAGGAGCCCATGGACCCTCAAAGAGCAGGTACTATTTGGGTGGTGGATCATTCTCAGCACTGCAGTAACACTGACGTGGTGGTGGTGTGTTAGTGTGTGTTGTGCTGGTCTGAGTGGATCAGACACAGCAGTGCTGCTGGAGTTTTTAAACACTGTGTCCACTCACTGTCCACTCTATCAGAGACTCCTACATCGTCAGTCCACCTTGTAGATGTAAAGTCAGAGACGATAGCTCATCTGCTGCTGCACAGTTTGTGTTAGTCATCCTCTAGTCCTTCATCAGTGGTCACAGGACGCTGCCCACAGGATGCTGTTGGCTGGATATTTTTGGCTGGTGGACTATTCTCAGTCCAGCAGTGACACTGAGGTGTTTAAAAACTCCAGCAGCACTGCTGTGTCTGATCCACTCAGACCAGTGCAACACACACTAACACGCCACTACCACATCAGCGTTACTGCAGTGCACTGACCAAATGATCAACTGACCAAATGAATATCAACAAGCACACAAATCTGCACATAATAAAGAAGCCCCTGCATGGTTACTCTACATTTCTCTGGTGGACACTCATTTCAGAATTTTGCTCTCTCTGCCACTCATGCATTTTTAGTACCTCTATATTGCATTGTGAGTTGTATTGTAGTCAAAGACAATATTTGTTTAATTTCCAGGCAGAATGACCATCAATTGCAATTTATTCAGCCTCAGCAACTATATACAGTGCTGTGAAAAAGGCACAACCTACTGCTGACCAAAAAGAACACAAAGGCTTGACTCACATTTGCCAAAAAATGTCTAGATGACCCCAAGACCTTTGGGATAATATTCTGTGGACTGATGAGTCAAAGGTGGAACTTTTTGGAAGAAGTGGGTTCCATTACATAAAGCCAACACCGCCCACCACCATAAGAACATTATACCAACAGTCAAACATGGTGGTGGTAGTGTGATGGTCTGAGGCTGCTTTGCTTCTTCAGGACCTGGACGTCTTGTCATAATTGATGGAACCATAATTTCTGTTTTCTATCAGAAAATCCTGTCTATTTGTGACCTGAAGTTCAAGCAGTGTTGGGTTATGCTGAAGGACAATGATCCAAAGCACACAAGCAAATCCACCTCTGAATGGCTCAAATGAAACAAAATGAAGGTTGTGCAGTGGTCGATTCAAAATCCTGACTTGAGTCCCATTGAGATGCTGTGACAAGACCTTAAATGGGCAATTCATGCTCGAAAACCCTCCTATGTAGCCAAATTAAAACAATTCTGGAAAGAACAGTGGACCAAAATTCCTCCACAGTGATGTAAAAGACTCATCGCAAGTAAATCTTTGTGTTCATTAAATGAAATGATCATTTAAAAGCTGCATTTTGTTTATTTGTGTTGTCCTATCTCATATTAAAATTAGTTGGATGATCTGAAACATTTTAATATGACAAATTAGCAAAAATAGAAGAAATCAAGTGGGGGCAAATACTTTTTCATAGCACTGTATACCATCAATATTGTTAGTACCTTCACCCTTTACCTTTAGCCCAGCTTCCATTCTTGCTTTCAGTTTTCCAAAGAAATCTGCAGAGATATTTTTCCTCACCTCCAATCAGTTGGCTGCCTCAAGACAGCTACACATCCTTTTAGACTCATAGCCCTGAGCAGATGTTCTCTGCTTTCTGAAAGACGAAAGCCCCTTAAATGGCCAGGGCCCACTTGCAGGCCCAAAGGTTTACTACACACTTCTATAACCTAAGAGTAGCTAATTCAGTTTGCATTGAAGTCCCTGTAATTACTGAATAGTAAGCCTTAGTATGTAATAAGCCTGGGATTTTAAAATGTTAAGTACTGTTGATCTGATAGGGACAGTTTTGGTGGGCTGTCAGGTCCTGTAGGTGGCTGTTAGGAGTCCCATCTTCTTGGGGATCATGTTTTAAACTTTGCCCTTCCTTATGCTAGTGGAATATTTCATATCTAATCTCCTCAGAAACATTATACCTTGTATTTAATGCCCATTTTGACTGAAAAATTAATAAATGAAGTATGGTCTGTAACACAGTACTGTATCTACCTGTATGTAAGCAATACTTGAGTAAAGTTTTTTTGTTTATTTTTTTTATTTCAATCGTTAAACAGATCATCGCTCCATTCAATAAGACACAACACAGTAAAAACAAGACCAAGTGTTCTTATGGCACAGATGGCAAGATTATTCAAGATTATTCATTGTATTCTTATCACATCATACTTTACATGTATCTGCATTTTAACCATTGTACTAAATGTAAACTGGAAAGTCCAAGATTTTAAAAACTCCTTATTCTTTTCACTCAGTGTACAATGAAGATATTCTGGACCATCATAAACTCCATCATCATAAATCACTTCACAGTTTTTACTAAGCAGGGAAGCGAGAAGGTGTTTTAAGGTGGGGGTGCTGAAATTTTAAGCAGTGTGACCTTACCGACGACATCATGTAATATCATTTGCCATTTTTCATTCTTCTTTTTCTGGCTGATTTACATTAAACTGACCATGTCATACAGTGGTGTTTTGAGATGAGAGAGAGGACGATATAAACATTTATAAAACCTATAGTTCCGGTCCTAAAATCTGATTGGCTGAGCCTCGTTCAAAGCCAACCGCCTCACAGCAATACAACTCTATATTACTGCACCATGTCACGAAAAATCATTGTGTTGTTCATGGAGTAATCTTTGAGTCTAATGCTGCTCGCATTAGAACTAGGTCAGCTAGCTAACGGGCTAAAAGAAAGTTAACAGTCTAAATAACTCCATCATTAATATCACAAGCTTGAATTAAAGTACATACGATATGATTCACTGTAAATCGGCAATATAAACATCTAAAGAATGTCACTTGAATGTTTTACACGCTTTAAATATTTGTGTTTCAGTCAGAAGTCGCATCAAACCCAGGCAGGCAGGCTCCATGCTCCCTAAATAGTGTTCTAGCTATGAAAGTTTAGAAATTCTACCTCTACAGCCAAGTGTGGATGTGGCCCAAATGACAATTTCTTTGCTATATTATGCACCGTTGTGGTGCAGGATCCAGTATTTAAATTCATACCTACCGCTGTTTTATAAAAGCAATAAGCAGCTTGAGGCCGTGCATTTCTGCGATTTTATCACAGGGATGTGAGTTTTAGGCACTCCGCTTCACAACTTAAGAACAACCTCTCCCACGATAAAATCGCAGTAAGGCATAGGCTCAAGTGGCTTATTGCTTTAATAACTGATACAACAGACCACTGATACACTTCCTCTCTCTGCTCCCTAGTTCTGGATGAGCTTTATGCAAATGAATTGAGTGGGGACCAATCAGATTGTTGATATGTGGCGCGGTAACTGTGTCTCTCACACACTAAGACTTAACACTGAAAAGCACACAGAGCAGGAGAATCATGACTGATAAACGCTTCATTATTAGGTTAGATGACTTTTTAAAGTTAAAAACAAAGTTAGGCCACCTTGAGGGTCAGAACTGGCCTCTATCTCCGCAGACTTTTTCTCTTTGAAACCTCAGCCTGCGTGTTTGTGCAACACAGGCCCCAAAGCGGCTGACTGTTTTCAGCTCACTGTCATGGAAATATGGTGTTCACTTAGACAGTTAATGACTACAAAAGATTTTTAAAGTATAAAAATACAAACTTCACTCTAAAATGTTTTAAAATTATTATTAACAAATGCTATCCTGAAATCAGGGGGTGCTACAGCCCCCTCAGCACCCCCACTTCCCGCATCCCTGTTACTCAGCATTAGTTTAGTAATACTTCCAACTAGTAGAATCTACAAGCACATACAATTAATAGCACCCTGTTTCTTGATTATGCTTGTTTTAATATTCTAGTGGGTTTGAAGTGCTTTCGCATGTGTATCTTGACCATGAAACATTTCTTGATTGTGGATTCATCGTCCATCAGTATCACCAGTCTTTAATCTTAAACCAAAGGTATACCATAGTTACAGGCATGATTCCCTTTTGAAATTCAATCAGAACTGTAATGATTTCATATATTCATCGTCTCAAACAAAACAAAATATCACTCATTAAATTCAGACCGTCATTAGTTTGATGCGTGCAGTGATTCTGTTTGGCTGAGTAACAGTTCTGTGCACATAACTTGCACAGAATTCTCATGACTCAGCCGGCAAATGAATTTGGAGGAATTCCCTTCACTCCTAAACCAGAGACCTAGAGAGAACAAAGCACACCAGATGAAGAACACATTTACATATTCTGCACACTTACAGTGTACAAAAGTTTGGGTGCTCCTGGTCAAATGACATGTTGATTTTTTAAGCTACACATCCTCTACAGAGAACACACTTCTGCACATTTCAATGCACAATTACTGTTTATGTGCGGAACTGAAAATATTGGAAGCATAAAATGTGGCCTGTGCAGAAGTTCTGGCACATTTTATTGTATTTTTTATTTTTCACCCAATATGTTAAACTGAACAAATACATATTTGCAGAAAAATGCCAAATTCAAGCGTGCACACTTGTGGAGGATGCTTTAACTTATTATCAATTAGAAATTATCACATGTAAAACATGCAACATGACTGGGGATGTTTAAACTATTGTATAAGTCTGTATACAAAATATAACACCACTCTAATATCAAAACATCATAATTCCATTTTTTTTTAGCTATTCTTAGAATCAAAACATCATATGACAAGGGGTGGACAAACTGTTGCATACAACTATATAACATCATGCCATGAAGCGCATAGAAGAGTTCAGTTCAACACTGATGCTAAGATTATCACTTTTAGGAGACTAAAACATCTAAGATAACTGGTGCACCACACTGATTTATCAGTCTACTCAGGCTTTAGGAGGCATTTCTTTTTAATAATTGCATATTTTTTAATTTAAGGGGATGTATTCTGCATTCTTCTATAAGATTTTCATTTTGGAGATATAAGGTTCTGTTATGACAGTGTTGATGAATGAATAAGGACACAATATATGCAATACAGGGACTTTTTGTTTCTAGCAGTATCTGAGCTCAGGACAAGTTTTCTCTCTAACCTACTGGTAACTAGCAAAGATACTTTCTCTAGATAGACAAAGCAAGTCACACTGGATAAGAGCATCTGCTAAATGCTGTAAATGTAATGTAAATGCAGTATATTGGCTGGATAACAGCTTAGACAATGGACTTTTTCTACCACAACACCTCATCAAATGCTACATAATAAATAACTGATGAACACTGTACTTACCCTAAAAATGCAGCCAGCTTGGGGCTGTTGGGCACGCGCTTCCTCGTCCATGCCTTTATAAGCAGAGGTGACGTACAGGTCAGTGTAGTCTTTCCCTCCAAAACAGCACGAGGTTGTTTTCGCAACGGGCAGCTTCACTGTCTGCAGCCTGGTACCTGAGAAAAGCAGACAACAAGGAAAGTCTTAAAAAGTACAACAGAAATGTATTTAAGAGATATTTATTTACACAGAAATCCTCACCTGTTTGTGGGTCAATGCGTAGCACTCTTCCTCCATTGTAGCAGGCCATCCACAGTTTGCCCTCTGCATCGATGCACATGCCATCAGGAATGCCTTCGTCTTTCTCAAGCCGGTATACGGTTCTTCTATTAGCTTAAGAGACAAAGACAGGCAGGCATAGAGTCAGTTTTCCTGTCCACGATTATCAAGAAATTGTGTACATTAGATTTTTCACTGTTACTTTGATAGTCAGAGATCCAGGCCACATGCCTCTGTGGATTCAGCACTGGTATGATAATAAGGATAAATATAGGTCTCCATAGATAACTCACATATGGCTCCGGTCTGCATATCATAATCAAAGGCCTCCAGCATGTACTTCAGACTGTCTATGTAGTAGAAGTAGCGATGGTCCAGAGACCAATCCATCCCGTTGGAGAGGTCCACCTGATCAAAGTGTTTGATGACAGAGTGGTCAGCTTGAAGGCTATACAGAGAGCCTTGCTTCTTCTCTACCTCAGCCGGACGCACTTCCAGACCCATGGTGCCTACGTACAAGAAGAACCAGGAATCAGCACAGAGGAGCACATGCTTACTTGAGTCCGAATTGTAGGATTTGTAAGCAGCACAGTGGAATGTACATTATGTAAGGCTTATGTTAAGCACACTCTTAAAAATTATGCTTCTTCAAGGGTTCTTTAGTAAGGAAAATGGTTCTATAGAGAACCATGAGCACTCAAAGAACCTTTGCATGATTAAAGGGTTCTTTGCATCGTGAAATGGTTCTTCAGATTGATAGAGAATGTGCTGTAGATGGTTCTATAAAGAACCTTTTTGAAAAGCGTTCTATATAGCACCAAAAAGGGCTATTGTTTTATTGTTACGATATCAAGCTTGTAATAATACAGGGAGATTCACTCGAAAGAGGCCCTGAATATTCTGTAATAACTCTCAGTAGGGCGAAGCAATCTGAACGAAACAACGTGCAATGTGTCTGGCAGAAAACGGAGATCACTTCCAGCATCACATGTAATGCAATTGATTACACATACATCAAGGTATGTAGCGTATTTTTTTAGTTCAGACTGCTTCATCCTAACGGGAGTTACAGCAGAATATTCGGGGCCTCTTTCAAGTGAATCTCCCTGTAGAAGTACTCTTTTTGGTACTATATAGAACCCTTTTGAAAGCTTATGCTGTCTTTATCGTTAGACTCGTTAGCAACCTGGAGCCTAAATGAGTAACATCTATGGCCCTAAATGTTAAAAAGTGAAGTGAAGCGAAGAACGCCATTAGCCACTCTTTATCTTTCCCTTTGCCACACCAATAAAATCTAACCCAGCCACAAAAAGTTCAGCTACACTCCTGCATGTCAATAGGAACAATGTGTATATCACACTGGAAAAAAGGTATGTATTTCTCATTAGGTACACAGCATGCATTTTACTGTTACAGAGAAACAACGCTTCAGGACCAACACATGGTTCTCAAAACTCTCACACTCACACACCTGCGAAGAACCTGCCAGCGGGGTCCACCTTCCCATCGTTAAAGCGAGTTTTGCTCTTGTCTGTGTCCACGTGAGCGATGGTGGTGATAGAGCGTTTCTGCCAGTCCACCGCAGCGAAGCGCGTTCCCTCTCCAATCATGTAACCTCCTGACCTCCGTGGGACCACACAGCCCACAAACGTCTCTGTAATGACGAAGAGATACATGAGAGAAGAATTACCCAAACAAATAATACTTTTAACCATTTAACCATTTAAAGCGATGATTTGGCCAAAGGTGAACGCTGAATAAAGAAACTAACTTCAGAAGACAAACATATTGAAGAAACGACTGTAGTTGGAAACATATAAACTTCATTCACTGCATTAAACAACAGGTTTAACTGAACTTTAAATGTAAGTTAATGTAACAAGATTTGGACCGGTCCATTGATCTGTTTGCCATGAAATTCTGCCATGATGTAAAAGACAGCTGCTAAATTTCAAATTATGTAGAAAAAAAACAACAAACATGGAGATACATTGCTGTTTTGTTCCGACAGCAACGATACATACACATTTAAAGTGTGCATGCTGATTTTCTGAATGAAAATATGTTAACACATCTACAGAGAACATACTTAAATATGACATTTTTCTGCAAGTTTTAGTGCACATTTTCTATTTATTTTCGGGGTTTAACACATTGGAAACAAACAAGGCATTTGATATAAAATGTGCTATAACTTTTGCACAGGCTACATTTTATGTTTTACTTTTCCCCCAAGATGTTATTAAACACTTGACCAAATTTCCGCAAATTTGAATGGATTTTTTTTCCATTTAAGCAGTGCATTTGCTCTGGCTTCCTCCCAGAGTCCAAAGACATTCAGTCAGGCCAACTGGACATGCTAAATTGCCCCTAGGTGTGAGTGTGTGTGTGTGTGTGTGTGTGAATGTATATGTCTGTCTGTCTGTCCTGTGATGGACTGGCAAACTGTCCAGGGTGTTAGCCCAATGACTGCTGGGATAGGCTCCAGCCCCCCCTGCATTTTGTTATAGGAGTGGACAAAATGTGGCATTAAAAAATAGTGCTGTTAATAAACAATCAGTGCTATTAATGCATACATATATATTTTTAATAAGTGGACAAAGTGAACCCATGACTGGCTACTACAGGCCCCAGCAGTGAGCATACAGGAAAATGAAGAAAAAAAAAAAGATGAGACAACAGAATCCGCAGAAAGCGACACCATCGAGTCAGCGCTTAATGCAGATGATGCATCTGAAAAAAACTACATCCATGGCCTTACGCAATGCCAGAGTGGGAAATTGGTACAGTCGGGGGAATTCCTGGTGGGCTGGTACTGTTTTAGGCCGGTTACTGTGAGCTAATGAATAAATTCACAGCATAAGAATGGTCAAACTGTGAATGTTACCTCTAAGTGTATATCTGTAGTATTTCAGAGGTTAAACCAGCAGCCCCCTTCTCAGAGATACATCCCCAGTTTACTGACTGTAACTGACAGTCGTACAGCGAATAGAGACTAGGAGAAGCTGAAGGAACAGCCTATAGCCTGATGTAATGACATTGATATTAAGTGATTAAATGACCCTTATTAGTCCCACAACGGGGAAGTTTCACCTCTGCATTTAACCCATCCGTGCAGTGAAACACCACATACACATTAGTGAATGCACACACACAAGGGGGCAGTGAGCATACTTGCCTGGAGCAGTGGGCAGCCCTATCCACAGCGCCCGGGGAGCAGTTGGGGGTTAGGTGCCTTGCTCAAGGGCACTTCAGTCACATACTGTCATCACAGGGCTGGGTCCCTAACCTTCAGCCCATGACTGCCCCAACTGCAGGACATTAGTGCATTTTGTGTGTGTGTGTGAGCTGGTCTGCACCATGTAACTCCCAGTTTTAAAACCTACTCCGGCCCTGGCCATAGTCAAAAGAACTATTTGATCTGGTGTTCAGTATTGAGTTCTAAATTTTTGTGTATGATGCCTGGAGTGATGCTGCCTTAGATCGATGGTTGTGTACCTCCTACTCACCATCAGCTATGACATCTAGTTTACAAATTTGAATTAGAAATAAATATTAAAGAAATACTATAATTTTTTTACTTGTGCATGTACTTTTACACTTCCACTTCAGTATAAAATCTGTCATACTTCAACTTTTACTCAATTGTTTTTTTTTACCAGATTACTGGTACTTTTACTTAAGTAAGGGACTTGTATACTTATACCACCTCAGGTCAGCGCAACTTACATTACACATTCTCGGATTCAATTGTGGTCAAGGTCCTGATTAAGGGTCAGAGTCAGAGATGACATCTGATTGGCTTACCTGTAGACATACTCTCTGTTTGAGTGGTCAAAGAGCTCCACCTGCTGATCCTTTGGCCAGTGATGTCCACATACAAGAGAGTGGCATCTTTCTCCTCCCAGACAGGACCCTCTCCGATCTCATTAGGCTCCTTCACAACGCACTCCACCTTAATAGAGGACATGGTCTCTGAAAAGGCAGAGAGTCAGTGATTGTGAGCTGTAGTGCTTTAGTCCAGTGGTCTGTGCAGTGGCAGCAGAGTCAAACAGACGGTGACAACTAGAGCGTAAGAGAGAGAGGACGGGGAGAATGCTGACAGGACAGACAGACAGACAGACAGACACACACACACACACACACACACACACACAGACAGTTCGGCGTAATTTTCGACATGAAACCCAAACTGCTGCAGTAATCGGCCCTGATTCTCAAAGCGAAGTCAAACTGAACACACTGCTTAGTGAAGTGAGTCTCAGAGCGGCGATCATGTGACCGCAGACAGCGCCTCCCTGCAGACAACACAAACTCACACTGAACTACTTTACAGCAGCAGGAAAGTTCCGTTTGTAACGTATTTAAACAGAATCTGAGCTCCACTTTACCTTCGTCAGTATAATCGACCCTCGCTGTCCAGTCGGTGTCTAATCGGCCTAATCTGGTCGGTGTTTGTTTTTAGTGTATGAAGTTCGCAGCGTTTGGACTTCTGACCGAGCGAGTGAGAGCAGCGCCCTCTGGAGGCGGTACAATAAAAAAACAGACTGTAGAGGAAGAAACTAAAATACCACAGATTCAGGTATTTGGGGGAGGTTCAGCACTGTTTTTAAATACATATACTGAATATATTCAGTATATTTTATATATTTTAAAATGTACATTTATGTATTCTTTATATTACCATATATTTTCTCATAATGGAGATACTAAGTCAGAACTGTGAGAAAGTAAGTCATAAATATGAGCTGATAAGTCGTAATTATGAGAAGGTATGCCATTATTATGAGATACTGAGTTTTAATTATAAAATTATAAAATTATTAGTCATGATTATAATATAGTAAATCATTATTATGAGATACTAAGTAATAATTATGGAAAACCTTCTCATTTTTTGATTTCTCATTTAGCGATTTTTTAAATCGCTATGTATCTTAGGCTTATAGATATTTTTACTTACCTCCAAAGTTCAGTCTTAGAAGTTGGTTGCAGTTTCTGCTCCTCTCAATTCAAGTAATCCCAAACACATTCAGTGATGTTGAGTTCTGGACTCTGGGGTGGTCAGTCCATTGTTCTGAGAAGACCAGCATCTTTGACCAGCAGCTTTGTTTCCTTTTCTCAGTAAGAGCTTCTTGACAGCTACACATCCTTTCAGACTCATAGCGCTGAGCTGTTCTCACAGTGGAGGGATGGGCAGACACACTTTTTCCCCCACTTACTCTCCTTTGACGTTCACCTTCCTTATGCAAGTGGATTATCTTATAACGAATCCCCCCAGAAATCTTTTGTAAAAATGTGTACATACTTACACATAACGGCCATTTTGTCAGGAAATTGAATAAATGAAAGGTTGTCTCTGACTTTTGCACATGAGGGTGCTTGATGCTTGGGCCAGCTACTATAAGGGACCATCTGTGTTTTCCCCTGTTTTGATCCTCTAAATATTATTAAAAACAATCCCTCGTTTATTTAATTTTCAGGCAGAATGGTCATGAACTGCAACTTATTCAGCCTCAACATCAATTTACAGTGCTGTAAAAAAGTATTGACCCCTTCCTAATTTCTTCTATTTTTTGCATATTTGTCACACTTGAATGTTTCAGATCATAAAACTAATTTTAATATTAGACAGTGACAAACCCAGTAAAAACAAAATGCTGTTTTTAAATGATGATTTTATTTATGGAAGGAAAAATGCTGTTCAGCCCCACTTGGCCCTATGTGAAAAAGTAATTACCCTTTTAGCTACTAAATCAAACAGTTAACCAAATCCAGTTGACTGTTGGGTTCAATGTCACTAGCAACACCCAGGCATGATTAATGCCTGACCGGCTGAATCTACACATCACTTAAACAGAACCGGTCTGGTAATGTAGCAGCAGCAGGCAAGAAGGTCTCAAACAGCAGCGCATGGTGCCACATTCTAAAGAGATTCAAACGACTCATCCAGGAGGTCATAAAAGAACTCAGATGAACATCTAAAGAACTGCAGGCCTCACTTGCCTCAGTTCAAATTAATGTACGAGATTCCACAATAAGAAAGATACTGGGCAAAAAATAGGTGAGCTGGAAGATGCAAACCACTGCTGACCAAAGAGAACACAAAGGCTCGTCTCGCATTTGCCAAAAAATGTCTAGATGACCTGTGATGAGTCAAAGGTGGAACTTTTTGGAAGACATGGGAGACGTTACATCTGGCATAAAGCCAACACCATACACCACCATAAGAACATCATACCAACAGTGAAACATGGTGGTGGTAGTGTGATGGTCTGGGGCTGCTTTGCTTCTACAGGACGACTTGTCATAATTGATGGAACAATTAAAGGAGAATGTCCGCCCGTCAGTTTGTGACCTAAAATTCAAGAAGTGTTGGGTTATGCAGCAGAACAGTGATCCAAAGCACACAAGCAAATCCACCTCTGAATGGCTCAAATGAAACAAAATGAAGGTCGTGCAGTGGCCGAGTCAAAGTCCTGACTTGAGTCCCATTGAGATGCTGTGGCAAGACCTTAAATGGGCAGTTCATGCTCGAAAACCCTCCTCTGTAGCCAAACGAAAGCAATTCTACAAAGAACGGTGGACCAAAATTCCTCCACAGTGATGTAAAAGACTCATTGCAAGTAATAGCAAATGCTGGATTGCAGTTATAACTGCCAAGGGTGGCACAACCAGTTATTGGGTTTAGGGGGGCAATTACGTTTTCACATGGGGAATACAGGTTTTGAATAAATCTTTATCTTCAATAAATGGAATGATCATTTACAAGGTCCATTACCTAAGAATAGCTAATCCAGTTTGCACTGAAGTCCCTGTAATTACTAAATAATAAGCCTTAGTATGTAATAGGCTTGGGATTTTAAGGGGTTAAATACTGTTGATCTGATGGGGTCAGTTTTGGTGGGCTGTCAGGTCTTGCAGGTGTTTGTTAGGAGTCCCATATTCTCTGTATCTTAAAATCATGTTTTGAACTTTAGTTTTGGAAAGTCCAGTTTTTTTCCCCTCCTTATGTCAGTGGATTATTTTATATCTAATCTCCTCAGAAACATCTCCTGAAAAATAACTTGTATTTAATGGCCATTTTGACTGAACACGTAATAAATGAAGTATGGTCTGCAACTTTTTCACAGAACTATATCTACCTGTATGGAAGCCATACTTGAGTAAAGGAATTTCTGGGCAAAGGTCATTTTATTTTGTTTATTTTTTATTTCAATTGTTAAAAAGATTATTGCAGCATGCATTAAAACATCATACTTAACATGTGTCTACATTTTAACCACTGTACTAAATGTAAACTGGAAAGATTAAAAAAACTTAATAAACTCCATCAACAGAAATCACTTTACAGTTATTACTCAGCATTAGTTTAGTAATGCTTTCAATTAGAAGCACCTAAACATACAATTAATAGCACCCTGTTCCTCGATTATGCTTGTTTTAATATTCTAGTGGGTTTAAAGTGCTTTCACACATGTATCTCAGAAACATTTCTTGATTGTGGATTCATCGTCCATCAGTTAAACAAATAGACACTACAGTTATAGGCAACACTTCCTTTTGAGATTCAATCAGAACTGTAATGATATCATATATTCATGATCTTAAAGAAGCAGAATATCACTCATTAAATTCAGGCCGTCATTAGTTTGATGTGTGCAGTGATTCTGTTTGGCTGAGTAACAGTTCAGTGCACAGAATTCTCATGACTCAGCCAGCAAATGAATTTGGAGGAATTCCCTTCACTCCTAAACCAGAGACCTAGAGAGAACAAAGCACACCAGATTACACAATTATATATTCTGCACACTTACAGTGTACAAAAGTGTGGACTCTCCTGGTCAAATGACATGTTTTGTTGATTTTTTAAGTGAAAATAAGTTACACATCCTCTACAGAGAACACACATCTGCACATTTCAATGCAGAATTACTGTTTATGTGCTGAATTGAACATATTGGAAACGTAAAATGTGGCCAGTGTAAAAGTTCTGGCACATTTTATTGTATTTTTTATTTTTTTACCCAATACGTTAAACTGAACAAATACATATTTACAGAAAAATGCCAAATTCAAGTTTGTTCCCTTGTGGAGGACGCCTTAACTTATTATTAGATAGAAAGAAACAAAACATGGATCATGACTGGGGACATTCAAACTCTTGTATAAGTCTGTATATGAAAAATATAACACCACTCTAATATCAAAACCTCATAATTCCACTTTTTTACCCTACCTAGAAACACCAGCTGCCCCTTATATTGGATATTTATATTTGGGTATTTCGTTAAAATACATAAAGCTGCAACATATTCAGAATACGTTTAGAATACATCTTGAGTGAAACTCTGCTGTTTCTCACTCATGTGTTAACTGTCTTTTCATTTTTTTCAAATACATATTGTTCCACTTTGCTAAACTCACCATAATAGAAAATAAAAATTAATATATTAATAAATTTATATAAACAATTCGCCATATCTCAATAAAAAAACCTCACTAATCTGACTATAAAGTAGACGGCTATTGATTTTGCAGTAAACAGCATGTACTGTCGCCTGCAAAAGTTTGAACATCACCTGTCAAACAACATGCTTTGTTGAGTGACGTAAGAAAAAACACGCAAAAAATCTTTTTTTTTTCGCTGAGTTTAATATATTGGTAAAAAAAAATTATAAAATAGAAAATGTGCCATAACTTCTGCACAGGCCACATTATATATTTTATTTTTCCCCAATATATTAAATTCAGCAAATGAACAGTAACTGTGCATTAGCGTGTCCAGAAGTGTGCTCTCTGTAGACACTGGTTTCACTTCAATCAACTGACAAAATGTCATATCACCATGTAACACCATGCTGAGAAGTGCATGCATGACTCCAGTTCAACACTGATGCTAAGCTTATCACTTTTAGGAGACTAAAAAAAGTATTTAGAAATGCTGAGATGACCAGCTCACCACATTGATTTATCAGTCTACTCAGGCTTTAGGAGGCATTTCTTTTTAATAATTGCATGTTTTTTTTTTATTTAGAATATAAGTATTTTGCAAGTGTTTTCTTCTTCTATAGAGTTTTCATTTTGGAGATATAAGGTTCTGTTATGACAGTGTTGATGAATGAGAATAAGGACACAATACATGCAATATATTGGCTGGATAACAGCTTGGACAATGAATATTCTACCACAACATCTTATCAAAAAATAAATGACTGATGAACACTGTACTTACCCTAAAAATGCAGCCAGCTTGGGGCTGTTGGGCACGCGCCTCCTCGTCCATGCCTATATAAGCAGAGGTGACGTACAGGTCAGTGTAGTCTTTCCCTCCAAAACAGCATGAGGTTGTTTTTGCAACGGGCAGCTTCACTGTCTGCAGCCTGGTACCTGAGAAAAGCAGACAACAAGAAAAGTCTTAAAAGGCCTCAGAAGTACAACAAAAATGTATTTAAAAAAATACTGGTAACACTTTACATTAAGGGTTGCAAATTAATTAATAATTACATGCTAATAAGTCACTAAATACTCATTATTTATGTATTAATTAACTACTTATTAAGCATAAGATACTGATTTAGTAATTGAGTACACTGTTAACTGATAATTTAGTCTGTACTTAGTTCACAGCTTAATTACTCATTAACGGTGTACTAACTGCCACTAATTACACTGCTGATGAACTAAATGATGAACCTCTGAATCACAGAGGAAACTTAAGTGGACACACTGGTCAGGCCTAAAACACAGGCTGTTTATTCTAATCCCAATGTAGACAGCTGCCTTTAAAAGCAAAGGAATGAAATATATATGTATGAATTGCACATATTGACAATGTATGTCACACTATTATCTTTTTATCTTAAATTCTAAGGTGCCAAAAGGGATTTTTTGGGATAATACCATGGAAAACCAATCTTGGATCCTTAAAAAACCTGTCATTAGATGAGATGTGCAAGTATTAAAGACTTAACAGGCTAAATGTTAATTGATAATGTGTGTATATTTTCCTCTTAACTTCAGAGGACACAAAAACAGAGGGAGAAATGAAAATATCAGTAACTAGTTAAGTCTTAATCGTGAGTTCATAATATAATTACTAATGATAATAAACACTTTAGTGGGAAGGACACACAGAGGAAATTAATTAATTACATTAAACCAGTAGATTAATTAACAGATAATTAATGGGATTAACTCATAAGTACTTTTCATGTTACTTATTTACAAGAGTAAACACACGTATCAGTTGATTAGCTGTGTAATTAGTGGCACAGTTAATGAGTAATAAAGCTGACAAACTAAACTACCAGTGAACACTGCACTCAATTACTAATTACTAAGTACTTAATCAGTAACTAATGCTCAATGAACAGTTAATTAATATATAAATAATGAGTATTTTATAGATTATTAGCATTTAATTTTCAATTAATGTGCAACCCTTAATGTAAAGTGTTACCAAAATATTTATTTACATACAAATCTCCTCACCGGTTTGTGGGTCAATGCGCAGCACTCTTCCTCCATTGAAGCAGGCCACCCACAGTTTGCCCTCTGTATCAATGCACATGCCATCAGGAACGCATTCCTCTTTCTCAAGCTGGTATACAGTTCTTCTGTTAGCTTAAGAGACAAAGACATACAAGCATAGGGTCAGTTTTCCTGATGCTGATTAACCCCTTACATTTCCTCTGTAGGACTCTTTTAACTACATGCATTAGTAATTACTAAACAATATGCTTTAAGATTCATGACTGTGTAAGCCTGTAGTTTAAGGGCTTAAGCGTAACCCAAATCTATAGGAAGACTTTCCATGTACAGTCCACAATGTAATTATGTAATGAAATTTAATCCATGATAACCTTTACTCTGTACATAACTTAAAGTGGTTGTTTGGGGCGAAATATCAAATGTACACAATTTCCCCCCGGAACCTAATTTAGTTGTTCAGCTCAGACATTTCATGCTCTGTGTCTTAAGTTTGCTCCTTTAGTTTTGCACTAGAGCTATAAGGTTAATGCAGCTAATAAGTAATGTAAGTTTAAAGGGGAATTTTTACTGATATATGCAGAATTACCTCATAGAGATGAGACCAAACCCATTCAAAGTGTTCTGGGGTGAAATCTGCCATTCTAGAGAAACTTAACATTTCAGAATCATTCACAGTGGCAGTGATAGGAACCAGACGTCTGACACCTGAAATGCCTCTAAAAGCTCCCTCACAGAAAGTTATTACATGATGAAGTGTTTATGAATACACTGCATAATACCTGAAACATTGTTTATGATAGTTTTCAGAAAAGGTTTTTTTTTTTTAATAAAGTGTATTTTTTTCAAAGCATTCATGGCAGAAAGGTACATGCATGGTGTTGTAAGGCGAAATAGCCCCCAAAGAAAACATCTTTTTCAGATTTATTACCAATATTATATATAAAAACTCTCTCTCTATAATTTAGATTTGCTAGTCATTCAGCAGCACTGCTGTGTCTGATCCACTCGTACCAGCACAACACACACTAACACACTAACACACCACCAACACATCAGTGTTACTGCAGTGCTGAGAATGATCCACCACCCAAATAGTACCTGCTCTGTGAGGGTCCATGGGGGTCCTGACCACTGAAGAACAGGGTAAAAGGGGGCTAACAAAGTATGCAGAGAAACAGATGGACTACAGCCTGTAACTGTAGAACTACAAAGTGCACCTATATAGTAAGTGGAGCTGATAAAATGGACCATGAGCATAGAAACAAGGAGGTGGTCATGTTATTCCTGATCGGTGTACATTGTAATTGTATATTTTTCTCTGTGGCTTGATAGTCAGAGATCCAGGCCACATGCCTCTGTGGACTCAGTACTATGATAATAAGGATAAATATAGGTCTCCATAGATAACTCACATATGGCTCCAGTCTGCATATCATAATCGAAGGCCTCCAGCATGTACTTCAGACTGTCTATGTAGTAGAAGTAGCGATGGTCCAGAGACCAATCCATCCCGTTGGAGAGGTCCACCTGATCAAAGTGTTTAATGACAGAGTGGTCAGCTTGAAGGCTATACAGAGAGCCCTGCTTCTTCTCAAACTCAGCCGGACCAACCGGCAGACCCATGGTGCCTACGTACAAGAAGAACCAGGAATCAGCACAGAGGAGCACATGCTTACTTGAGTCCGAAGTGTAGGAAGCAGTATACTGGAATGTACATTATGTAAGGCTTATGTTATGCAGTTATGTTAACAAGTATAAATCAGTGAATGTGTCATTGCTGTCGCGACAAAACCCGACATCTCAAGACATTTTAGGAGAAGAAAAAAACATCCCTAACTTTGAATGGAAGTTAATGAAACAAGAACAAGTCGCTCCATTCCTCATGAGATTTTAACACAATATAAAGGTTGCTGGTACTTCTGTAGAAAAGCACCAACAAATGACAAAAACTGAGACATTTTGCCTCAACAGCAACGCTATGTTAACAAGTATTAGCATGACTGTGGGTCACAAGTCAAGCAAAATGAAGCATAAGCAAACCAAAAAACATGACCAATTTGTACAGTGTGAAGATGGACTACTCTAAGTTATTGTTTTGAAGGCCAACTGATATGAATTAGTGGCCTCTGAATAGTTTAATTCCTCTAAAAGCCCCTTCACAGAAAGTTATGACATGAAATAGTTGTGATTCCAATACCTGACAACTTTGTTATAAAATAGGTTTAGTTAGATAGAGAAGGTTTCGGTCTTGAACGTTTCAGAAATTTGAAATCATGGATAAAAGTGGACAAAAAACAGCATAAATAGTTAGTAGTGATTGGCTTAAATAATGCATAAAAACATGATTTTTCAGCTTGTTCTTCTGACCACTGCATGTGTTTATCTCTTGTCCCGCTTCCGGTTTAAACAACAAGCTGATTGGCTCATTTTATTGAAAGGCAGGACTTCTGAACAGGAGCGTTACAAACTTTCCTGTTCATATTTCACCCAGTGACCAGTGTCTTCTTTTATAACGTCCTAGCTTATACTTTGCTGTCTTTATCATTAGACTCGTTAGCAACCTGGAGCTGAAATGAGTAACGTCTATGGCCTAAAATGTAAAAGTTAATGCACTGAAAAAAGTGATGTGTGATGAAGAACATTATTAGCCACTCTTTTATTTTTCACTTTGCCACCCTAATAAAATCTAACCCAGCCACCCCTTTGAAAAAGCTCAGCTACGCTCCTGTATGTGAAGAGGAACAATGTGTATATGGCACTTTCATACAGGGTGTGTAGTGTGCGTTTGTTGTGGTGTATAGAAAGGAGAGTAACACAGAGGAGGATGCACTTACTGGAGTATAGAAAAAAGGTATGCATTTTGCCTTAGATATACTGTATACATTTTACTGTTACAGAGAAACGACACTTCAGGACCAACACACTGTCCTCAAAAACCCTCACACTCACACACCTGCGAAGAACCTGCCAGCGGGGTCCACCTTCCCATCGTTAAAGCGAGCTTTGCTCTTGTCCGTGTCCAGGTGAACGATGGTGGTGATAGAGCGCTTCTGCCAGTCCACCGCAGCGAACTGCTTTTCCCCTGCAGTCACGTAACCTCCTGACCTCCGTGGGACCACACAGCCAACAAACGCCTCTATAGTGATAAAGAGATACATGAGAGAAGAATTACCCAAACAAATAACACTTTTAACCATTTGACCATTGAAAGTGATGGTTCGGTCGGTAAACGGAGGCCAAATAAAGAAGCAAACTTCAGAAGTCAAAGATGTATTTATGAATTGGCCACAGTTGGAAATGTGTGTAAACAGCAGGCTTACTTACTCAGTTATTAATCAATAAATTAGAATTTATGTGAATTTATAAAGTTTAATATTAATTATTTTATAAGTTACATACATTGTTCAGTAACCCTTGCACTGAACCACCCTTGTAGTTTATATATATCGTCGCTGTAGGAACAAAACCTCCAAAAAAGCAACTTTACAGGAGAACATTCTGCACTTTCAATGTAAGTTAATGTAGCAACATTTCATTCTAAGCGGACCGTTAAACTAATCATAATTAATATGTTTTAATTTAGCAGTTCCTTCCGCCAAATTATAGTTCCTTAACAAGCAGCTTGTTGCTACGTCAGAGTAACGAACTCCGCCCACTCGCTGCACAGCCGGCAGTTCATTCTCCAGCTCCTTGTTTTGTTCCAGCCAGTCTGTAAAGCATCTTACAGCCCATTTCGTTTGGTGAATGGTATTGGGTTCATTTCTGGCTGATTCCAGGTTGTTTAGCTGTTCTTCTGTCACAGCTGCCGACTGAAAAGCTGCTCAGTGGTGATGACAGTTTGGGAATTTAGTGTAGTCTCATCTTCAGAGTCTGAGTTCGGTCAAATGTTAATTAAATCTTAATGTTAATTAAATCTTAAAAGTGTTCATTTTCTGTTAGTAAAAACGAATTGGTCAGAAGTAAAAACGTTCAAATGGCTTGAGCGTCTCATACAGCTGTCAAAGGCGTCTCAGCGGAGTGATACAGTGTTTGTGAAAAAAAACGTGATGTTATGGCGAAATAACAGCGCGGTTAGAACGCTTCTCAACCTATCAGCTTGTGTGGCCGGAACTAACTGTTGTATAATTTCACTTAGAAAATCAACAAAACATGTCATTTAATATGCATTAGAGTGACAAATGATTAAAGTACTTCATCATGATTAATCGCATTTGTCTTATCTGCTCAAATTTGAGCAAATTTGAATACATTTTTTAAGCAGTGCATTTTGTTATAATTATACATATGGACAAAATGTGGTGTTAAAAAATTAGCGCTGCTAATAATTAGTGCTGTTGATGTATAGATATATGCTTTTAATTAGTGGACAAATCCTGCAGAATTTATGGTTAACAGTGGATGAGCCGATACAAGAACAGCCATAGGGGCCATGAGATCAGCGAAATTCAGTCCATTCAGTGCTCATAAAATTCCTTTTATTCCTTTCAAAATTATAAAAGTGCCTTTTATTCCTTTTGAACTCAACTCAGCTTTGAAGTTTAAACCTAACAATATAGTGACAGTGCACATTATATTATATTACACATTTGTGGATTTTATTGTGGTCAAGGTCCTGGTTAAGGGTCAGAGTCAGAGCTGACATCTGATTGGCTTACCTGTAGACATACTCTCTATTTGATTGGTCAAAGAGCTCCACCTGCTGATCCTCTTGCCAGTGACATCCACATACAAGAGAGTGGCATCTTTCTCCTCCCAGACAGGACCCTCTGCAACCTCACTAGGCTCCTTCACAACGCACTCAACTTTTATAGAGGACATGGTCTCTGAAAAGGCAGAGAGTCAGTGATTGTGAGCTGCAGTGCTTTAGTCTGCCTGGACTAATATCTGGTCAGATAGCCGGTGACAACTACAGGATAAGAGAAGAAAGCACAAAGACCTTTATATGCAATCAGGAAAACATTCCACAAAGTAGACATCCCAATTAAAATCCCAATTAAAAATGGTTTAAATGTTTCATGATGTAATTGTACCCCTTGCACTGTATGAAGTGAGGTATGGGGTCCACTCAGTAAGCACGTCTACACTAGATGGTACAAGCGTCTCACAGAGTCCCTGAATGCAGAATTCTGCAGAAATATGTTAAAGGTTCAACTTGTAGGGCAGAAATAGGCGGATTTCCATTGATTATACCACTTAAAACCCGAGAGCTCAGCCCTAAGCGCAGTCCCCTCTGTCAGCTGGTTCTGAGACTATCTATCCCACTGACTTCTAACACACAGCAGCCGCAGTCCAGCACCTCTGACCAAAGTCCAATCAGAGTAAACTAAATTATCAAACATAGTAAAAACACCTACCTGGAGCAGCCTAAACTACAGAGCTATCAGGCCCTAAACAGAGAGTATGAGTCAGCAGAAAATCTCTTCACCGTCAGAGGTCCACAGCAGAGACAGATCCGGACCAAGTACAGGCTCAGTGACCACAGTCTGGCCCTAGAAACAGGCTGATATAAAAAATCCTAGCTGCCCAGAGAGAAAAGACTGTGTGGTCACTGTGAGAGCGGTGAGGTATGAGAAAACTTCATAACAAAATTAAAAAAGATTCTCCCAAATTATGGAATTCTAACACTATCTTTTTGAAAAATGACCAGTTTTCCTTGGAGAAGGACACACAGCATCTCTTGCTGCAAAACATGTGCCAACATGTAACCTGATGGACAAATATGCTCCACGTCCTGACCTCACTGACCCCCACCAAACCCCTCACTGTATAGAAGATAAATATGCTGTCTGTTTTTATTATTTGATATGCTTCTTATTTAATATGTCTTCTTTTATTTACATAATTTATTTTATTATTATTGCTGCTATTATTTTACTATGACCATTATCATTATTAGTATAATAAATTCTATATTTGTTTTTAGTTCTACAAGTCTGTTCAATTTTATATGCTTTGGCAACATTATGCTCAAAACGATAAAGCCAATAAAGTTATTTGAATTTGAATTTGACCTTGAATTTAAATTTAAATTTAAATTTGAATTTGAGACACAAACGCGCAGTAATCGGCACTGATTCAGGCGCAAAGCGAATCTTCATGTTTGAACACTCTGCGTAAATCTGCGCAGCAACTCACACTGAACTACTTTACAGCAGCAGGAAAGTTCCGTTTGTAACGTATTTAAACAGAATCTGAGCTCCACTTTACCTTCGTCAGTATAATCGACCTCGCTGTCCAGTCGGTGTCTAATCGGTCTAATCTGGTCGGTGTTTGATTTTAGTGTATGAAGTTCGCAGCGGTTGGACTTCTGACCGAGCGAGTGAGAGCAGCGCCCTCTGGAGGCGGTACAGTAAAAAAAACACTGTAGAGCGGGGATGTCAAACTCAGCCACTAAAAGGGCCAAATTAAAATACACCTCTACAAATCTGTGGGACAGAGAACATCTGTGTTTTTATTTGATTGTTTGATAACATTTTGCTATAACCTGAGCTGGCCATTGTTTATTCAAAATACGCCAAAACACCAACATCAAAATAAAGGCAGTTGTTTGCATTAATTAATTAATTATTAATTAATTGATTGATTAATTAATTAATTAATTATTGATACATAAATAGGCTACAGTACACATTATTCACATTACAACAGGCTACATTACATTACATTATGCACATTATGCTGCAGTGCATACTGGGGATTGTAGTGCAGGGCGTTATGAAACGGGCTAGTAGACCCTCACAGAGCAGGTACTACTCGTGCCAGCACAACACACACTAACACACCACCAACACGTCAGTGTTACTGCAGTGCTGAGAATGATCCACCACCCAAATAGTACCTGCTCTGTGAGGGTCCATGGGGGTCCTGACCACTGAAGAACAGGGTAAAGGGGGCTAACAAAGTATGCAGAGAAACAGATGGACTACAGTTTGTAATTGTAGAACTACAACGTGCACCTATATAGTAAGTGGAGCTGATAAAATGGACAATGAGTGTAGAAACAAGGAGGTGGTCATAATGGAAAACATCCTCATTATTAAGAATTACTGGATCACTATATATTTTTTCCTATGGCAGAAACAGGATTCCATAGCTGTTTTTACTCACCTCAAAGCTGGTCGCATTTTCTGTTTCTCATGATCCAAATAATCCCAAACACATTCAGTGATGTTGAGGTCTGGACTCTGGGGTGGTCAGTCCATTGTTCTGAGAACACCAGTCTGTCTCCTTTTCTCAGTAAGAGCTTCTTGACAGCTACACGTCCTTTTAGGCTCAGATTGCTGAGTTGTTCTTCTCACAGTGGAAAGACAGACAGAAACACTTTTTGAGATCTGGAGGAGCGGAGCTTGATTTTCTTGATCTTTGGTGGTCTAACAGGCCTTTTTCTGCTGTTTGGAGTCCTGTTTTCTCTCTTTCTTTGAATCATTTTCAGAACTCCAGTTTTGGAACTTCTCTTTTTTCCCCTCTTACTTTCTTTAGACTTTCACCTTCCTAATGCAAGTGGATGATCTTGTAATTAATAAAAAAATTGTTCAGAAAACTGAATAAATGAAGGGTCTCTGACTTTTGCACAGCACTGGACGTTCTATGGACTTTTTATATTTGATGCCAAAATCATTAAATCATCAACTTCAGATCAATGCAGCAATGAACTTTATGCTTTTACTACAGCAACGTTTACCAAGCTGCTCTTGGAGCCTCTAAACTGTAGTGTTTCTGTTTAAACAGATCAATTTCATCTTCATTAAGGGTTTGAGGATGAGATGATCTGCATGTTCTGGAAGATCAGAAAACAACACTAAAGTAGTGCATGACTGGGAAAAACTACAGATATTACCCAAAATAAGCCACATTGTGGGCATGTTAGTCCCTTAACAGGGAATGTCTGCATTATTTACATCTTAACCATTTAATTAAGTCATTCAGAGAGGTTTGATATGAAATGCTCAACTCCAGAGAAACTTAGAAAAGCCAGATGTCTGAAATGTTTAATATGTTCTTCTCTTACTGAATGTAACTACACCAAATGTTTCATAAATGCTGGCTGATGCCTGAGACATTGTTTTACTATCGTTCTGAGATAAGATTTTGGCCTAAAATGTATTTCAAAACCCATTCATAATGGAGAGGTACATGCAGCACAATAATGCCTAATTTATCACTATTTTACCTTTAACATTAATTACAAAACCCAGAAGACACATATAGGTTCACTGATTGTTCTATACACTATACTGCAAATATAACAGCTCTATTTCACTCGTACACATCACAACCACTCGTTCCTGTCACCACCACTGTAAAGAAATCTGAGTGACCCATTTCACATCAAACCACTCCAAATGACTTTGTTGGCATCTTCACACTGATTTATGCAGAAAATTTGAGAAGTTGGTGGAATTCTCCGAACACGAATAGATGAGGAAACCTAGTGTTCCTGGAGAACCTGGAGTGAAGCACAGTCAACTCATTGATCACAGTTGGTATTTAGTTATACAGTTAATCGTTACAAACATAAAGGCTTAAGAAGGCAGAAAATTAATTTATGCAAACAGGAATACAGTATGATTCAGTTTAGTGTCAACAAACAGGCAAAGCTCAACACAGAATAATAATTACAAAAGTAAGAAATGAGCAATGTTATTAAAGACAAGATTATGGAAAGAGAAAGCACAGAGAGAGGTGACATTTAATCTGTTTTCCTTCTTACTTTCGTTTGTCTAAATGTCTATGAAGTCACCCATTCTACTCCCTACGTACTCCATGAACATTTCCTTGCATTGTCCTCCATCAAACACAGTTCATGATGAATCTTCATTGAGGGTCACCCCCCAGAACCTGCTGTCAGCTGCAGTTACACTGGAATTGAGGGGATGTTGTCACTATTTGGCAACGGCTGCAGTCGAACTGCAAAACAACATGCAGTGGAGGAGTTCACTTTTTGGCAGCGGTGGCTTTAGCGCGGTTAAGGCGTTCTACCAGTGCTCGGTCTGTGCTGGGGGAACAGCGAGATAGAACCGTGCTTATCTCTCCATCATTCCGCCTTTCAATAGCTGCATCCGCCGCCCCTTCCAGGTCCCTAGAGAGAGGGGAGGGAAAAAGAAAAAGAAAAAAATCAATCTAAACTTGGACTTTTAGTTTCAGAATCAATTTTTAATGAAAGACCCTGTTAAGCAACTTATGTTGCTCAACTAACCTGCTCCAGGGCAGGTTAATTTTAGGATTATGTATCATAAATAGCTTCTGAACCTGAAGTAGACACAGACTGCCGAAAGTCATTAGCTATTAATTTGCTGTACAGCAAACACAAAAACAAGACATTCAAAACACAAGACACAACCACTTAGGCTACGTTCACATTACCAGGTTGAAGTGGCACAAATCTGATTTTTTGCCCTAATGTGACTCAGATCTGATGTTTTCAGAGCTGTGTGGACACACAAATCTGGACTTTTCAGATCAGATCAGATCAAAATCCTACCTGAGCCACATTCACGTGGTCCTAAATCAGATATGTATCTGATTTGTGGCCGGGCTCATTCTGCTTGTTAGTTTGTTTGCTGATGATGCACGTGATTCATTCACATGACGTTACTGAGTAGGATGTGCGCATGTGGGTAATTTCAGGACGCAGGTTTGTTCACAGTAATGACAGATTTGAATCGCCTAAACGAGTGTGAACCATTTGAGCAATGAGGCTTGTAATGTAAATGTAGCCTTAGCTTCAAGTTTTGTGAAATTTGCAGTATCAATTACTTGAAAAACACCACAGTTTAACTTGACAGTTATGTAGCATGAAAATATATCATGCTACCATTAATACGGTGGAAGTGGCGACAGTGTTGCTTTTTTCTTTTTGCTGTTATAAATGCTTTATCCTCCACACGTTTACATTCTGTGATTTATTTTTCCTTTTCATCCGCACGGTTGGCTGCCTGCCATAAACATCACGCTTCCATGTGCACATGCATGAGGATTAATCATAGTTTGAGTAACTAAACTTGAGTTAACAGAGAAATTTCTTAGCCACCACTGCAAAATGAGTTGGGTTTGTTGGGTTTTTAAAGCTGAGACTTCTTGAGACGGGCCCCTCGGTGTGCACTTTGGCTGATCCGTGAAAAATTTTGGGATGTCCACAGGATGTGCAATATGACAATACAGTCCTGTGCAAAGTTGGAAACACCCCAGTCAAATTACACATTCTGTTGACTTTATCAGTGAAAATAACATCCTCTACAGCGAACGTACTTACATACGGCATTTTCTGCAAATTGCAGTGCACATTTCTGAGGTTTTTGCTGTGTTTACCATATTGGAAAAAAATAATAAAAGTTGAATGTGCCATAAAGTTTGCACAGGCAACATTTTATGTTTCATTTTTTCCCTCACTAGGTTAAATTCAGCAAAGTAACAATAAATGTTCAGTAGAATGTGCAGTGTGTTCTCTGTAGGATGTGTGAACTTATTTTCACTTAGAAAATCAACCAAACATGTCATTTGACCAGGGGTGCCTAAACTTTTGAACACACATTAGCGTTATTGTGACAAATTACGTCACAAATCACTTTTCAGCATATATCGTGAAACAAGGATGTGTGTTAAAAGACAGACTAATTAGTCCAGTTTAACTGGATTTAGTGCAGCACAGAAGGTGAAACAATGAAGTAAAACCACTGTAGCCATTTGATTTTTTTTTATGTGGCCCTACTGGTGCTTTTTATCTGTACAAACCTTAGAAAAAAAACAATGTATGTATCATTTTTGGTGAAAATGTCAGAGCATTGTGATATTCTTGCCATAGTGACCATCCTTAGATGTAAATAACATGTTCACTGTACATGCACGTCTATGTACCAGTGAAGCGTGCTTCCTCTTAGAGCAATTATATGCCTGATAAAAATTATCAAAAAATGAAACAGAAATGGAAGAAAGGGTATCAGCCAATTTGGCTATAAAGTTACCGGAACTAGAGTCGGCCGCAAAACTCACGTTCAGTGCACAAAGTAAACGGCTGTTATTGTACTGCAACGACAACAGAATTGCAACAAACATGCTTTTGCGTATTCATTTGTGAGATCCTGCTGGTGGGGGTTCATATCAGTTTCCTGTCTTTCACTGAAGCACACAAGTTCTAATAGCACCCCCTTGTGGAGAACTTTCAGCCTGCTAAACATAAGGGTGTGTGTGTACTACAGTATAGGACCTTGCGTCACAGACAGATTAAACAGACACAAACAAACACTCACCCTACTGCCAGGTGGGCTTTAACCTTCTGCTCAGGAGTCACTCTGGACACATATTTCTTGGCTTCGTATTTGTTGTGGTGTTTCACGCAAACCTCAACAAAGGGCTGCAAACAGACATAAGACAGAAAAAAGATAAATCAAACATCAAGGGTCAGTGTTTATGTCAGTGGTGTGGGTTAGAAAGTCCATATCTCTATTTACCAGATAGCCAATGGGTGATTTTTTGCTTTTGGCAAATTTCTCTATCTCCTCCCAGTCCTCTTTCTCAGCAAGTGCAGTGAGCTTCAGCCACCAGTACCTGGAACAAACGTCAACATGACTTAAACACACTTCCCCAAATATAAACACACACATGCATGTAAAAGAGACCAATAAACAGTCTATTCAAATAAGAAATTTAATATCCTGCTTCAGTTCCTTTGAGGTGTTTTGCGGAGATATTTCTCAATAAGGTTGTGTTCCACACTGCATTTAATGACACAGGGATGGAAATGCAAATGGTAATAATATTACTTTGCTAGCTAGTGTTAGTCAGGCATTCCCCTGCCTTTCCCATATCGTGTGTCAGCCCCTATAACCTGTATTTCGTCATTGTCAGAACAAAACTTTGTATGTCCATTGCTTTCTTTTTAATTTTTGAAATCTGAAAATGTTAGCTGCCCTTTACAATGCCTCTCCCAATTTTTCAATTAATGGACCATAAGAAATGCTTTAGAATGCCTCAAAAAAATCTTGTTCTATTAACATACATTTGAAGTTAAGAACATTTTTTCATTTCCCCGTAAAGTTACCATCTTGAAGATACAAGGTTTTGTCACAACAACGATATATAAATGTATGCATGTTTTCATACTTACAGCACTGTGTAAAAATCAGAGACAACTTTTCATTTATTTAATTCCAGAGCAAAACGGCCATTAAATGCCACTTATTATTTTTTAATCAACAGAAAAAATAGGAAACATATCATACAGAAAATGACACACATGCTAACTAAATACAATAAAAAAACAGTATTTAGTATGTTCACACTTTGCTTTTATTACAGCGTCTATTCTTTTCAGGGGACTCGCTTTCAGTTTTCAGAGAAATCTGCAGAGATATTTCACACCTAAAAAGTTCAGTCTTATAAGTTGGTTTCTTTTTCTGCTTCTGATGATCCAAGTTATTGCAAACAATTCAGTGATGTTGAGGTCTGGGCTCTGAGGTGGTCAGTCCATTAATACACTAGCACATCTTGACAGCTACACATACTTTCAGACTCATAGTGCTGAGTTGTCTTCAGCAGAAGGATGGACAGAAATACCTGTGGATTTTTTTTTACATCTGATGCAAAAGTAAAACCTGAATTTCTTCTCTCTCTCAATGATAAAAGCTTTAAGTATTGATTATCTGATGTTGACAGTTTTGGTGGTCTTCCAGGTCATGCATGGTTGTCAGGAGTCCTATTTTCTCTGTATCTTTTAACAATTTTTTAAACTTTTTTTTTCCACTTTTCTTTTTATTGTCTCCTTCTATATGCAAGGAAGCCAGCTTATATCTAATATTCTCAGAAATAACTTAATGGCCATTTTAACTAGAAACTGAATGAAGGGTATACTTAGACTTTTGCACAGTGCTGTACATACATACACCATGTGTCAAAAACTTAAAACCACTTGTCACATTTTATAAAATGTAGGTAACGTTTTATAAAATGTGACAAGTGGTTTTAAGCTTTTGACATGTGGTGTATGTATGTATGTTTAATTCAGTATTTCAAGTACTTTAGGAACAACAAGTAGTTATTAAACTGCATCTGAATGGAAGGGTATGTGAATCAGGATAAACTCCTATGATGTACCTCTTGTCAGGCACTCTGAAGTCCTTATAGAGCTGCTCAGCGTGCTTGTGCAGGCCCACAGCCAGTAGGGCTCGGATGGTGTCGTGTAGGGAGAAGCCCACCAGTGACTCGCCCTTCTCCTCTTCCAGCTTTTTCTGGAAACGTAGCAGACGCATCTCCTCTTCTGTAGCCTGAGAGAGTGAGAGGGAGAAGAATTCATTTAGTTTGGATACAGAAGATGTAATGTAGTAGAATTTCTCTGCTGGGTGAAGGGGACAACCATGTAATGGATAAATGGATTTATATTTCTCACCTTGGCAGCGAATTCATTCTTGGCCTTGTTGTACTCATCCACAGCACTTTGTAAATGACCTATTCGGGCCTCCAACCTCTGTCAAACACACCCATATAAAATACACTCAATTTAGTTTAAAACGAGATTCAATACTAAACATACATCAATGTTTTGAAAGTCTCATATGGATTCTTACCTTTTCTTTATAGCTGGCTTTCACATAGAAATTTCCAAGCTCTTGATGATCATCGTCTTGATTGAAGAGATCTTTCAGTGTGTCCTGTTCCTGATGTTTACAGAACTGAAATTGACAAAGAGAGTAAAGACATTTAATAAAAGATCACACGACTTTGTCTAAACCGTCTCTGCTAAACAGTAACACCAACTGCAAAGTATGTACCTGTCTGTAGAGGCTGAGAGCCACAGGCTGGTTCCTCAGAGTCATGAAGAAGTCTCCTCTGTTCATCTCATTCTTTAGGTATGTTACCACGGTATAGACTGAGGATACAGGAGAGAACACTGGCTTCATTTAGAAGCTGCGTATGTGTATAGTACGTCGATGAGTGGATATGAACAGACCTCAGGTCACAAACTGATTAAGTTTGCTTGTGTGCTTTAGCGTTATTATGGCATGTAATTGAGAAGACATTTAGGCATTAGGCATTAGGAAACTGAAAGATGAGAGATTCTCCATGTTGTTGTGGTTTTTTGTGTGTGCATGTATCTGTGTACCCAGGTCTGTGTCTCCGCTCTCAATGGCTTTGCTGAGTGCTAACTGGCTCCTCTTCATCTTCAGCAGCAGAGGAACTTGCTCCCCAGAGCGAGGCTCAAACTCCAGCAACTGCGAGAGAGAGAGAGAGAGAGAGAGAGAGAGAGAGAGAGAGAGAGAGAGAGAGAGAAAGAAAGAAAGAGACAGGCATCTTCACATCTTCAGCCGACAACAGGCTTGAGGTCTGATTGATATTTGTCAGCAAGTCTGAACGTGTGAGCCGTTGTGTCTCAGTATTTAGTCGCACTTTATTTGAATAGCCCCCTAAAGATTATCTTCAGATGATCAAATTATTAACCATCTATACTAATTCTTTGCAGTATTAGGGTTAGAGAGAGGCTTAGGTTCAGAACCTGGATTAGGTTCTGAGTTGAGGTTAAGGTTACGCTTCATTTACATTAGGGTGGAGCCGGGCGATTATTCGAATTTATTTCTACGTTACGAATACTGTTGTGTGAGTACCTTTATAGCAAGTTCAGTGCGGCCGCACTCGTAGGCCTTAGTCGCGATCTCAGAGTAAGAGATCCCAGCAGCTTCACCCAGCTTCAAACTTATGGCTCTTGCAATGACCTCATCAGCCTCCTCTTTCTGCTGTACCTACACACACACACACACACACCAGACAGTTATACACAGGCACAGGTCTCTGAACATTCACACATAACTGTATAGATCTCTCTCTCTCCCTGTACCTTGCAGCAGGCCCAGTGTTTGAGTACTCGACTCACTCCCTGGTACTCTGGAGTCTTCAGATAACGACAGATTTCAATGGCAAGAGGATACAGTTTACGATACACTAACCTGAGAGAGAGAGAAAGAAACAGTAAGGATTGTGTACACAATCTGCTACGAGTATAAGGCTGTGTTAATGCTCACACACACATTTTCACAAGAAATGATAAGAATGTAAGTGTTGTTTATGGCTTTTTTTGCTTCAGAAACCCATTAACTACTTTCAAATGCTTTAAACAGTACTTTCTTTCTATGCTACTGGCTGCCGCAGGCTGATACGGTACGTAATTCTTGTTTTTCATTATACAACAGTTAGTTCCAGCCACGCAAGCTGATAGGTTGAGAAGCGTTCTAACCGTGCTGTTATTTCGCCATAACGTCACGTTTTTTTGACAAACACTGTATCACTCCGTTGAGATGCCATTGCTAAGCAACGACTTTAACCGTTGTAGGAGACGCTCAAGCCATTTGAATGTTTTTACTTCTTTGCGTACAAACAGAAAATGGATCCTTTCACATTTGACCTACAGCTGATTTGGTCAGACTCTGAAGATGAGGCTACACTAAATTCCCAAACTGTCAGTTGGTCGGTGTGGAGCTGGAGAACAAATTGCTGGCTGTGCAGCGAGTGAGTGGAGCTCGTTACTCTGACGTAGCAACGAGCTGCTTGTTAAGGAACTATAATTTGGAGGAAGGAACTGCGAACATTAAAACATATTAAATGCCGCATTCACAGCCCAATTTATTTATTTATTTCTTACTTTATTTATTTAACTGTTGTATAAAAGCAATACTTAAGCGATAGAACACGCGAGGTCGTGTGTTATCGCGAATATTTTGCGATGACACACTCCCTCTCATGTTGTATTGCTTAATTATATCACCTTCAAAGCAATGGTTAAGCACAATGAAACCTAACCAACAATTTCCACTGTATATGGTACTGTATTTTTTCCTGCTCAGTTCTGCTTAGTTAATTTTATTTACTTGTAGCTGTGTCTGTCTTAATGTGAGCTGCTGGAGAAATTTCTTGCAAATTATATCTTAATCAGCCAGTAAAACCAATTATGATTCTGTAAGTTTATGGTGACATATTCACAATGATGAGAGCCAAACTGACAAGCTTTGTCTCACCGGTCTATGAGCACTTGGACAGTCATCTGCTTGAACTGAATATGAGTGAGAGGGATGCCCACAGTGTAGTCTCTCACAGCGTTTAACACACGTAAGTCCCGACACATGCTGACAAACGGCTCTGGAGGAAAGTTACTCAGGAAACACTTCCCGAAGGAGGCTGCCTGCACACACACACACACACACACACACACAGAGAAAGAGAGAGAAAGGTGAGATAAATGGTTAAGTGGCAGAAGAGGCAGCGAGTCCTGATCACATTGGTGACTCACCCTCAGGAGTGTTTTCTGGGTTTCTGCCTCAAGCTCGTGTCCTGCTGCCTCCACACACTGCTTCACCGCCTCTCCCAGCAGATTCTGCTCTTTAATCTCCCTCAGATACTCATCCGCCTTCTGACTCTCTTTCTACACATGCACACAAATATTTTACAGACAGACAGACAGGCACATAGACAGAAACCTCTTTAATACTGAAGGACGAGTTACAGCAGCAAGAACAGAACTATTCAAATCTATATTACCAAAAACTACGAAACTTACAGAATTCACAAGGTACTCATAGCAGACATAAACAACCCTATGGCTCCGAAATAAATTCTTGGCTGAAACCGAAATTCAGGACACACAGGGATGAAAACCGAAAAAAGCTGGCGATAAATAAAAAAGTTTACATAAAATAAACTCACTTAAATTATACAGTATAAGCCAAGAAATTCAATGTCCCTGACAATAGAAAATGGTTAGTCATGCAAGGCAATGAATTCCATTATTTTTAGTTGTACTTTGTACTTCGACTGTCTTTTGTTCATTTTTTCATCATTTCAAAACTGAGGCTACTGGTGTTGTCAGCAAGCTAGCGGAAACTTTCCTATCTGCCTTCTGTTGTTTTTCTGTATTCTGCACATCAAGCATTTATCGAATGATGTGGTCTTCAACCTGTTGTGGAGAAGTACTTTCTACTGGGAGGTGGCTGTCCCAACCCTAACCCCTATATTTCACCTTCTGAAAATTATATGCAATTTTTTTTTGCATTTTCTCTAAAGTTGTTTTTAAAAAGATATTTTCATTTTTTTTTAATTTACCTTAACATGAAGTAGATTTATGATTACTTTAATTTTAAATTCTTACATTTTTAATCACTTCGTTTAAAGCACGCTGCCCTGTGTTTTCATGTCACAACTGAAACACAGAGTTTTAGTCCATGGGCCGAGCTTTACGTTAGCAACAGTCCTGCATTTTAGAGCAGAAGGTGAGACTGCATCCCTGTTCCTCATGGCCACATGGTGAGCAGATAGATCCCATTGTTTTAAAGTAAATGTGTCTGAAAGTCAGAAAATCCGTGCATAACATTGAGAACTGTCCTTACTGAAACATACATTTTCTGCATTTAAGCGAACCTTCTTGCATTTTAATAAAAATATTGCGAAAAAATACTGCATGTCAACACAACTGTTCAAAGCTGTGTTTGCTACTTATGTACTGCTAGAGTTTTTTAATTATGCTGAAAATTAGCAAAAATTGTCACTACCGAAACATTTGGTAACTTTTCAGTAGTAGTGTTATGATTGGCAATGACAAAATGGAATGTTCAATCATTCATTTTAATAAAATAAACATGTTTAAGGCATAAAGTCACTCAAAACATAAGGATTTTAGTCTAAAGTCCATATCAGTTAAAAAAAAATCAAAATGGGTTTTCAACTCTGACTTTGAACCAATTCAGTAGAATGACCCACATATTACATAATGATATTATATAACCTGCTATGGATATACAGATATTATATTATTTATCATGTTATTATCATACCAGCACACAATAAACTATAGATACATTAAAAATTGGCCACCAAGATTTTTCAGCATGCAAAATTTTGATGCATCCCCACTTTATTAGTGTATGCTTCAAAGCCAACAGTTACATATAACTTAAGGAGTTTGTTAATAAGATTTAAATATTGAATAAACAACAAAATATTACCCATACTGACAGCACCCCAAAAATATATACATGACTTTTTAACTGACATAACATTTAACCAAGCAGAAAATGTTTAAGAACAAAAATTTTATGCATTTATCATGACAAAACCTGGGCGGACCTTTCACCAGAGCCTCACCTCATATTCTTTGTGCGCCTCCAGCAGCAGTGCTCCTGGAGCCATGGAGGCTATTTTAAAGATCTCCTCACAGGCAGCTACCAAACAAGGAAATATATTCAGTATCACCCTTGATAAGTCATCACTATAGCAGATAATCATCGCTAGCCATTGTATGTATCTCTGTTCTAACCTGGCACCTCCTGCAACAGTTCATGGTGTGTGCCATTGAGGATTCTAACCCCGTCCAGCTCCGGCACCAAAACTGAAAAGCCTTCGAGGTGATATGAGATTGTATCTTTACACTCTCCTGCCACCAAGATGTGTCCATCCCACATGATCACCACTGAGGGCTGCTGACTCTTAGGCCTACGACACCTGGGCAGATAATTGGGAACACAAAATAGTTTTCATATCAACTGAAATGGTATACATGTATAAATGTCAGTCAGAAGCAAGAAAATTTACACACATGCATTTAACAGTTTAAAAATTTTGGAATCACCATTTAAAAGCTTAAAATCAATGTTTCTTATTATTTCCAAAGTTGTTTAATAAAGAGAATTCAAGCACCAGCCTACGAGGACCTCATTTACATATCATTTACATGAAGCAAGCCCTAATTCATGCAGATGTTTCAGTAGGGCCAATAAAACGACAGCATTCAGCACATCATGAGCCAAAAGCTGTACTCATAGGCAGAGTCTGATTTAGAGCACCCCTACTCACTTTCTAGTTTTAGAATTATGACATAAAATAAAATGTGAAACAATAAAACGTCTTTTATTATATAATACAAGTTAGTAAAAGGATGTGATTGTGTAGCGAGACTATTTTCCTAAAATAACATATTTAAATGCTGTATTACTGTGGTGTAAGAGATGCTTCTGCACAAGGAGTGTTTTTTTTAGTTAGTAGGATAAAACAAAAGGAAAATGTAATCTGTCCTTAAAAGGCACACGGAACAATTGCAGCACTCCTTTACCAATGTGCATAATTATATCCACTTTTTTACTAGATTGCTATATGCACAAATTATCATTACTATTCTTTTCTAATTTTATTTTTAACTGTAAATTAAGCATTTTTTTTAACTATTATGCTCAATAAAAATTACACACATTCCTACCAGATGTGAGTTTTATTGTACAGATACAGATACAGATATTGTACAGAAAGAAGAAACTGATGAATTACAAAACTGTAATTTAACCATTCGCAATGTTAATAAATAAGAGCCAATGATTTCACTAACATAAAAGCAATCTGGCTGCAGATCTAGTAAGCAAGTCCTGTGCAACTTCACAGGTTTCAAATAATTTGCAGGAAGCTAGAAAACTGTAGATTATTTTAAACAGTTCAAATGTTCATAAGCAAAAGGTCTCACAAAGTACAAAATGCCCACATGTTCAGCTTGGGGTTGTAACTTCACATGTAAAGCTAGCATCGAATTTGGATTTCACCATTTGCCGGCTGAAAAATATTAGTCGTTTTCACTATACTTAGCCTATTTATTCCTTTCTTACAATTAGCTAATAAATATCCAATATATTAAATAAAGTTGAGCCTTATCTTTAGGTAAGGTATTTTTCAACCTGCTTTGATATCTGTGACAGCAACTATACACAAAAATCCTGCTTGTGTGCCAACAGCACCCCCTTGTGAAGAATCTTAAAAAATTATTGCGGAGAAAAACGAAATCTGTATTTTTGTATTTCACAAAATTAACATGAAAAGTCCAACCTGCTACAGGCTGCTTTCTTTTTTTCACCGGTAAGATTACAATAAGTGGGATCAATACTTTTTATTTTGTTTATATCTCTGTGCTATAATATTTTACTTTTGCTTGCAACTTTTCCAGCACCAGCGTTACCTCCTTAAAATACTTATATAGAGCCCTGTTATCTATCATTTAAATCTTCTTTTCATTCCCCAAACTCTTGAAATGTTGAATGGAACACCTTAAGATTAATAATAGGTTTAAATCTAATTTACATCTACATTGTCTGTTTATGAATGACAAAAGTTTTTAATATGACAAGTGATTCGAAAGCTTTGGGCTGGTGGTGTATATATGTATACATATACATTTACAAATACAGCTCATGTGAAAACACACAAATTGTATGAGAAGAAACACCTAAAAGCTACATTAAAAAATCAAAAAATATGAGTTGACTTACCAGGCCATCTGTTTGGGTGGATTTCTGACTTTAGTCTCCACTTCACTGAGTTTTTCCTGCACACATGAAGTCAGTCACTGTCATTTTAGCCACAAAAGACTCAAACACTACAAACAACAAAAGAAACTGAACTGTGAGTCAAATGGCCGACTGTGCCAAATCAAGAACTCATAGTGCAAGATTTCTATATTAATTTCTTCCTCACGCACCTTCAGGTTGGCAGTACCCATCCACACATGGCCAGAGTCAGTAAACAGGGCCAGGTACTTATAGCTGAATGAAACACACATGTGCACTATACTGGTAGCCTGTGGTGAAAGACCTGGAGGGCTCTGAAACACACATAAAAGTTGTGAGCATGCAAGGTCGCTCTCTGCACATATTCTTTGATATGATAATTAACATTTAAAGTCCCTCACCACATAGCACTGCTGCGTTTGTATTCATTCAATATTAAAATGATTTGTGATTATAAGGTGTGTTTGTAGTAGCTCCTCACCACAGCAGTGCAGGCGGCGTAGTCCAGAATAAAGAGATCAGCACCAGTAGCCACCAGCACTTTACTCTGTCTGTCCTGGGTAAGCACCGCCCAGCAAGTAGGTGCCCCTTGGAGGCCTGTGTTTTATAACAAACAAAACAGGGCAGTCGATTTGAAACCAAAAACAAAAATGCAAGAGGAGTGAGATATAGCAAACAGGCCTGAGTCTATTTGAGGACAGTACTGGGAATCACTAATTGAGCCAAGTGACGACAGTTTTAAGAATTACAGACGATTGAACCTACTGATGCCAGTTTTGGGAATTGCAGATGGATTGCGTTTATTTTGATGGCTATTAAGATAAATGATTTCAATGTCAGAAAATGCACAATCTGGGGCTTTAAGATTCCTAATATGTTATCTGGCTTCAGAACATTCCATATCAGCACAAAGCACCATCCTTTCTTTCACTGTTGTCACGCTGACTAAACAGCCGTTGATTACTGATGATGTGGTTCCACTGAAGTAGTTAAAAACTAAAAGACAATTCCATATATTCTATTCTAACAATAGTCGGCTACAGTAACAGTAGCCTGTAGGCAAACTTAATATGGTAAGCTTTAGCTATTTTATTATCTGAGCAAGAAGCAATTTATAGGCTGAAACAAAAGCATGAGTGTGTTCATTACATCCAGTTTAAGTAGGCCTTTCTGTTGTGTTACCATATTACTTGCCGTATTGAAACAAGTTACTGTAGAAAGGTACCACAAATCTTGACTGAGAGGCTCCTCAGTCTGAAGGTTGACCGCAGCCTCTAAGGCAAAATGTGTGGCACCTTTCTGTTAGATGTGCTTAAAACACTTATTTTTAATGCAGTGTTTAATACAGTTAAGCAATTTAAGACAGCTAGGTGGAGAAAACGGCCGAGTCATTGACAGCATACTCACCTGGCACCTCAGGTAACCTCCGCAGTTTCAGGTCATCAATGTTTGTTGCCAGGGTGAAGCGGGATGCTCCCGTCACTATGGCAACTCCAGTTCCATATGGAGAATGGAATACTTTGGCTTCCACAACTTGACTCTGTCCCACTTCCTGGTAAGATGAGCAACATCACAGTGAGATCTTAGGGCAGGGGCATCAACATCATTTTAGATATTGGGCGACATTACACCAATATCAAGTGGGCCATACAAATCAAATTCTTTTAGATGCTTAAAAAAAATCTATTTTTCTAGATTGGAGAGGTGTCCAATCTTATCTACTAAGTGCAAGTGTGGCTGCACATTTTCATTTGTTTACAATGAAACTCAATCTCAAACTTCAATAATAAATCAGATATACTCCTACTTTGTTGGAACGAACATTTGCAGCCACACCGGCCATTTACGGATAAGTTTGGACAACCTAGTGTAAAGCTACCCGTAGAGTAGAGGCTGCTACTGCAGGAAAGGGGGTACAAACTCCCTGATATCACAAGAATGAGTGCTGAAAGAGTATGTGTCTATAAACTTTAAATACTGTATGTGTATGTGTGTGTATTCTCACATTGCCCATGCTGAAATGTCTTTTGAAGTTGCCAAAAAGGTCATAAATAAGAACAGTGCCATCTTCCTGAATACAGAGTAGATCATCACACACAGTCCAACCCAGCTGCTTCACCACACCACTCTTCCACTGCAGAGAGAGAGAGATATAAGTCAGCAATTAATGTCTCTGTAAATGGACACAAGTTAAAGCAGCAAATCTGGCAAATAAGTGCATGTGTATATGTGTTTACTGGAAAGCTGGTCATAGCCGCTCCAGAAGAGGAATAGATCTCTAACTGAGGCCGGACGCTGGGGGAGCGGCGCTGTGGTTCCTTCAGCAGAGCTAAGAGAAAACGAGTGTGCATTAAGGAAGTATAGAAAGAAATACATCCACCACTAGGGATGCACCGATCCATATTTTTTCTTTTCCAATACCTTGATCTCAGGATATCAGCCAATCCAGAGTACTAATTAGATTAATAAGAATAAGACCAGCGGTTCTCATAATGGGGGCCTGCGATGACAGTGGCACTTGCTACTCCCAAAGGGGGCCTTTGCCTAAAAATGATTGCTGCCTTACACAAACAAGTTTGTCTGTTAAATGATCCTTCTAATTGTAATTGTAAGTAGAACATTCATTTCCATTAATGAAAAAAATGGGAAATTTGATGTGCATCACTTTTTTGAATGAAGTGAAACAATATTAATAGTGGATCATCATGTTTTGCTGATACCTGATCCATTTTAAAAAGTCAGAATTGGTGCCAATACCAACCCAGGGCACTGGATCAGCGCAGTCATTCTTACCCACCTTGCTGGTGGATGTGGACAATATGGCAAAAATATAACATCACAAAATGTCAAAACATCCCTTCCTCCCCTTCCTATGTCCCTGGTCAGTAGTCCACACAAAATACCATCAAAAACTATGAACACAATGATTTCTATTCAGTATTTTACATACTGCATTAAATATAAATTAACAGGGCTAATTATGCTCTCTTTGTCATTGTTCTTCAAGTGGTTGATGTTCTTTAAGCACCAACATTGTCCACAATACGCTCAGAAAAGCATACTATAACATAATGTGATGCAATTTATTATGATAAGTTTATTATGACCTATTATGATTAAATTATGATCGGTTTCCATGCATGGTTTGTATCCTTCAGCCCTGCATCAATAATTTCCAAAGAGCCGTTCTTGGCTGGATATTTTCGAGTGGCAACCTTACAGTAAATACCCATGTACAAACAGCCCACACACTAACATTTCAGTCGTAATCCTGTTGAGAGGATGGTCCACCACCCAGAAGATATCTGGTCAACAGTGGTCCTGCGTTTAGAATTTATGATGATGGATGATGAACAGAAATGAGGGTGGCTGACAAACCGTGCATGACAACAGCTGCAGCCTGTTACTGAACAACTATACAGTGGACCTATGAGGTTGGTGGAGCCTATGAGGTGAAATAGGATGGGAGGAATGACACTTAGTAAAGGAGGAGTACATGTTACCTTCCATTTGGGAGCTTGTCAATCAATACTAACTTACCTATGGGACCACCATAAGGAGCTGCCGCCACTAAACACTCCCTGAGACCATCCTTCAGATTCCAGCCCATCTCATACAGCTCAATCTTCCTATTTATGGCAGGAAAATATGTAAGTTAAACATTTATTACACAGCATGGAATTAAAACGATTCAAAAGTTACAACTATTCATGTACGGAACAACCACTACTGCAATGTGTCCTGGGCAGTCAAGACAGTTCTTCCTTAACTGCCTGTCACATGACTCTCTTCAGGCTTCAGTCCTTCATTCGCTTGCATAATATCTGAGAGTTGCCAACTACTAACACTACAATATTTTAAACGTGTGTACATTTCTATGAATATACATATATATTTTACTGAACGTAGAGAATTATCGTTTATTTGAGCTATTTTACGTTAACTTACCTCGTCAGGCAGCTGCTGACGAGGCTCAAGCTGGCTTCCTATTCAGCCGCTTCTTGTTCGAATTTTCCCGTTCCACCTTAAATGGTGCAGCATATACAAACAGACCTGAGGCGCCAGAATGTAACTGCTGCGCCAATTAAGGTGGAACGGGAAAATTCGATCAAGAAGCCGACGAATAAGAAGGTGACTTCAGTTTCTTTGCTATTGGAGGGTTTGGCCTGTCGTTACCTGTAGAAAGCCTCTCCGAGGGGATTCCAGTTGGCCGTGACAAACGCCATGGCCCCCCTTGTGTACTGACCGTCAGGGGCAGCTGTACGGGGTTCGCCGGTCAGTTAACGCAGGTTCGTTATTATGAATGTTTCCTAGATATGTTGTTCATTTTCTTGTCCATCCCCTGCACTTCTTCGTGTTGTTTTGTATTTAAGGCAGACGCAGTAACAGAGCGCATGTTTGCGCCCTCTACCCGCTGCAGGCGGAACTGCTCTATGAACGGAGGCCACATGGTGGCGCTGTTTATCCGCTGGCTGGAGAACAGCAGGGCATGCCTGCATCAGCAGTTGGGGTCACGTCTGCGTCTGGATTGACAACTCTCAGTAAAATCACATAGTTTAAAAAAATATATTAAGTCAGCATTCTGGCTAGTATATATTACATCTTCTAGTTAGCTATTAAAACACATACAAACAAGAAATGTCTTTTTATAGTAGCGTCATAAGGAACACACAGTGCCAGGCTTTCATATACATAAAACCAGGCCTTCAACCTTTCAGGATGGAAGATAGTGCCATATATCAGCACACAGAGCAACTACAGTCCATTGGAAACTGGCTAGAACTAAATTGGAGTAGAGTAAATAAAATGATTAAAATGTCAAAGTGAAAAGTGAAAATATTAAAAGAAGAATTCTTTGTGAAGCTTCCTAATTTCAGGACTGTTAAAGAGGAATTCCGGTAATTTTTCAAAATTAGTGCTCACAGAGAAGTGCTGAAGTGTACTGGACAAATTATTAGTGTGGTTTTAATTTTATGAAGACTGACAAAATAATTAGTGTTATTAACATTGAACACATTGAAAGTGATTTTCTCATATTTTTCATTATGTTATGTGAAAAATATTATAGGTTTTATTCCTTGTATTGTTTCTACTCTGTGCTGAACTACAGGTTCTACTACTTTAGGTTCCTTTTAAATGTTTTCCTAATGTAGAAAACCAGTGTTAGCTGCTTTATTAAACAAAACAAGAATAACATTAACATTTTAACACACAGGGGTGGCCAGAGGTGGCCAGTACCATCCTCTCGTGAAGCATGGCCACCCGTCTGCCACACCTTTGGGACAAAACTGACTCACTCTGGTACCTAGAGTAAGCCTTTCACCTACCTGGATGTGAATATTTGTTCAGATTGCAAGCAGAGCTACAGATAAGTCCGGATTAAAAATGTTGTCAGCATGCTGATCATTGGAAAACTGAACAGTGGACAACTTAGGCCTGTAGTTTTCACCAGATGTTTTGGATCATTCCAATAGTGATGACTCAAGACCACCAGCAACATTATGATTTTAATGAATTAATGTGTAGTTTTAAAGAAAATTTTAACATTTCCTTGATCCAAAAGTTCTCTTATGAATTTTTTCAAATCAATCAAAAAATTTGGCCTAAGTGTTTATCGGTGTGTCATATGGGATAGCTAATTTCTAATGTTAAAATCCAAATTTGATTGTAGATAAAATTACATGTAATAAAAATATATATAAAAGTTACAGTTAAGAAGCTCGTTCAATGTATAGCTATACAAAATTTCAGCGCTTTAAACCGAAACAGAACATATTCTGAAACATTTTGTATCTTAAAGGGGAACTCCACCAATTTTTTAAAAAAACTCTACATAATTAAGTGTTTGAGATGTAAACAGAATCATTCAGAGTGGTTTAGCGTGAAATCCTTAATTCTAGAGAAACCTACTGAGTCAGAATTGGTCACAGTGGTGGTGATAGGAACCAAATGTCCACCTCTAAAAGCTCCCTCACAGAAAGTTACATGAAATGGTTAGATGCTGCCTGATGTCTGACACATTGTTTTGTGATAATTATGATAAGGTTTGGCTTAAAATGTATTTGAATCCATTTATTTTAATCTATTCATGGTGGGCAGGCACATGCAAGGTGCTGTAAGGCTAAATAGTATGCCAGAAAAACATATTTTTTCCAGATTTACCACTATTTTGCCATCATCAACATTACAGATAAAACTCAGAGGACACGTGTGGGTTCACTGGTGGTTTTGGATAGTAAATAAAATGGCTACGCTTCTGTTGTTGTCATGGCAACACCCTGGTTCCTATCACCACCACTGCAAAGAAATCAGTCGGTAAGTTTCTCTATGATGAACCGTTTCACATCAAACCACTCCGAATGAATCTGTTTACATCTCAAGGACTGAATTATTCAGAACATTTTTTAAAAATTGGTGGACTTCCCGTTTAATATGAGTGAATAGTAACAATTACAATACTCAGCTCAACCAGCTTTATATCAGAAACTTTAAATTACATTCGCCTTTGCGCACATTTAGCCTGAAAAGAACTTTGACTCATCAAAGGTCAGAGCATGGTGGTATAAAACATGTATGTAAGTCAAAAACACCGTATAAAGTAAGTTCTCTGCTGTTTTTCTGTTCTGCACGACAGACATAACATCGACTTTCCCGCCATTATAAAAGCGTTTAAAAGAGGACCGGTCCATCTGAGCTCTTTAACGGGGGAAACGAACAACATCTTAATGATTTTTTAGTTTAATCGCAGAGAATTTGGTTTTGCTATAAACACAGATACACATATTTCCTCAATTGAACGTACTATTTTATTATGGTAGCAGCTGAATGTAAGAAGTGATCTGTATGTGTACTTCGGTGGTTCATCCTCCATTCCTGTTACATGCCGGACAGGCTGCTGTTTATCTTTCCCTTTTTCTTATATTCTAGTTTTATGCAGGGGCAGGTAGAGTTATTTAGGGTCGACTGGGCTTCGGTTTCTCAGACGCCACAGCAGTAACTGTTAATCATAAAGTGACATTACGTTATATTTTATTTTTTCCTTCTCCACTGGATCCAGCGCGAGAGATGGAGAGCGAGACAGGAGTAAGTGCACTAACGTTAGCCGGCTCGCGCTGTTAGCCAATAGCTAACGCTAATTTCGTTCGACTGATTCACATTTTTTCCTCTTTAAATAGTCATTTAAAACGCATGAGTCGAGTTGAGCGCGTTGACGTTACTTTGTATTGAATTTGTGGTTGTGTAGCGTATAAGTTAGTTAAAAGAAACGTGTTTCTTCAGTGTTAGCAGCTAGCATAGCTTGCTAACTGAGGTAAGCGCTGTTTGCCAGATTAACTTCAGCTACGCCGGTGGCTAAACTGAATCATGTTTAGTGAACATTGTTACCATCTAACTTAGTAGTCAACACAATAAAATAATGGCAGTCTAGCTAAGTAACCTACTCTGGTTTGATTCATTTGTCAAAGGACTCGTCTTTTATGTTAAGAACAGTGATTGGGGCGATAAATATAGTTATGTTCCTAGCCAACTAGTTAGTAACGTTCCTATCTGCCCCTGTTGCCCACCGGTTATCGGCGCTGGCTAATATGTATAGAAACAAGACCACTTTGGAAGTCCAAAATGCTGATGAAAAAACCTTTACGAAGTCTGTTTTTCGTCAGTCAGAGACACCCTGGAACTTGGGCTATCCTTGTTATTATTCTCTAAGTTATTGTGGGATATTTCGCTAGTGTGAAGAATGAAGTGATCCATTGCTGCCAATATCTGAGTCCATATCAGAATCACTTTATTTCGCTAAGCATGGTAGCTACACTCTTAAAAAAAGATGCTTCTTTTTGTGTTCTTTAGTGAAGTGAATGATCCTTTGATGAACGGTCATTTCATGCTCGAATAGTTCTTCGCATGCTGAAATGTTTCTTCAGATTTGTGGAGAATGTGTTGTATATGGTTCTATATAGAACCTCTATATAGTACCAAAAAAGGTTCTTCTGTTGCTACAAGTTTGACCTTGTAACAATAGAAGAACAGTTTTTGGTGCTGTATAAAAAGATCCATGCCGACCCTTACTCAAGGTTACAAAGCATTCAATGCAGACTCAGTTAGTAGTAGATTGTAGTCGCCCTCATCCCAATCGGATGTGTTTCTCTCCCTGAAATCAGACACAGACCAGCTCTCCTTCCACCAGTCCTGCTCCTGCTGAACTAACTAATGCCCTGCACCAAAGCCACCCCTTCGGCACAGTCATCCCGAACCGGATCTTTGTAGGAGGGATCGATGTTAAAGTAAGCATAGGCCAGTGTCTGTGTATGTGTGTATCTGGAAATCACTATGTCCATTAAAGAGGAATGCCACAGATTTTGTTCTCCATAGTTCAGTCCTTGAGATGTGAACAAAGTAATTCAGAGTGGTTTAAAGTGAAATGGTTAAATGTAGAGAAACTTACTGGCTCTGATTCCTTTGCAGTGGTGGTGATTCTATGATACAGAATGTCCAGTGAACCTACAGTGTGTTCTGAGTTTTTATATGTAATATTGAAAATGGTGAAATAGTTATAATTGTAAAGAAAATGTTTTCTTTGGTTTCTACTTATCAGAACTATCGTAAAGCAGTGACTCAGACCTCAGGCAGTAATTCTTAACCATTCTATGTAACAACTTTCTTTGATGCAGCTTTTAGAGACGTTAAACACTTTGGGCGTCTGGTTCTTGTCACCACCACTGTGAACAGAGTTTCTCTACATTTTGCGTTGATGAAGTTAATCTCATCTGATTTCTGTTCTCTCTCTTTCTCTCTCTGTGTCTGTGTCTGTGTCTTTAGACCAATGAAAATGATCTCAGACATTTTTTTTCTCAATACGGAACGATTAAAGAAGTGAAGATTGTTATTGATCGAGCTGGAATATCAAAAGGGTCAGTTTATCTCAGTGTTTATCTTGCTGTGTTTGAGATGATTTAATTGAGTTAAAAAGTGCAGAAGCTCAGAGGCTTTGTTATATTCTCTCTTTAATTTTTGGCTCTTCCTGCAGGTACGGCTTTGTCACATTTGAGACTCAGGAGGACGCGCAGAAAATTCTGCATGACGTAAGTGTGTATGTTTGTGTTGTGTGTGAGTGATGGAGAAAAGAGTATAGCATAGCTCTGTGTGGGGGATGTGATGTCTACAACACAAGGAACAGGTTGTGGAGCGTAAACTAAGATGTGCATTCCGACTGTTATTGATATTCGAGTATCTGTGTGGGATCATGAACGATTAACTGCAGATTAAAAAAAAAAAACAAAAAGAAAAAATGGATTTTGTCTGGAAATAATGTAGAGCTGTGCCTTATATTTTTTTAATTGGTGTTTTTGAAAAATGTAAAATTTAGCATTACACAGAGGAATACATTTCAAAACATGTTTTATTATTCAGAAACAGCCGAGGAAAATTTAGATGAAACTGCAGCACTGCATGCTTCTACTGGTGTTATACCTCTTCAGTGGACATTGTGCCAACATGTTGGTTTTGTCAGAGGAATGTATTTAACCTGACAAGACCATTTCTGGATCCAACGTAAGCCTAACCTATTTAGCAACGCTGTCTCTGCCTTCTCAGTCACCTCCTTATCAGCACATCCTTAGCAAAGCATCCATGGAGAAGCAGAGTGTACTTACTTGAAAATGCGAGCAAAACATTGACCTTTTACACAAAATTAGTGTTTCGCTGAATTGTTGGTCTGTATGTGAAGGGTTTCCTTCTGACACATTATGAGTTATTTTCAAGAGTTTTCTATTTTTTCATGATATATGTTATTGCGAGTGGACTTGTAGAGTTAATGAGTAATACCACCTTTATTAGAGAAATGAAAATGTGTTTTCCAGTATATACATCAGCTGGTTGTTTATTATTACATTGTATCTAAAATATACAACATTTTGGGATAGATATTTTCTCTATTTTTCCATTAAGAAGCACAACAAATACCGGAATAGTGATTTCAGTATTTGAATACTGGCACCTGGAACCACTGTAATTTTAAATTGCTTATTCAGGATCCTTTATCTTAGTATTGCAGCAGTGACAGAAAAGACTGTAGTGACTGTAATGCATTCACACAGATACACATGGTGGTGTAATTTACAGCCACTATGTGTGTGTGTATGTGTGTGTATATGCTTCTGCTGCATTATTGAGTCATTTGCGTATATCTCTCTGTCTCTCTCTTTCTTACAGGCTGACAGGCTGTGTCGTGATAAAAGGCTAAACATTGGCCAGGCTATTCGCAGACAGCAAGTGGGAGGACATTGTAAGGATCATTGAGTCACACTATTTAAATTAGCACTGATGAGCTAAACAGACATAATGTTGTAATTATACTAGACATATAAAGACGGATGACAAATTAAAGAAAAACTCAACGTAAAGTCTCATAGTAAGGTATTGGGCCACCATGAGCCACAAAAAACTGCTTTAATGCAACTGACTATTGATTCTATAAGTCTCTGTAACTGTACTTGAGGGATAGAACACAATTCTTCCGAAAGATATTTGACCAGTTGGAGGTTTGATGAAGGTGGTGAGGGCGCTGTCAAACACGTCAGTCCAAAATCTCTAATACACTGTAAAAAATTTTATAGTAACCGATTGCATGGCTTTTCTTGAGTTGACTCAACTTTGAGTTCACCCAACTCAGACTTCTTAGTTGAGCTTGATTATGGCATGTTTCCTTTTGGGCTTCTGGATATGGATAGTTATGGTATTGCTGGGGTTCAAACTCACAAACCCCTGATGTTGGGATGAATTATTAGACAGCTGCACCACACGAGGCCATACTACACTTCAAAGTTAAAACAACAAATATTTTCTACAGTGTTTTAAACATTTATGGACACAAGTTTGAACCCCAGTTTGAACCCCAGCGATGCCATAACCGTCCATACATGTGTACTTAAAAGGAAAAGCTGTCTAGCAGGATTGTGTGATGAAAAGAGTCTGGGGGGGACATTGAGTATAAAAACAAAGTTATTTTATTTATTTATCTGAGATGCAGAACAAAAAAATTAAGAGAATTTTTGACTCAACTAAGAAGTTCGAGTTGTATGAACTCTTGTTTCCTCAGGTTGAGTCAACTCAAGAAAAGCCATGTAATCAGTTATCATTTAGAGTTGAGCTGACCTCTCATTTTTTACAGTCTAGGTTTTCAGTTGCATTGAGATTTGGTGGATTTGAAGGCCATTGCATATGTTTTACCTTATTTTCATACTCATTAGTCCATTCAGTGACGCTGTCATCCTAGAAGAGACCACTATCTTATATAAAGGTGATCAGTCAGAATTTTAGGCACCTGAGAAATTTAGAATTAAAAAGCAAATGATCTGATTATTTGCTTAGGAAAAAGCTAATATTACAATGAATACAAATAATATTAATACAATAAGTAGTGATTTTATGTATGACAGTGTGTTTAACTGTCCTCAGTTATCTCATAGTGGGGTATTATTTTTGTTTTCTTCTAAAACGTGGTTTGACTAGTCAGTGCTTCATTAAATCAGGTGTGATCGTGATGGAACTTGACCCCAGCCATCGCACAGATTTGTTATCCAGGATAAAAAATTGTCGACATAAATGGTAGTAACAGTTTCAATTATGTGTACTGTTGCCCAAAGGTTTTGCGCAGTACTGTGTAAGCAATATGGTGTGTGTTTTAAAGCTGTTAGCTATATCAGACAGGTGTGATGTGTGTTTTTAAAGCAGGCAATTACAATATGGCAAGTCCAAGTCCCTCTCTGGCTGTCCCATCTACGTTTAGCACCATGTACCTGACCACTCCAACTGGATATCCCTACACCTACCACAACGGAGTCGCCTACTTCCATACCCCAGAGCCCAACACACACATGTCACACTGGCCTACTGTGAGTCTAACACACACACATCCCCACACCATTTTCATCTGGAGCTATAGTGCTGTCCAAAAGTCAGAGACCACCCATCGTTCATTTTGTTTCCAGTCAAAATATTTCCAGTTAAGTATAAGTTACTTGTTTTTCAACATCAAGAAAAACACAGAACAGTTTAATTAAAAAATTCTGTACATCCATTTGTAACAGTTTTGGACGCAACTATTTTAAGAAAAAAATAACATTTGATATATGATGGAAAACCCATTTTTATGTCTCCAGTAAAGATGGTAATAATTATAATGCAGCTAAAGCATATTTCAGTAGTTATTTGTGTGAACATTAGTGTGTCTTTAAAGTGGAACATAACGTCAGTGACTCCTTTGGGATCAGCTTTTGTTGGGAGCACACAGCTGTAACTCTGGATTTAAAACTGGAAGGATGGAAGAGTTAAAGTGATAGTAGAGTGCACAAAAGTAAAGAGTGGATAAATGAAATACTGATAGATTTGATATATCTAACCTAGTGTTGAAGGTATTTGTGTATTTTTCTGTTTCTTGCTGAAAAATGAATAAATTGTATTTAATGACTGTTTTGACTGGAAACTAAGTAAATGATGGGATGGTGTCTGACTGTAAACTGGGCTTATTATTCAGTTATTAACCTTACAGCTTGATATCCAGTGCACTATGGATTACTTATTAACTATAGGTTATTTAGAAACTAACTTAAAGTATGTAGTAAGGAAGGAGAGCTTGGACCTGCTGTTGGGTCCTTTTGCTCTGTAATATGATTTTCATCCTGTTGTCAGACTTTGCATTAAAAAGTTCAAATGACTGTGTTAAAAATTGCTTTTTTGTATGTTGTAGCCACATCCGATGTCTGGATCTCCTGTCATGGTGACACACTCTACTTCTTTCTGCACTCCTCATCAGTGCCAGGTCAGATTCCACAGATACATACAGTAATGTGCAAACGTTTTAGGCACATGAGAAAATTACATATAAACAGCTATTTATCTGAACAGAAAGCATTGGTGAGATTACACTGTTATTACAATAAATATTACAGACAATAATGATAATTATAATATTTATGTAGCATCTTTCATACATTAAAACTGCAGCTCAAAGGGCTTCACACAATACAAAGTAAAAAAGATGGTCAAAAATAAAATAAACTTAAAAAAATGCAACTAATAAAAGCAATCACAGAAAAGGGGATATTTTAATAATTAACGGATGAGATAAATGTAAAAATAAAATATATAATAAAAATACAGTTAACAAGAAAGCAAATGTGGTATTCCAGTAAAAACAAGGGAACCAAAAAAAACTAGTTAAATGCTGAAGTAAAAAAAATTTAAGTAAAAACAGAACGCTGCCTCTTTGCTCTTTCATACGTGGAATAAGGTTCACACTAGATGACCTTAAAACAAGATTTGGAACATAATCTCTTTAGGCACTCAGAAATATATAAAGGTATTAAACCATTAAGAGATTTAAAAACCAGTAGTATAATTTTATAATCGAATCTAAAGGAAACAGGCAGCCAGTGGAGTGATGCTAAACTTGGTCTATTATGGTGTTCTTTTCTAGTCCGTGTTGGTATTCTTGCTGCTGCATTTTGCACAAGTTGTTGGTTTGGTGTACTTGTAGGAAGTCCTAAGAACAAAGCATTACAGTAGTCGAGTCGAGAAAAAAACAAAAGCATGGATCAGTTTCTTAGCATCTTGCAGACAGAGATAAGGTCAAACCTGTGCTATATTCCCTGAATGATAAAAAGCAGTTTTGGTAATATTATTAATATGTGGTCTAAAAGTTAAATAAGAGTCTAGAGTTACACCAAAACTTCAGTTTTTGTAGAGCCGGATTTACAAGTCTTTCAAATACCCTTTTCCTCTTTGCTCCACAACTAATTCTAATTATTTCTGTCTGGTCTTCATTAAGTTTTAGAAAATTGCTATTCATCCAGCTAATAATGCTGGACAGACATATTACAAGTTTATCTACTGTAGTGACAAAAACTGGAGCTACAAATTTATACAGTTGTGTATCATCTGCATAACTGAAAATTGATGTCATGCTTCCTAAAAATCTGACTAAGTTGCAGCAGGACCATGTACAGAGCCTTGTGGTACACCACAGAGAATATCATGCTTATCTGAGACATGTTCACGTATGCTTACAAACTACTGTATTCCAGTTAAATGTGTAGAGAACCAGTTTAACACAGTTCTGGAAAGACCAACCAAGTTCTCAGGCCAATTTAGAAGTACTCTGTAGTCTATTTTATCAAATGCAGCAGTTAAATCTAGAAGCATAAGTACTGAAACATCACCTGCATCGGCATTTATCCTCAGATCATTCACTGCCTTCAGTAATGCTGTTTCAGTGCTGTGATTTGCTCTAAAGCCAAACTGGAATTTTCTGGAATGGATATTCTGTTCATTAAAGAAATCTTTAAGCTGTGAGAAGACTTTTTTCAATTTTTTCACATTTTTTTTTACCCAAAAACCGAAAGGTGGAGATTGGTCTGAAATTGCTAAGAACTGAGAACACATTTTCCAACACATTTAGACAAAGCTGTCGAATATTTTTAAAAAATACTATTGGAATAGGATCTGAAACACAGGTAGAGAAATTTAGCTGCATGGCAACTTTTTAAAGTTTTATCTCATTAATCTTTTGAAGTAGAAGAATTTATAGTGTTTGGCTGTTGAATAAAAATAGAGTCTAATATTGACAGTTTTAGAGTTCTAAAATTTGACCGAATCTTAGTCATTTTTGTATTAAAAATAATGTAAAATCATTACATTAATGCAGTAAGTAGTAATTTTACATTTGTCAGTGTTTGTTTAACCAGTTCCAAACCTCTCCTCAAAGCAGCCTGGAATTACTTGTAGTTATCATTTAATACTTGGTTTGACTAATCAACACTTCATAAAGTTGAAGCAGGCGTGCTGGTGAGGGAATTTGTCAGATCTTTGTGATGCCTGGGGACATCCAGCAGACATCTGGAACCAAACAAGCTCAATTTCTAACTCTTGTTTTGTTCGTTACATTATACTGTATTTGTTTAGGTTTATTTGCATTTATTCTAATGATCAGATAAATAGCTTTTGCACAGTACTGTAAAATCACAGTATATCACAACAGCAGAACCAGATCTGTGTTTGGTAATTCTAGAGAGGGAGAGAGAGGGATAAGGAGCTCATAAGTAAAAGAAATTCAGTATAGACCTTGTGATCATTTCTTCAAAAATATAACTTCTTGCTCTAACTGGTTCTTTCTTTGCTTGTCTGTCTCTCAGGCTTCTTCTCAGTATGTGTCTGGGCACGTGCCATGGACTGTTCCTCAAGTAGAGGTGTGTGTACTCATGTGTGTTCAAAAAGATGCGCTGTAGTTAATTTGTGTCACTGATTGGTCATTTCAGTTAATCTGTGCGTGTATATGTGTGCGTTAGTCTCCTGTGCCTGTCAGCCCGAGCCCTTTTTTATATATCCAGCCTGCTGAGTTAATGTATCAGCCCATGGAGATGCCTGCAGACAATGGCTGTGTTCAGTCAGCCATGCCTGTGGTGGAGGCTTCTGTTCCTGAGGTAAACACAAACACATTTTCTCTTGTACATTAAAAAACCTGCATCATGGAAAACTGTTTTTCCTCACCTTTTTAAAAAGATTTTGATGTAGTTTGAAAACACTGTTCAAGTTTTAAAACGTACTAGTCACTCTCCAGTCCATGTATGGAAACTAAACAGCAAAAACAGGCGGTTTTGAATGCAGCTACATACAGTTGCATGAAAAAGTTTGGTGCTCCTGGCTAAATGACAAATTCTTTGTTGATTTTCTGAGTGAAAAAAAGTTAACACATTTTCTGCAGAGAAGACATTTCTGCACATTTTAATGCACAACTACTGTTTATTTGCTGAATTTAACGTTAGAAAAGAACTGTGGCCTACGCAAAAGTTATAGCACATATTTCTCCTCCACTATGTTAATCTCAGCAAATAAATAGAAATTGAAACAGTAACAAAACATGTGAAAATGAATTATGTATGTTGTTGGTGCATATAACCACACAGATGTTTTAAGTGGACCTCAAGGGAAAAACTAAAATACTTGAAAAATATATGTTCCCTTAAAGCTCATTCTGCAAACTGTTATTCTGTTTGTTTTAAGACATTTATAGTCTAGAGTCTAGTCTAGTCTAGGGAATCATGCAGGCACTGTTCAGGACCTCATATACGCCTAAAGGGTGTCTGTACATAGAATGACTGTTAAGAGCAGAGCACACTGACTGGACAAAAAAGAATATTATATGTGCAGCTGTCCTTACAGTGTTCAGATAAGCCAAATGAACCAGTGTGAATGGGGATAGGACATTCGAGGCTTTCAGAAATCAGGTCTGGCACACCAACCAGATGTTTGTGTTTGTCCATGTTTGTCCAGTTGGTGTACTCTGGGCTTTAGAAGTTCATAAAAGATGTGTATGAGTGCAGGCTTAAGTGTCTATATGAGAAAATACATGACACCCTCAGCTAGCAGGTTATTAAGTACACGTACTGATTGATTCTTTATTAGACACATACCTTAAGCGGGCAGTATACTATAAACAAAAACAACCTCTTTTGGTGTGTGCTGCTTGCCTTGTTTGTTTTAAGACCACCTTCTTTGATGAGAGACCTCCTTCTGACTGTAATTGGTCCTTATTATTAAGTCATTCATTCTGAGCCCTCCCCCTGGCTGTGTTTGGTCCACTGCAAAAAGTGGGCTTCGAGTGGGGTGCTGAGACGTATACCAAATTCTTTTTAAGCATATTTAATGCAATATGTTCACGCAATAGTTCTGTTTTGTTTAGTTTGTCTTTTGAAGTATACTGCTGGCGTTAGTTGTCCATAAGGACGCACAGAAATATTGGAAACAAATCAGTATCTGCACATAAATAATTTTAAAAAGACAGCCAACTATATTTGACCATATTTGATTATTTATTTTACTCCAGAAGAGCAGAATGTTTCTGCTTTTGTACTTACTGTGTTTGTAATACTAACACTAAACGTTATGTTTCTTTGTAATGCAAATACAGGTAAATCAGAAGTAGTCAGAATTGGCAGATGTACATGTGTGGACTATGGGCAGCAGCCCTGACTTCTTGCATTAGATCATCTGTACTTTTTGTAGGTGTAAGAGACCAGAGCTCATTTTCTTTGTGCACAATCTGATTTAGGTCATCATATATCCTTTTATCGAGGGTCAGTTTCTGACAACTGGACTACACTTTTTTCATTGGCAACCCAGAAGTGACATCTGAAGTGTTCAGTAATGCCAGCAAAGCTGTACCTGATACACTGAGACTAGTAACATGCCACTGCCATGTAGAGTAGAAACAGATGGCTTGCATTTAGTAATTGTACATCTACAAGGTGCACCATTATAAGTGTTTCTGCTAAAACGCCCAAAGAGTGGAGGTAGGAGGGATTAACAACCTGGCAACTCGGCATATGAGTTCAATGTGTATAACGTGTTTGTGTGTATTCTGTGTGTGACCAGGCGTATGTGGATCACATGGTACAACCTCCATATCAGATTTGTATGCAGAGCCCTCTCATTCTGTCTCAGGATGGAGTTGAGGTGAGCCTGTATTTCAGTCTCACTGTAAGGCAGTGATGTTGTATACATCATTGGAACCTAGCAGATCTTTTGCCTCACTAGGAAACTTTTACAATAACATGGTTTACAGCTGCATATGATGTACTCCATAGTAGGTGCTTTGTAAAGTTAATTTATTTTTTTAATGGCTTTCACAGAACGTAGTGTCCTGGAAATCCTAAAAGGGAAATTCTACTAAAAATCTGTATAATTCAGTTATTGTGAATTGTGTGAAACGGTATATTGTAAAGAATCTAATGAACATGGTAATGGTAAATATGATGAAATAAGTTTTCTGAGATTGTTTTGCCTTTACGTCTCGCATGTACCATGAATTGATTTAAAAAAAATAGTTTTGGTCAAAACTATCATAAATCAAGGTCTCAAGCATCAGGCAACGTATTCACAACCATTTCATGCAATAGCTTTCTGTGAGGTAACTTGGTTGAATGTAGACGCACTCCTCACTGTCATAATAGCTGTATCATAAGCCTGCATGTTAATATATTGAACCAGTTCTTGGACTTGAAACAGGACTAAATTCAGTTGAGAACTTGCCTTTGCTATAAGAAATGAATACATGTCTCTTTTTTGTTTTTAGCATGAGCAAAAGTTCCACCAAGTCAGACGAGGTTTCTCCCACTTGCCGGTCCACATGAAGCCTAGGTACTGCCGTGGCCCTCATTATACGCACCTGCGCAAAAACTACCGTCCGGAACTGGCCCACGTGCCCCCCGCTCCTGCCTCCTCCCCTGCACAGGAGGTGCTAAAATAGAGCCCTTCTTTTAGTAGGGTTTTTCTCCCCCCCTGCTTGTTCTGCTGCACCTCACAGCTCAGCACACCTGGCTGCTGTCTGCACAGACAGTACCTGTCTACTCTCAGCCGCAACAGAGATCAAGCCCTAAACACAACTTAGCTCTGTCCAGCCTAAGCTCACTGCATTTAAAACAAGCTCTACCAAGTATACTCACAATATCTTGATCAGACCTAAACACTACCAAGCCTAGTCTACACCTAAATGTTAACTGTCAATAAAGCCTGAACCAAAACAAACTGTCTACCAGACCTACACTGAAACTAGCATTGCCAAATCCGAATGCAAACTGGCCTAGAATCTGCATACAGTACAATACACTAGTAACTACAAAGAACTAATCCTCTATCCAAACTAAACACACACTGGTTCACTCTCTTTACCAATAAAGAGAAAATTAATTAGAAATACAAATGTTACATTAAAATGAACAAGGACCTCTGGAAAAAATATATAACTCTGTATAAAACTAAATTTTGTAGTGTTTACAGTATTGTACTTTTTTTTTTTGAGCTTGTCCAGTCCACTCTTCAACCTATTTATTGATTCATTGATACTGTGATTATTCACTCAGCATACTGTCTGTTCTGTCTTAAACTTTAACTCTCTCATTCAAGAACAAGAAACTGTCATTTAAGAAATATTTTGAAATGGCAAAGTCCAGTACTAAAAGAGGTTTCCTTTAAAGACTTCTGATTGATCCTGAGGTATTTGGGTTCAGTCAAGATGCATCTTCAGTTCATTTTTGTACCTTTCATAACACGTACATGGTCGGATATCCTAGCCTTGTAATAGCAGTGTACACTTTGTTTATCATGGAAGTGATACATTACAGCAGTTAGACCTGACCTAAAAGAAAACATCAGTTTACCAGTGCCATTACAACCCCACCCCCAGTGTTGATGTTAAACCTACAGTGTCCATTTACGTCACAAGCTAAACACCATAAGACTGAATTGAGCACTGGCCATTGAACTATGCAGACAAAAAAGTGATTACAAAATATCAGACTATGCATTCAAGGTTTGCTTATATGGCTATAATCATATCACCTACCAGCTTAACAGGAGATGACAAGAAATCATTTCTGGATGCTTAACAGTTGAAAAGTATGCATTGCAAATAAGACCATAATTTTACTTTCACAAAGATAAATTCATAAAATATTAATGCCTACAAGAAGTAGTTGAAGTCAAGTGCAAATGATCTGGATGACATTGTATTGCGATGTGTCTAAGATATTTCATAACTGCCTGTATACTTTTATACAAAAACAATGACGTCATCATATGCTCTTTATGTACTTGCTTTTTATTAACTCAATATTAAGATACAGTGAACTCATTTTCATACTATATTACAGTCATACTGCTCCTTGATCAGCTTATTCAACCAGGCATAATTATTTATTTATTTAAATATATATATCAATATATCTGTAGTCTGTCTTTTAGCTTATGGTTTCAGAAACCCACTCGTCCCACAAACCACTATCCACTGTGCAAGAGTGTTTTCCTTTGGCTTGATTTTCTGGAACTGAGTTGTGTTTATGTATATAGTTAGGGTGGCATAGTTAAAAATTTTAGATATTGTATTAATAGAATGTGACGAACAGCATGAAACACATTTACATGTCACTTAGTTGTGACAATACTTTAATGTAACTAATTTAGAAATGGTACCTTTAGTATATGTACTGGTTCGAGACATTGTGTAAACACATTTTGAGAACTGCTGTTGGCCTGAAGAATAACTAACTAGGCACGACTTAAGCCTTAAGCAGTGCATTGCAACATTTATGCAATGTTTTTTATTCCTGGAAAACTATAAAAACTGATTTGAGATCCAGTCGTGTGCCTTATGGTGTCATTTTGACATGTTATTTTCTTAAGTAAATTTAGTCCAGTGACTAATTTACAATGGTAATTTAAAAGTTTTTATGGATCTTGTGACACTGCTTTTGTTTCTTTATTTGGTCTGTACAATATTTACACAAAAAGCGAAACATTGTTCTGTTCTAACTGTACTAATAATTGAATGTGATTGCCTAAAATATGACTTATTTCAAAAATGTTTTGTTAGATTTATTCCTTCACTAAAACTCCTTGATTATCTAGGTCTGTGAGAGTTTCATAATTCTTAAAGTTTTCCACTGTACACTGACACAGTCAGTAACATCAGTCTTTGTTCTTGGACCTGGGAAAAGTTCGACTTCTCAGATACCAAAAGTATGATTCAGAGACCTGCACATTCTCAGTTTATGCTGTTAGCAGTTAACGTTTTATGGATATTTGCTTACAGTCTACCAGTATTGCCATATCTGAATGTCTTCATTTAAAATTTGCCAATTGCTGAGACATGTATCCTTGTTTTGAAGGATTTTGTTGGTTCTTAAGTGCTTTTCTGAGGGATTTTGTTGGTCCTTAAGTGCTTTTTGGAGACTGTATTGTTCCAGTCAATAAATATAACTGAGTGACTGATTAAACTGACTCAGAAACATTTGTACGTGTATAGAAGGAATGGGGGTGATGGGTAAACATCTGCTCTTATGTGCCATACAGTACCACAAAAAAAGGGTCACAACAGCAGGTAGTTTATCTATACTTGTTTATTCATTATTTATTCACATACTAATGAAAATGATACAGTTTTGTAGAAACCCAACAATAACAAAAAAAAAGACTGAATGGTCTTAGTTGTGAATGTTTTAAAATTACTTTTTTTTTAAGTTTTAAGTAACATTAGCAATAACTTAACCAAAAGAATAAAGAAAACACAAGCATAGAAAAAGCAAGCAGAAGGTTAAAAAGACTGGAGCATGATTTTTAGATAATGTACAGAACAGGTGTGGCAAACATGGTTTCCCCGTGGTTAAAACCCTATCATGACACTAAAACGTCCCTGTAGTGTTCCTGTAGCTCTACCGTTGGCAGGGCTGAGTATTTGTATCAGCCAGCTGATTTCTCCAAAGCTTTTCTTTATGTCATGTACTCAGTTAAAGAAAATATTTTGACCTCTATGTGGTAGCAGACGCATGAGTTTGGCATTTGTAAGGTCTCTCATGGTGGGTTTTGTTGTTCAAGATGACAGTATTTGGACGGGCACAATGGTATGTAAAACATATGTATGTAGATGCGTGTGCTGCGCTTTTATACAGGTGAGGTACTTTTATGTACGTTATCCAATCTAACCGAATGTGTGCCTGACAATTAGATTTGTTGAAGGAAGACCTCACCCAAAAATCCTAACCCTGCTCATGATAAATAAAAGCTAGTATGGGCCAACTGGCAATATGTAAATGAGATCCTGTGAAGACGTCCCCACTAGCATTGATTTACTGTCAGCAAGGTTAGTATTTCTGCATGAACTATTCCTTGACAACTTGCATCCTCAGGCCTCACTCTCAGCAGAGCCCGCATTCTGCACCTCCTCCTCCAGTATTGGTACGATTAGATTGTCCTTTGACATCAGATTATATTTCATTACAAAACGAGTAAACCGGTGACACAGGAAGGTCTCATTCTGTAAATAAAGAAAAACAGAAACAGAGTAAATCAGTCTTGGTTTGGTTTCAATTATGAAGCTTCCTTAAAGTCTGCCACCAGGGGGGTTTTGTCAAATAAAACCCTATTTAGTTTAGGACTAGACTTATTCCTTGTCTCAAAAACTAGCTCACCTCATACTTGTCAAATATCTGGCGGTGGTGAAAGTAGGCGTGGGAGAATATCCTGTAGATCCGGCGGCAGACAGAACCCAGCTTCGCCACAGATGACTCCTTTATGCTCACCCTGTCAAAAACCCAAGGTTCACATTAGTCACATTATCATTCACTCAGTTAGACTTTCACGAGCAGATTATCTGAATCATAATCATTCACCCTAATTCACAATGTACAGTTAAGGTTAACTGTAAATTCCAATGCTTGCTCGTTCAGACTTTACTTATAACTGGACATCACAGGTAAAAAACTATCCCAGAACTCTAAGCCATAACACTTCACAAATTCCCTCCTCCTCATCCAAGGAACAAATGTAGTGGGAGAATGGTGTGGATTTAGTAAATGTAATCATAGTGAGGTGAGTTTTCAGAGACTACTACATATGTACTACAGATAGTACACTGTGCCACTGTGATGCTCACCGGCTGGGGAAATACTTGTTACTGTTCAGAAGACAGGCAGCACCATCCAGCGTATGTCTAGTGTAGTCGATAGCAGGACACTGGGGACAGACACAGGCTTCAGTCAAGAAAACACTGACAGATACACACAAATACACTTTTCCTTTCATGTGTATTTCATTTGTGTTCCCTGTGATCAGCATTAACACAAGCTACTTGTTTACTGTATTTGGTCATATGAAAAAAAATTAAACTGTCTATAAAAGTTAACAATATTAATACTGTGTTAACACAATAAATGGCCCTTTAAAATAAAAAAAAACTCTTCAAGGTCAAATTTGAGTAAATAATTCAAATACAATTCATTTCAATAAGCTACAAAAAATAATGAGATATATTGCAATACATTATTTGAATCATGCAACAGCACTAATTCGAATTCTATACATCCAGGAGAGAGGTTTATGTATTGGTCCAGGCACACAGCCTTAGTTACGCATACATACTCAAACATTCTTGCCCTCACCTCTTTGGGGGTTTTATGTGCAGCACACAAAAAGATCCACTGCTCTGTAGCTGTCATCTGTGTACATGTGTCAGGGTGGCATTCTCCCTGAAGGGCAGTGACACACACAGAAACACAACACAAGCTGTGAGATTAGGAAGATGTGATGAGGTCTTTCAACTTACTTTTAGAGATTTAACTCTGAAAGGCACAACAGAAGCACTATGAGCATCAACATTCACTTACAGCAGTATTACAATGAATTTGGCTTTGATAAAATGGCAGCATTTATGTTTTTTGACTGCCTTCCACAGAACTGTTAGCTTTACTTTCAAAGGGTTAATGTCCAAATGACAGTGTGTGTGTGCAAGAGAGAGATTTCTACCTGTAATTTAACAGCAAGACCATTTAGTTCCAGACAAAACTGTCTATAAAGAACACAGAAAAATTAAATAAGGACAAATAGCTACTAATCGTGTAAGCTGCCCTTCATTAAAATATCAGACATGAAAATGTGCAACTCACTGAGGTGCAGACTGATGTGGTTTATTTAAAACTAGAATACTGTATAATGTAGATGTGAACAGTACCAGTATTTTCAGCTTTACAATACAGTACAGAATACAGTTCTGCTTTCAGTAATCTCCCTTTAATTTATAAGCTGTTAATGAGAATGATTCATTACTCAATACATACACATTACACTGTTGTTAAAGACCAAGTATTCAAGCAAAGTAAGCCTTTCAACAGTGACAGTGAAATTTCTTACCACTTAAAAGGTTATTTCCACTGATTTTTCAAAAAGATTCTGTATAATTCAGTGGTTGTAATGTAAATGAAGTCATTCAGAGTGATTTGATGTTAAATGGTTCATTATAGAGAAAATTACAGTCATATTTCGTTACACTGGTGGTGATGGGAACCAGAGGTTATGATAAATAACACTGCAAATATAGCCATTTTATTTGCAATTTTATTTGCCTTTATTTGTCTTAAGCTTGTATATGTAAGGTCAATAAAGGTAAAATACTGGTAAATGGAAAATAATAATACATAAAAAAAGTTATTGTTTTGCCTCACAACCCTTGTTTTCAAAAAATATTTTTTAAACCTCATCATAAATGTCATCATAAATGTATGAATGACTATCATAAATGTCTCAGGCATCAGGCAAAGTATCTGTAACCATTTCATGTAATGACTTTATTTGATGGAGCCTTTAGAGGCATTAAACTCTTCAGAAGTCCGGTTCCTATCACCACCATTGTGAACAACTCTGACTGTGCAAGTCTTTCTAGAACAAACAGTTTCCCATCATAACACACTGAATGACTTTGTTTACATCTTCATGATACAGTTGTAATGTGATCCTTTAACACCTTAAAGGGGAACTTCACCAATTTTTCTAAAATTCTACATAATTAAATGGTTGAGATGTAAACAAGGTCATTCAGAATGCTTTGATGTAAAGTGCTGCATTCTACAAAAACTTACGAAACGCCATACGAGAATTGTTCACAGTGGTGGTGATAGGAACCAGACGTCTGTTACATGAAATGGTTAGATATATGCTTCCTGATGTCTGAGACATTGTTCTATGAAAGTTTGGATAAAATGTATTTAATCCATTTATTTTAATTCATTCATGGCAGAGAAATACGTGTAAGGCACTGTAAAGCAATCTGACCACCATCAACATTACATGTAAAAACCCACAAGACACGTGTAGGTTCAATGTTGGTTCTGTACAGTAAATAAAATAGCCGTGTTTACATCTCGAGGACTGAACTGATCAGATATTTTTTAACAATTGTTGGAATTCCCCTTTAAACTGTGCCCAAAATGCCGATGAAATCACGTACCTCAGGTGCTCATATTTCCAGACACCCTCGTCCTGCCCCTCAGGAGGCTCCAGGATCTTGTCGATGTTGGCGCAGTCAGAGCGAATGTTCTGCTGAATGTACTACAGAGGGAACCAGAGATTCAGCTGAACAGCTGACGGACAAAACACAGTCACCCCAGAGCAGCTGAACACGAGCAGCTCAGGTTCCCCCAGCCAGAAAAATCAAAGCTTAATGCCCACCTGCTGCACCGCCAGAGTGCTGTCCATCTCCTCAAAGGACTCATCGGGCCAGTTGTAAAAATCCTGTCAGCACATTTTGAGGATGGCATTACTTTAGAAGAGAGGATACTTCCCAGAACACAACTCAGAAATACTGCTGTGGTTCCCATGAATGTCATGAGTGATAAATACTGCCAATATTTATCTAAAGAACTGATATCTTCAAAATGTAGCCTACTTGTTTGGAACGGGCCAAGTTTACCAGACACTCTTTCTAGTAGTGTTAACCACCTTACACAGGCAGCAGCAGTAACAAGGCTGAAGTTGGCCTCCTATTTGCCAGCTTCTTGTTCGAATTTTCCCGTTCCACCTTAAACAAGACGCCAGAATGTAACTGCTGCACCATTTAAGGTGGATAAGGGGAAAATCTTAACAAGAAGCTGGCAAGTAAGAAGCTGACTTCAGCTTTGTGAAGAAGTAAGCAGCTAACCTAGGTTAGCTAGCTAGATAAGGTAGCTGTTCTTAGTTGAGCTATTTCTCAATTCCATGAAAAGCCACTTCCACTCATCCACCTAATAATTAATCAGTAAAGTGGAACCGCGGAAACTTTGACATCAGACGCTGAATTAAAACCATTTTTAGGGAAAACAAACGGCAGCTGCTAGCTAGCTAACTGGGGTAGCGTTAGGAAGTTAGCTAGCTAGCTTATTTTGCTAGCACACCTCCCGCTTACGTCCAAATGTCACCTCGGGTTAATTTCACTGTTTTTTAAACAAGCTACATCTACACCACAACACAACAGGCCTCTTTATAGTTAGAGCTGACAGCATCCTGACTTAGGGTATTCATGGTTAACGTTAGCAAGCTAGCCTAGCTAAGCTAACTCTGTGGCTAACTAAGCTAGCTTCTCGCCAGAAGAGCGTTTACTTGACAAGCTACACTGAACACTGTGTGCTTTGAGCACTTGGAAATGGCTCTCTTCACCACCTCTATGTGTAATTATTCTATGCTCATTTGGTTCCTTCTGCTGTTTTTTCTGTAACACTGAGGTACCTTCGCCTTGGTTCCTGGACGGTTCCTCCTCAGGACTGCTGCTCCCTCCGCCATGACCATCTCGGCAATGTTCCGGCTCTGACAGACTCTGCTACAACAACACACCAGCTCCCCCTACTTGGTTTCTAAAACTGTTATTTACGTAAAAATGCTGGCAGATGTAGTTTCTTCTTGAAGAACGTTCAAATGTATATGAATCTGGGAGACCCATATCTCAGAATCGTTTCCGTAACCCATTACCTGAGGTGAATAGAGTAGCCTAAGGCCAAAGCGTGCTCTTAAAAAGACGGTTCTTCGAGGGCTCTTCAGTAAAGGGAATGGTTGTTGAGAATCATGAGTTTTATATAGAACCATTTCATAATTTAATATTGTTCTTTGCATGCTGAAATGGTTCTTCAGAATGTGTATGGTTCTAGCCTTTTTAAATATGGTTCTATTTAGCACAAAAAAGAGTTCTTCTACTGTCACAACCTTGACATTGTAACAATAGAAGAACCCATTTTGGTGCTACAACCATATACAACAGATTCTGCATCAGTCTGAAGAACCATTTCACCATGCAAAGAACACGAAGCATGAAATGGTTCTATGTAGAACCATTACTCTCACTAATGAACCCTTTATGAATCATTTTCTTAGAGTGTATGTACATCAATGCATGATAATGACATACAGTAGAAATAACAGTAATTAACAAACAAAATGCAACAAAATATCAGGTTGTAATAAACTAAAATCTTTTTCCACACAGTGATGTTTAATAGGTGTTATTCTTCTCTCTGTCGTCGACAGAGCAGAAAGAAATGAAACACGAGAACAGAAACGTAAAGGCCTACAATGGAGCTTAGTAAAAGTCGAGTAATTTTGTCACAAATATATCTGAGTATAAATATTGTCATTTGGAAATAAGTATTATCATTTATAAACAATGGAGAACAGGCAAAAAATGTACCTACTTAATTCCCTCCTAAGTCTATAATGAGATATCCCATTCTTCACAAACACTGATAACACTAAGTACTTCTTTAGGTGCAGTATGGTTAGTCCTTAAATCCTGAAATATAGGCTGTGTATAAATTTGTTAATATATGAATTTGTTAACATATAAATAAGTTAGCACACCTGAGTGGCATAACTTGGATCTTATGGGCCTTAGTGCAACGACCCTCAAAAATACGTTCAGTGAATAAAAAATGCAGTGAAATTTGCTTGTTTGCTCTATTGTTACATCTTAAACAGGCTGATGTTCTTAAGACACGCCACTCCACCCACTAGCATCTAAAGTAAACCTTATATTTACGTTAGACTACCAATCTATTTGGATGACAGTAATATGTTATGTTTAGCTGACTGACACGCCACTGACCAAATAAGGATTCCTGAGAATTCTTCCTGTGAGACCACCTTTTATTTATTTCATTTCCAATCAAACCAGCCAATAAATACAAACTATTCATTTTTCAGTATCAGAAAAGAAAACTCTATTACAGCTTCTTTTCAGGAGACTTGCTTTCAGTTTGTCAGCCACCTCCAAAGTTCAGTCTTAGAAGTTGGTCCCATTTCCTGCTTCTCACGGTGTCGGTGAGGTCCAGACTCAGCAGCTTCTTTGTTTGATTTGCATATTTTCTTTTTTCTGCACATCATTTCAGACCCCTTCGAGTTGAGTTGTCTTCTCACTGTGGGAAGATGGACAGAAACGCCTGTTTTTTTATATATGTTTGTTTATTTTTTTCTTTGAGATCCTAAGGAAGAGTGTTTTTTGAACTCGTTTTGAAAACTCCTGTTTCTCCGCTTATTTCCTTCTGTCTTTCCCCTTCCTTGTGCAAATAGATTATCTTATATCTAATCTCCTCAGAAATATCTCCTGAAAGATGAATAACTTGTACAAACTCAATTCCAAAAAAGTTGGGACAGTAGGTAAAATGGAAATTAAAACAGAAAACAGTCATTTATGAATCTACTTTGATCTGTTAAAAAAAAAAAAACAGTACAAAAACAATATGTGTAGCGTTTTACCTTAGCAACTTTTACATTTTTATAAATATACAGTTTTAAAATTGATGCCTACAGCACATTCCAGAAAAGTTAGGATAGGGTCAATTTAAGACTGTGAAATGTGAGAAAACATGGTGATGCACTTATGTTTAGATATAGAAGGAGCGTCCAGGGAAGGCCTCGTCCTTTATGAGCAGCGATGGGTCGAGTCTCACCTTTTTGCCAAAAACCTATCAGCAAAAAGTCCCGCTGTTTAAGAACAATGTTTCTCAGTGAGCAATTACAAGGATTTTATGTATTCCCTCCTCTACAGTATATAATATTATCAAAAGAGTCAGGGAATCCCAGAAATCTGCCGAAAACCACAAATGAATGCCCATGACCTTTGACCCCTCAGACAGCACTGCATTAAAAAACCAGCATGTTTCTGTGAAGAATATCATCACATTGGTTTGGGACTACTTTGAAAAAACATTGTCAATAAACACACAACAGTCAATCATCAAACGCAAGCTAAGACTGTTCTATGCACAGCAGAAGCCAAATATCAACTACATCCAGAAACGCTGCCAACTTCTCTGGACTGGAGTTGACATGGACAGATGCACAATGAAAACGTGTATTGTGGTCTGACGAGTCAACCTTTCAGATTATTTATGGAAATAACAGATGTCAGTTTCTCTGTCAAATATGAAAATGATCATCCAGGTTGTTACCAGTGTAAAGTGCAGAATCCAGCATCTGTCATAGTATGAGGGTATTAGGGCTTAACACAAGCACATCTGTGAAAGCACCATTAATACTGAACAATTTTGAAGCAATATGTACAACATCTTTTTCAGGGACCATGCTTGCCATGCTTATTTCAACATGGCAACACCAAGCCACATTCTGCATGTGTTACAACAGCATGTCTGCGTAATCAGAGAGTGCTGGAGCGACTGGCCTGCCTGCAGTCCAGAAATGATTTGCACATCATTTCATTCTGCTTTTATTTATGTTTTGAGCAACATGCCAACTTTTTTGGAAACATCATCAGGGATTGTACATTATCGTAGTCTTTAAACTGGAAAATCTTACTCTCTAGAATATTGTGGAACCACTGTAAGGGACTAGTAAGCATTTTTACATCAGATCTAGTGACGATTTGGCCAGAGTGCCCCTTTAATGCTGACCTGTCATTAGACTACAGGCTGTAAATCTCCTAGTACTGCCTTTTCCAGCAGAGGGTGCCAGAGTTGGGTCCATATTTGGGAATGAGCCTTGGGTGGCCCTAATAGTTTGGCCTGATACAATTTTAGGGATGGTGCTAAAGTCTATATGATATAACCAACAGGTGATAAAAAATAACCAAATTACTATTCCAGCATGCCTGAAGAGGCCTAACTCTTGTCTATGATGTTCATGTTTAGACATGATGTGCTTTAAGCACTAGTTCAGTTAAAAATACTCATTATAGTTTGATAGGAATGCTATTGTTTGATGGTCTGTTCTGACTAATTGTGTAATTCCAAGCATGAATATCTCTTCTTCTATATCTGTTGGTTCATGTGTTGCTCAAATGACTCTTTTCCTTGCGGATGCCATTTGGTGCAAGGAAACACACAGTCAAGCATGCACACTTAATGGCCATACATGCTCTTTCTAGAAGCAGCTGTAAGAGCAGAGCAGCAATGATGACTTTAAGCCTTTTCAGCTGTAAACATGGACTCTTTTTGATAGTGGATTACCGGATAAAAAGTGGTTTGGTAGATTCCGAGAATAAAAGAGGAGGAGGGCGAGCAATGTGCGGGCCTATGCTGTTTGGGCTGATGATTCAGGGCTTTTTCCTCTGTGGCCTGGATCAGAACCTTGGCAGCATCTCAAAAGCACCAAATCCCGCTCATTACAATAACAAAACGCTTGATCCTGCCACCCTGGGCCGAGGTTTATAAAACAGGCCAGGCTGACCATGCCATGGCTCATCACCCGAGGAAGGACGGCACCCCACCAACAAGATGAGTAAGGTGAGATACAGAGAAAAAATCAGACAGGATCATGATGTGAAAAATGCTTAGCCACAAAAAAGTTTCAAAGAATGTACCTTTGCAACTGAAAAAGACAGCACTAGATGGTTAGACCCTTAAACTACAGGTTTAATATATAGTTATTAATCTTAAGGCTTGTTATCTACTGTGAATTATAATGAATTAGTGAGTTCAATGTGCAAGTAATGTGGCTATGAGAGTGAAGCCCACATACAGGCCCTTACGGTTTAAGGGTTAACATACATGATAAAGTGCAAGAAAATGGCAACCAGTAGTGTCTGTACAGTGATAGATTTAGCTGTATGGATTGCATAGTTAGCTAATGAATGCAGAGATTAAATAATCAACAGTTTTTCCAACATTTATGTTTTTATAATCTGGGTAATGCTATAACCAAATGCAGTACAAAAAAATGATTTTTTTAGAGAATCTTATTTTTTCTCTTCCTTTCTCTTTACAGATCATATTTTACGAGGACAAGAACTTCCAGGGCCGCTCATATGAGTGTGATACCGATTGCCCAGACATGCACCAGCATGTCAGCCGCTGTAACTCCGTTCGGGTGGAGAGCGGCTGCTGGGTGCTTTATGAAAAGCCCAATTACATGGGTTACCAGTACGTACTGACCAGGGGAGAGTACCCTGAATACCAGCGCTGGATGGGCTACAGTGACAATATTCGCTCCTGTAGGACCTTCTCTTATGTAAGTGCACTTATATATGTGTGCTATATTCAGTGTTTGGACCCCTATTATTATAACAATATTGCTTACTGTTGTAATGTTTAGGTATATTTTTTAAGCACATTTAAAGGACCCACTTCTATAACTGAGCCAGTTCGCATTGTAGTGTATGTAGTTACAGAATAATAAGCCTGGGATTCAAAAAAATTACCTTTAAATTAACAAAATATGAATATGTGACTGAAGTCCCCAGTTCATAAGGTTATGATGTGATTATCAAATAGAATACCTATAATAGCATCAACTTGTGTTACAGTGTCCGATAGTTATATAATAATGTTTATTACAATATAATAATTTCCTGCATTACCCCTTCAGAACAGCGGGGGGCCCTACAGGATGCGCATCTATGAGCGTCCAGACTTCCAGGGCCAGATGATGGAATTCAGCGACGACTGTGAATCCGTGCAGGACCGCTTCCGCAGCAAGGATATTTACTCCTGCAATGTGATGGACGGCTACTGGACCATGTACGAGCACCCCAACTACAGGGGGCGCCAGTACTTCATGCGGCCAGGCGAGTACAGGAAGTTCAGCGACTGGGGTGCCACATGTGCCACCACCGGCTCCTTCCGCAGGATCACTGAGTTTTAAACAGCCCATGGCTTCTCTGTCCTTCTGATAGACTTCCCAATAAATAAAACATCACAAATAAAAAAACTTGACCTCTTTGTATGTGTCCCCACAAACAGATGTCCAGTTATTACTGCATTTTATTGTATTGGTCTTCATAGGACTTCCTGGTTGGGTGGGAGGTAGTTTCCTGAATCGACAGACTTTCAGAATTTACACCTAGTTTCAGATAAAACTAGAATGTTATGCAGTGGTTCTCTATTTAAAAAATCAAATGTAGTCTAGAACACGTTTCAGGCTCCAGTTCTTGTGGGCTAAAACACTGCAGATTTCAACACACTGCCTCATTAAACACACCTGATTCAGCTCGTCAGCTAATCAGCAAGGCCTTCATGAACTAAATTCAGAGTCTTAGATGAGGGTAAATGCTAATCTCCGCAGCACTTTGGCCCTAAAGCTTCCAGTTTGACATGCCTAGTCTAGAACTAGGTCTAAGGCATGCTTAATAAACTAGCCCAATGTGAAATCAAAAAGGATTAGCACAGACATTGGAATGAACACAGCAGTTTAGTCAGAATTTCTCTCTCAGCTTCTCCCACTGTGGGAATTTCTGATTTCTGAATGCTGAAAATGAAAATCAGAAATTAGAAAGTGCAACAGAGCAATTTAACAAACAAACAGACAAACAGAAACATCATACATTGCTAAGCTAGGCTCTATTCAAAGTATGTGCTGTCATGCTTAGTTTATTTACACAGTCATTTTAATAGGTTGCAGTAACTTTAAATAACATGCATAATTTTTTCTCAATAGCTTAAGTAAATCCCTGCTGGATCACTCCTAGAATTGATCTTAAAAAGATTATATAGCGATGTATACTGTAAAAAGCATAGCAGGCCTAACCCCAAACCCACAATTAGACAATATCTTGAGGGCTTCATTGAATCACAATGAAAATGAAAGCCACAATTCCAGCTGTCACTTTTCAGCTTATTGGCAATTTTCCACCAGAGGCCAAAAGGTCAAAGTTCACCCTGTGGTGAAAACGTGCCTCGTTGGCAAAGTTTTCATCTAGAGAAGTGACACTGACAAAGCAGGGCTTTGTAAAAGCAAAGCCTTTGTTGGAAAGTAAAGCATCAGACCAGAAACCCTGAAAAAAGAAACCATCCACTCACACAATATGATGTTTCTAGACCAGGTTCTCAGAACATTCTTTAAAAAAAATAAAAATAAACATTAATAAACTGTGTGTAATAGATACTCAAATCCATCCCAAATCCATGGTTCAAATATGTTATTTCTGATTCATATTACATGTTAGTCAATGGATGCTATTTGTACTGTTAGCTGTAGGCCCTGCTGTTCTGAACCCTGCTAAAACAAGACCAATAGAACCACTGGGTATAAAAACCAGATGGTTTTACTTTCTAATGGGAATTGGCTTAATAGACCACGAGTTTTCTCTAGGACACCAGTAGGAAACCATCAAATGAATCCAGTATCAGTTCCAGAACACCTGTTAAACTATTAGAATCATTTACACTGTGATATCAATCCATTGGGAAAACACAAAATAGCATTACTGACTATTGGACAACGCCAGGAACCAACACCAACTTTTAATGGTTTCTGTGTTTTTCAGTAGGGAAGCAGGCCCTGTTGCTGGAACGATAAAGTAAAGGCGAGGTTAGGAGAGAAGGTTGTGGTGGTTGTGCTGAGTCAGGCTGCTCATTATGAAAATGACAAAGCTTCCTGTGAGTTTTTCACCACGGACGGATATATAAGGAATACGGACTGTTGCTAAAACACAACAAGCAGCTTTTCCAAAGGCAGCAACCATGATGGGCAAGGTAGGGGAGAGAGCAACACTGGAGGAATATTTCACTCAAACATGCGAACCTGGCTGTAAAAGTCATGAGACACAGTTAACATGGTGGTGGTAGTTGCAACATGCTAACTGGTCCATTTTTCATTTTGAGCAGTATTAGCATTTTAGGGGTGAAATATTCTATTAGGCTTGGTTTTAGACTTAACTTTGGCTTTTTTTTATTAGTACTAGGATTCATTTGTGTCCAGAAGCCTAGTGGTCTATGTCCTCAAATTAGCCTAAACTGGGAGAATTCCATTTTGACTGGATTTAAAAGTTTTCCAACTCATTTTCAGATCATCTTCTACGAGGACAGGAACTTCGGTGGCCGTTACCATGAGTGCATGAGTGACTGCGCCGACCTGCACTCTTACTTCAGCCGCTGCCACTCCATCCGTGTGGAGAGCGGCTACTTCATGGTCTACGATCGCTCCAACTTCATGGGGAACCAGTACTTCATGAGGAGGGGCGAGTATTCTGACTACCAGCGCATGTTCGGATGGAACGACTGTGTCAGGTCCTGCAGGATGATCCCAATGGTAGGAGTCGAAAAAACTTTCTCGTTGTGTACAGAGGCCTACTGATTGTTACCACTTTATGTATAAGTTTCTTTAATGACCTTACATAGCATATTCAGAAACAGTAGAGTTTTATAAACTGAGCCCAACTCTAAACTGATTCCCCTATTCTTACCCACCTTCTAAACCTGGTATTAACTAATGAGTTGAATCAGCTGTGTTAGAACAGGGAAACCGAACTGTGGAGGAGTCTGGCCTTCGGGCCAACGTTGATATATACAGGGAAATTCCTTATGGACCACATCCGATCTCCTCCTTAAATGAGTGGTTTGGCAAATATGTTGCTTGTGTGGTTTCATTTTTATGTCATTGATTATATTAAAAAAGTATGTTTTTGTCATACATGGTCAGAAACCTATTTTAATTTGAGGCAAAAAATGTAGATATAGAAATGCCGTTTGCACAGTGCTAACTGGAGGATATAAACCACAATTACTTGTAAGCTACATCAGCCCTGTAGGTCCAGAAACATTAGTAGTACTAATCTGAAGAGCTTTTGGAAAAATGCTTCATTAACTATCAAACTATGGATTAACCCCTAAAATCCCACGCTTATTATATACTAAGGCTTACTATTCAGTAACTACAGGGACTTCAGTGCAAACTGGCTGAGCTCTTCTTAGATTATAGAAGTGTGTAAGAAAGCTTTGGGCCCACTGGTGGACCCTGGCTATGTAAGAGGTTAGTGAATAAACCTACAGGTACAGGTACAGGTTTGTATTTCTGATTAAAGCTGGATATAAATGTGTCGCTAACACTAATTCATTCTCCCTGCAGCACCATGGCTCTTACAGGATGAGGCTGTACAACCGCATGGATTTTGGTGGCCAGATGATGGAGCTGATGGACGACTGCCCCAACACCATGGACCGCTTCCGCATGTCTGATTTCATGTCCTGCAACGTGATGGACGGCCACTGGCTGATGTATGAACATCCCAACTACAGAGGCAGGATGATGTACATGAGGCCCGGAGAGTACAGGAACTTCAGAGACTGGGGATGGGGAATGAACTTCAGGATCGGCTCCATCCGCAGAATCATGGATGGCATCTAAGAGGTGCTCCTGAAATGTCTCCTGTATGCCTTTATTCACATTTTAAATAAATGGCATGGTTACTCCAGTAGAATCTCTTCATTTATTATTCATGTGTGATCATACTAAACATTATTCTTGGGTATTTGTGATGTTTAAGAAACATTAAGCCTAAAAACAAAAGCTTAAAAGATGTAGGTAGTTTCATCAAGAGTAAGCTGTAACATGATAACCCAAACACATGGATAATCTAGCACATTTTTAAGCCTAATGCCTCAGAGAGTTGCTGCAGAACCTAAATAGAAATGGAATAGAATTGGTCGTAGCAAAACTAGCACAGCATCACCTTACGTAAGTTAGATTGCTTCATAGTATATAAGCAGCCAAATAAACATGAGCCACCAGTATGTATTGACGAGGACTAAGTATTGCAAAAAAGCAATGCAAAAGCTATAGAACTTTTTCTATTTTAGATTTTGTGTTTTTTCCAGTATGGTAAACTTAGCATATAAATAGAAATTGTGTACAAAAATTAGCAGAAAAGTGCAATATCTACATTTGCTCCCTGTAGAGAATGTGTTCATGATTTTCAATCAGAAAATATGAGCTCCCTTTAATATCCATTCAGAGGAATTTGCAGTAAAGGAGCAAAGGAATTCAAACTTAATGGCATTAATATAAGACAAGTTATTGTCAACTAATCAAATTAATATGCCAAAATGAATATGAGGAGAATAACATGCAGAATGCTCCACTGCAATGAGGAATTTCGCTAATAGCTAGCTACAGATATGCTAGCTAGCTAACCAGTAAATGCAGTGTAATTTTAGCTAAGCTAAAACAGATTTCCCTCACTTTTTTAGAAAATAATTGTGTTTGATACTGTATATAAAGCGTGTTGGAACGCATCATTCACTGCCCAGTCCATACAATATACCAATAGAAACTAAGCTGCAAAAACACCCCATTTTTAATTCGTTGTTTTTGTGATGTCACAAATACCAATAGATTTATGCATATTCGCCCATTCAGCCTCCAGCAGTTTAGCCCCACCCATTCACGCTGAAGTTATAAAGAGTGTTTCAGCCTAGGCTGCTTTTTGAATGAGACACAGCACAGGACAACCAGTTAGTGCATAGATCATTTACATATATCAGTTTTAACAGCACAGTAACAGAAACAGCCTGTCAATAAGATATCGCTTTAGGCCCGGGAAACTCACAGACCAATCGCATGCGTTGTAAATATCACATGTGACACTACTCAGCCAATCAAGTAAAGTGAGTCAGAGGGAAGTTATTTTACATGACGTGCTCTAAAAAGAGAAAACTGACAATAAATGTTGTTGACATATTACTGAACTGGACTTTGTTTGATTTGACATTCAGTTGTTGACTACATAAGATGTTGATATAACTACTATGCTTCTTCAGTAAACAGTAAATAGCACTGAATCATGATGCAAGTTAGACATTATGATGTTCTGGACCTTTGCTTGAGGAAATTTAATCAAGCTGGACTTTACTGAATTTTAATTGAAG